TCAGCGAGCCTGACCACCCGATCACGTTAGTCGCCTTTTACGACAAGCATAGTCACCTTATAGGGCAAGTATGGGTTGCTGAAGACCTATTCTACGCCAGAATCTTCACGGGTCCTTGAACTTTCAACACTGAAATTATGACAAGAGCTCTGAGACTTCAATGCTTAATTTCAATCACTGTAGAAGCATTCTGAAGAAATAAACTGACAGTTTCTGGACACATGCTACACCCACACTACTGTTCTTCACCTCCATCATGGCATTAGATTGAATTATGTCACTGTTGCCGTAAATGTAACTCCACTGATAATTTGCATCCTTGAAACTAGCAACTATGGAATCTATCTACATGATCTAGAATGAGCCACACGTACCATGCATATCCCTTGAGAACTGTCAAGGAAAACCTGATTGCTCTACACTGAACATGGAACCCCTAAACCTAATCAATCAAAACTATTCATTTTAAACAATGAAACTAACACGAGTTTTCACCTTTCACCAAACATAGCGATAGACACTAATGTTTAATGTTGTAATATACATTATAACATTGCATGTATCGCCATGAACTTTACAGTAATATGATCTGGATGAAACATATCAGTAGTTGAGACATAACCAGGACAGGACACCAGTAAGAGTTTATCTTTCTGGCTGGCAGTCAGTGCCAAAAGCCTTCAATCTAATAGCCAGTCGTCATGTAGCTGGAATATTGCTGAGTGCATCGTTAAACAACAAACAAACAATCAAAGTAGCCCATAGTAATCTTTGGGAGACAGTTTCAGTAGACATAAGGAATATTATGATGATAATTAGCTGTATTTACTCTTTTTACTAATTTTAGTATGTTACTGGACCAACAGATTTTGTTCTAGACTTAGGCTTCAGACTGTTAGCTCTAGACTGGGGTGGTCATCTATCCAAATACAGTCTCATTTTAGGCATGCTTAGCTACTAGTTCAAAATAAGATGCTCTTAATCACACTATGCATGCATACATTTTACCAATTTAATCATAAAATTGCATAAACACAACCTACTTATTATTATTTTGTGTGTGTGTGTGTGTGTGTGTGTGTGTGTGTGTGTGTGTGTGTGTGTGTGTGTATAAGCACCTCAGCATGACAGAAATACTATACTTTCCAAGTTTCAAGTCCAAATTGTATGAACAATTAAGACCATGTCAATGAAAACCACCCAAAAAGCTGCAATTCCTTGTAGCCTGTAGACATTTAACATGCTAATACTCGTCTAGCTGGTTAGCATGAACATCTATCCATGCAATGAGAATGCCGACTATCAACAATGTTAAGTCTGCAAGGTGATCCTAACTTGCATCAACATGAGATGACATGGTACACTGACCATGACACAGTCAGACAAAGATGGATGTTTCTCTACATATCCAGCATGGCCTGTAGCTGATGGTAATCTGGATGGTAATCTTGGTGCTGGGAAACAACACTGGAGGACAAAGGCTACACACATTCCAGGCCTGTGTCAAGTTGTTTCATCGCCTTTTCCCATAATTGACTGCAACAGGGATTTTACCTTACAAAGAGGCTACTGAAAGTTTCCCCCAAACTGAACACAACAATAATCAGTGCTGAGTTCTCACCTGAGAATGCCCAGAAGCCAGGTTAAAGGGAACAATGTATGCTAACTAGAATAGTTAAGTAAAAGTATAAGGAATTTAGTTAATTTTGATTTATATAACAGACAGAAGTGTTTTCAAAAGCAGATAATTTTTGGCAAATCAGAATTTGATTGTTCACAACAGCATGTTTAGTATGTATACAATTATTATGTCACCTCTTATGATAAGAAAACACACAACTTGATCTGTAACAATTTCTGGTTTATTGCATTTCGATATATACGCATTACGCTTTGATGTAGATTCTTATACCATTATCAATCTCTTAAGAAATACTCGTATACAGCCAGTTAATGATTGTAAATGTTGAGTGACAGGAGCTTTTGAAACCACAACGACTATTTCTGGTCATTCCAATCCCCATAATGATGAATTGAACAATGCTAATTGTTACAACAATAAAATTGACAAATTCAAATTATCTCAAGTATTGAAACCTGCCCTTAAACTTGAACATGTTGAAGGTCCAGACATCCTGACATAAGGATAATAGATAACTGAACAGAACTATTTCATGTGATCAATTGATATAATTACTCCTCTGTGCCTTTTGACAGACATCCTTTGGGATAATTTCAAAACCGACATGAATGTATATAATTTGCATAATGTTGATAAGGGTGTGTAAGAATTCACTGATGCATCACTTCAGTCTGTTACGATACAAGGATCACATTGTGAGGCCATATATCGATACACATACATAATAAGGGTGACATGTAATACTGTATTTAACTAATTGTAAAATACTATAGCTTCATTCAGTATTCATTCATAATGGAATATGTCTGTGACTTCTTCTCACATGACAATCGTCAAGTTTTCATGTCTCGTAGTTTTCTTTTGTATGTCATGTGCATCATATCACAAACTTACTATCGAGATTACCATGGTTGCAGCCCTAGTTAATAATGATCATAAATATCAAACTGACTGATTATTCAACATATTTGTCTCTCATCTTGTGTGTCTAGTATCAAACAATAATCACGAATTCTTATTATCATGCTTATGAATTAAAATGCATACAGAAATCATGACAAAGGAAATACAAAATCAGTGGCAAGAGCGTGTGAAACAAAAAAATAACACATTTATGATTTCTCACAAATCTTATGAACATAATAGACTCTGTGATGATGAATTGATTAAGCCTTCAATAAGATTAAACAGAAGAAAATCTCTTCAAAAATGATTTAAAAATTCTGATTCAAACAAAGGGCACATCAAATTTAATTAGTTGTGTGCAGTACCATGTGTGTCATCAATGAGTGCCAATACTGGCAGGTGCTGATACCAAATTGGTCTTTGTCAGGAGATGATTGCTAATTGACCCATATCATGGTTCATGACTGTAATAACCAGGCTAACAATGGACTATTAAGTGGTAAAAGCAAGTCATAGTCATGGAGCCCTATGATGATTCCAATATGTAAATAGATGCAAGGCAAGGGCTACACAATTAGTAAAGATCAGTTTTGCAATCATACTCACTGATGCATTTGTTAGTTAATCTCACTTATCTGTTGAAATGTACTTGTATCATGAACATGATGAAGGAGACACAGCCAAAAAGCAAATATAATCTTAAATTTCCTTACACTTAGTTAAACCCAACAGGATTAGAAATTGGTTAAGTTTTATTCACTTATCACTGTTACAGAGTTGCCATGTTCCTAATAGTGGCAGTCCATATCACTGGTATTGCATTTTACTAGCCTTGGACTAGCTGAGTAGTGGATACAGGTTAATTTGAAAATAATTTTGAACCTTGCCTAATACTTCACTACACATTATGTGTCAAGTTACTGTCAACCTATGTCAGACCCCCAATATGTTTTTGTTCACTTTTTGTTTTAAATTAATATATATATAACATAATTAGTATATTAAACATATCAACTGAACATTAATTTGAACTCCCTAAAACCATATTACCGACCAAACATGCCAAATAAACACAGAGACAACACTTCCTCAAATTAAAAAGACTAGTGAAAATATAGTTTTCTCCCAACTCATCCTTCAAACATTTCTGTAGTCTTGGAACCGGTTTGCAACCAGTTTTGGCCATGTCCTACCGTTAAGTACACCAGCATGATCAATAATTCCGAAAGTCAAATAACTATCATGTGTGCTTTTGTCATGAAATATTACCATCAAAACATGCTAAAACTCTGCATCCATGGATTAACGAAGTTTAATCTCTATTTGAGTTGTAAACACAGTGAATCAGGTACTACATAGCAACATTGAAAACATTGGTCATTGACAAATACAAAAACATATTTACCATACAACAGGGTACACAATTGTTTTGGTTTTGAGTATATGCCATTGAAACTAAATGTGTTTTGGTAATCATGACAATGAAAACTTATAAAAATCAAGTAATCTTTCAGAGTACTAATTAAGGTGTGCTTAGGATCACTATATAAATAGTGCCTATTAAAGACTTCAAGTAATTTTGTAATTTGATTATGATATCAACCTGATAACCTGGTATAAGAGCATGCTACAAGTATGTTCATTTCATTCATTATATAGATAGTTTAAGAAAGTAATGTTGACAACAGTTCATGTTTGTAACAATCATATCAAAGAATCAAATAAAATGCACATAGAGACAAGTCAACAAATTATAATGCACATGGAAAACTGTTATATCCACTTACCCAAATAATAACATAGATATGCCTACACTATAATAGCAAAATATTTTCCATATGCGAGTGGGTACCTTTAATATAATATAGTGGGCCAGACAGCTTCAAAAAAGTGCCTGACATACATCCACTGAACAAACTGCACATATCCCAAATAATATTGAAGCTATGTTAACAGATCATGCAGTAAGATTTTGATCAACAAAATCTTGCAAGTTCTACGCATTCTATCATGTCGATAATAACTGCCACTATCAATACAAGCAGGTTTCTGTCAGTTAACCGAGGAGATGTTATTGATGAATAAACTGACATCAATCACATGAAATAAAGAAAATACCAAAATAACTACAAGAACCAACAGTAAATATAAATGGATATATAAAATGCATGAAAACACAGCTATTTCGGGGTTAATACAACGAAGATCATAAGATGATGACAAGATACGGGACAAAGGCTCAGAGAGCGGGTCATGTTCAACATATTTAGCTCATTAAACATGCAGTGGATGGAACAGCAGAAAAACTGTTTCAAATGTTTCTTGAAATCTACTAGGAGGCAACGAACCGCGCCCGAAATATGATACACCACGCTGTCAACCGACTTGGGTGCTTTCAGAACCTAGCTTTGCAAACCGATTCGTCTGACATTTCTAGCAGACGGATTCTTACCTGCATTGGCACAAACGCAGACCCAGGAAAGAATGAGTAGGACCCCTGGCCCCTTACTGGCGACCATTTCTGCTGCATAGAGTTAGTGATTGGTATCCGATGTGTAAATACGGATCAGAAACTCCATTTCTTCTGGGAAAAGTTGAATGCCATCTGATTTTCTCTCCAGCAGCCATGACTGACATTCTCGGCTCTCGAGAAATCACGGTCATTTGACGAGACCTAACAGCGCGAAGGGAGATAATCGTCTGTTATCATAAACGGGCACCTGCTACACCCCGAAAATTTCTGTTTTTTTACTTGTTGGGTTTATAAAATATGCTGTCTGAAATTATTTTTCTCCCCGATATAACAATCTACAGAAAATTGACTTTGTAATTAATTATAAAATCGAGAATAAAATATCCACTCATTAGCAAATAAAATAGAATCAACATTTGCAAATCCAATATTTTTAAAATTAATAATCATAATTTCAATTGTTACAATAAGCGAAATTTTACAAACACTTTTATCGTATGCAATGCACTAGCAGTCTGCTCACATGCAATCTAAATCGATGAGAAAATCACGGACAACGAACAATTCTTTGACAGTTTGAGATTTTTGCCAATATTGTTCTTTAGTCGTGGTGACATACGTTCATTTGTATGTGTTCACGCGTGGCCACGTGTCGATTGTAAAACTGAGACGCTTTATCGAAACGTTGGTCGTTGTTTCACATCTGTAAACGATAACATGCTAAAACCATTGAAATAGTCGCCTGCGCCCATATTAAAAAGAAAAGAAAAGGCATCTGTTACACACACCACAAAAGAATATTGACGTCTACTTGAGGAATGTGACAATGAATGCGTCAACCAATTAAAAAACCCCACACACAGGATTTAATATTTATGTAAATCTTTGGTTTATTTCAGGCGTAAAAAAATACATGCGGGAATAAGTAATCTATACAATAATCAAGATTACCATATTTCCTGTAATACACACAAGGCACGAAGCAGCGTACAACATTTATGCCTGCGTATATAATAAATGCCGGATTTGTTAGATTTAAATTACTTCTCTCTGTAATAAATAAATGCTTAGAAAAGAAAGCATACTTTTATTGTATGTCAGTTTACAAGTGGCTGAAGCTTATGAAACGCCGTAGCTGAAATCTTAAACGCAGGGTCTCCAATTACCGCTCCGATACCCGCCGGGTTTGGAAACTTGTTCAAAGAATAAGATCGGTGTGCTTATTAGAGGAAATACGGTAGTTTACAATTCCTCATGCCCGCTTGCTAGTTTGTGTGTTAGTTTGCGCCGTACTCAGCAATACTCCAGCTATATGACGGCAGATGTTCAGCCATATAGTGACTAAAACAAGTTATATATTAATAATAAATACATTTAGAATGTATAAAAATCAATCGACAATGGACGGTAAAATAACTAGAGTATCCCAGATTTCCATTTAAAACTAGTATGCAACTATAAAATGTGACTATTCGGGGCAAAACAGTATTTTAGAAAAAGCGTTACAGATCATCAGCAACTACAGTTAATCCACCATACTGGGGACCATGGGGACCTACTGTAATCTGCTACCTACAAGGTTCCCCAGAGGATTTGCACCATCCTTTTGGTTTTTAAGTAGCTGCTGATTTTTGACAAGCTTTAGCCGGAGATTAAAACAAACAAATACTAGTATTCTACGATTAAGACACTGGTATAAAGCACTTGCAGTTCTTTTAAATGTTGAGTAAAACGCTTTTCTTAATCTTTGTCGAGGTAAACTGTCACCATACTGAGATGTTGTTATTTGTTGTAAGGTTTTGGGTGGATGTTTCTCATTACCACGCCCTGAAGGAGAAAGTTGAAAATCTACACACTACAGGCCGTGCAGAGTAAGATCGCTCGTTCAACCACATCCATTTGTGTCCAGGTGAATGGCACGCACTGTACTCCGATTACGTGTAACAATCCTAAAAAGGAATTTCAAGACACAAAAAGTAGTGCTTTTTTATAGACATTTATAAAAGGAAGGATAATGATTACAAATATTTTTTGTTATGTCATTTTTCACACACGAGATGGTTTTCTGACAAAGATTAATGACATTCTTGAAAGTACATTAAACTACGTTTGTAACGAACACGCTTATAACGAACTTACCGATATAACCAACTTGTTTTTTAGTCCCGGGCATTTGTTGCATATATATGCTGTATATATGCTTATAACGAACTACGGTTATTACGAACTAAAATCAGTGGTCCCTTTGAGTTCGTTATACCCGTAGTTTACTGTATATATCTGGTCGCACAAGTACATCGTTATATATGGTTCTTGACACTGTATATACGGGAACATATTTTTCTATGAACCCAGGTAGTTCAATACAGACTCCCTGGAACACCTAAAGCAAAACTTGATAATGCTTATATTTAAAATAGCAAAATATACATAGAAACAAAAGAACTTAATACTTTAGTACTGTGATGATTTTAAGTATATATGTGCAATACTATCGTACGTGCATATTTGACAGATGAATCTTAGATAGCATTCTCGATTAACGTTTGTATATATAATAACGAGATTGTTACAAATATAGAATACTAATGTAGACATACAGTTGTATATGTAGGATAAGGTTATCTTGAAATTGTTGAACAAAATGAGTGGTTTTGTTTCCGAATAAGACCTGTACGTATCTTGATGCATTTTCATTTGAATATCTACCTGTCTATCTATCTTGTTCTTTTTATGCACGATGTAATTCAGAACCTATTTATTTCGGTACTTGTATTTATTGCACAGCTAATCTAGAAATATTGCGCGCCGCAAAGAAATCACACATACCAGCACGTACAAACAGAGGCGGGGCCTGGAGTTTTTAAAGGGTGAGGGCGGGGGTTCTTCCGATACTGTACAATGCACAATTGTTGACACGAATCATCAAGATGTACATCATTCTCATCCCTTCGAAGCGCCCATTGCATTGCATGTTTTGACGTTCTGTGAATTAGTCATAGAACGTTCCTTGTATAATGTTGTTTATTTCACCGCTTTGCCTGTGCATGTTGCACGTGCGTGTGAAACACGACCTGCCTTGGGCGTCGTCTCAGCAATAGCTGGCTGTCTACTCTGTGGCTAAACATTCCTTTAAATAAACCAGAGGCAAATAAATTGCCACCCCGTCTTCGATAAGATTAAAAGCCGATGCATTGTGTACTCAGAACAAAGGGATATTTGTCGGTTGTGAAATCCAAAGGACATTTGCACCCTTCTATACATCCATTCTTAAAATTGAAATGGACACTGTTATGATAACAAAAGGTTTTACCAGAGTGTCTGGTTCTCTTTCCCCAACATATATATTACAAGTACGACTGTACAGAGGAATATGTGTCTATTTATATAGGCTTTCATGGTAACTAACTGTAAAGAAACAGATCCACAGGATGGATTTTACAAACATTTAACTCTAGAAATGTTTATAGTAACATAATTTTATGTTTATCTTACAATGTAGCTTGGTTTAACATTAGTTCAGACTCATAGACTAGTCATTCTTTTTTCCCCTTAATGCCGAACGCCAGGCAGGTGTAACAAGTAACATCTTTTCGTAAGACGCTGCTGGGATCCAACCCCCGACCTAGCGCCCTCCAGTAGGGCAGGGACGGGTAACTCGGGTAGGTACTGAGTAGGACCCGGGTACCCACAGGATTACCCGGACACGTGGTTAGTCACGTGATATATTGTTTCATGACAAAAATTCACAATATAACTACATGGTTACACGACAATTTTAAGTCTCTAATGTTCGCATTTCTTCATGACTATAAACACGTTCCTTCTGACTTACATATGTTTGAACAAAGCAAGAACTTCAGTCAACTTCAGTGTATGCATGACCACATCGTTTTATACGTGTATCTAAATACATTCTGCAAGGGCTACTGTCTAACTATTCCCAATTTTGTACCTATCTCTTGACACCAACAGCTGGTACTTGGGTAGGGTCAGGTAAAAGGGGTGTGGGTACCCGGTAGTAAAACTGGACTCGTCCCAGCCCTACCCTCCAGTCTATCCACAACTCCAAGGAGGCGGTCTCTGCCCATTCGAATGTTGTTCAATACACTATTTTATTTACACCACTGCACATCAGCTCAATGTGCACAAAAGCCTTGAGAGGGGCAGATCCTAGCTGTTTACCACAGGGTTAGTGTTCCTGTCGTTTCAGGCCCCACAATTCACTGTGCAGTGTTGCCTCCACTTCCCTTGCAAGGATTTAAGGAATGTTCAGCTTCGAATTCCTGATAAAGATCCTTGTTTTATCTAGTTTCTGGACAGCCTAGTTTCTACTTTGATAAAAAGTAGTGGACACTCTTGCCTCGGGAAGATGCAATATACCTATGCTTCTAGATTTCATTCAAGTGTTACGTCTACTGCTTGCATCACTCTGTGGCCCTTGTTAAGCCAACAGCCATGATATAAGTGACATACTGTCCAGGGTTGCCTTTCACACAACTCTCTCAGCACATTGGTGGAAACAAGGACCTTAATCAAGGACCCACTCTTTTGTTGCAGCTCTGCAGTATTTGATCAGTTATTGGATCAAGAACCTTAAATGGTTAATCTGTACTTAAGATGGTTGTACTCTTGTGAGTAAGTGAGAGTGAGAACAGGATTGTATCCTATCAGAAACATCAAACCCATATCATGTTAATTGTTGGGAGCATGAATGTGCTTTTATTAAACATATGCTCTGTGGTCTGAAAGAGAGACTAATCCTTCAGATACTAGTGGTGAAAGAATACAACACACTTGACAGTGTCATCAGTTTATTTCTCCAGGATGTCAGCTGGTTCTGTATCGGCCCCCCAGTGTTCTGTACCTGTCCACTAGCTGCTGGTTGAGGGAAGGTTTCACAATTTCTAATGACCTGATGAAGTCCTTCATTTTCACCTTCTCTGCATCCATGTCTTCTGTCAAGGCAAGCATGGCAGCCTGGAATAAAACAATGTCCTGTTATTGTTATTTTAAATACAGCTCAGACTCAAAAGATAACTATGTGTTCTGACTGAAATATAAGCCATTCTGTTGACCAAGCAGCAAATATGGGTACCCAGAAGGATGAGGTTGTAAAATGAATACCATGCCTTCTGGCACCTTACAAGCAGCATATTGCACAGGTTGAATACTTCCCCATCATCAACACTTCACAGGTTTATATACTCTACTATTCATCATCTGAGAATAAACACGGACGCTTTGTTAGCCACCGAATCCAGTGACAGCCTGATTCTAGCGAGTACTCAGACCAATGAGTGCTCTGTCTATATCACATAAACGGCAGTGTTTTCGTGCTTGACATTGCTTCAATGATAGGAAGTGGTGGGGTTCGCACCAAGTTCTTACAGGGAGTAGGGCTCATTTACCATGAGGTATAGATGGCCTCATTTCATTAGCTGTTTTGTTTGTTTGTTTGTTGTTTAACCCTGCACTCAGCAATATTCCAGCTATATGACGGTGGTCTGTAAATAATCAAGCCTGGGACAGACAATCCAGTGATTGACATCATGAGCATGGATCTACGCAATTGGGATACGATGACATGCATCAACCAAGTCAGCAAGTCTGACCCCCGGATCCCATTAGTCGCCTCTTATGACAAGCATAGTAACCTTGTACAGCAAGCATGGGTTGCTGAAGACCTATTCTAACCCGGATCTTCACAGGTCATTTCATTAGCCCCCGATACCATTCCGTATACACAAATGTACCCTAGCTTGGCAAAATATGTACGGCACTCTTTAGATTCACATTGCATGAAACAGCTTTCAGTTTGACTGTCAAGTAAACTCTGACACTGTTTATCTAATCCCATATTCAGCGCTGTAATAACTGCCACATTTCTAGACTCCCGTTCTGGTTAGGGTACATTGATGTATACAGAAAGGTACCTGGGGTACCTCAACCGCCATATTCCAGGTTGCCCATGGTTACCTCCTTGCAGATGTTCTCCAGGTCTGCCCCTGTGTAGAAGTCAGTTTTTGCAGATAGGATACTGAGGTCCACATTGTCTAAAGGCTTCGTCCGAGTAAGCACTTTGAGAATCTCATGGCGAGTCTGGAAAGCAAAATGTTATGAGAAAGCTAAAGTATTTTATGTTCTACCATGACGTTGATGAATGCTTGATTCTAATTGGTTAAAAAGAGGTTTCCTTTTTGCTACAGAAACCCCTTTCAAATATATTAAGCCTTTTCACACAAAAAACGTGTGTATGAATACATCCTTACTCTACATATCAATTCATACAAAAATAGCTGCCGATCAATCAACCCCATATGAATTGTAAAACGTAGCTATATTTCCTCTATTACACGCTGGGTCTCAAATACAAGCAAGGTCTCTAATACACGCCGAGTCAAGGGCTCTCGCGAAATTAATAGACGGACTAGCGTCTAATAGAGGAAATACTGTAGTTTGATATTGGATGTTTTTGGCGTTCTAGGCCGCAACCCTGACTGCTACGTTGATGACATTACAAGATTTAACGAAGGCATATCTTTTCCATACAAATGAAATATTTATAAAACTGTTAGGGACATTCTGTGTCGACCAGAATCGAAACAGGCTACATGTATTTCCTCATTGAAACAACAGACAATGACAGTAAAATAAAACATTATAAAACATGTTTTAAGAAGCTAAATTGAAATAAGAGGTATCTACTCTACAGTGGGACTACATAAAATTTCAAAACAGAAGGTTTATCTCCTAAATACCCTCATCAGCAACATTCAACTCATTTTCTCATCTTGTTATTTTAGTTGCAGCTTTACTATATATTTTGTAAATTAATCAATAACCATAAGCGTCGCCTATGGTATAGCTGATCGCTATTGCTGGATATATTTACGTATAGAACAATTTGACAATCACCATTGATGCTACCACGATTGTGATTGCGTACAAATCATATTGACATACAATAGTCAAACTACAACAAATATGACTTTCAACGAGTTAAAGTATGGCAGTTATAATATTATATACATGTATATCCATTCTCTGTCAACTAAAGTTCGTTTTAAGGCTTCAATAGGGGTAATCTGACCGTGGTTGCTGGAAACAATGGTGAGTTGAACAATCTGCCTATTACTTCACCCAGGATTTCGCCAAATTGATTGTAAATAATATTGAATGAAATTATGATTAAAATTAATAAAACAGGTTAGAAACATAAGTCCAGATATACGATGAACACTTTTATAACCAGACAGTGTAAATACAACATTAATTTGCATACTTCAGTACAGATTTGTTGACATTAACTATTGTGATAAAATAATACACTGTAGATCTACTTCATTCATTTTAACTTATAATTATTTTTATTTTTTTGACACATGCATTTTACAATCAAGGTTACATAGATCTACATTCATGTCCCATGCCATTGTGACACAATCATGTTCCATCTACTGCCATCATTACGTAATGTGTTGATCATCAGCAATGAATATCTGTATAACGTTCTTTGCTAGAACGCAGGGTTGGGATCTTGGACCCCAACGGCAGCGGTTTATCGAGGAATCACTATACATGCTTTTTTAAACTGACAGGATGAAATTTAGGGTTGGGATAGAGAAGGAAAATATTATATATTTTTTCATCTCACCGGCTCATCTGGAGGAGGGACATAGATGATTCTGTCAATTCTCCCTGGTCTAAGAATAGCTTCATCAACCAGATCTGGCCGGTTTGTAGCAGCTACCATCAGCACCTTGTTGTTATTCACTTTCTGCTTCTGGTGCATGTTATCCTGAAAAAAATAATTTGTCTAAATTCCATAAACAAACTAACCCGTGAAGATCCGTGGTAGAAAAGGTCTTCAGCAACCCATGCTTGCTGTAAAAAGCGACTGTGCTTGTTGTAATAGGCGACTAACTGGACCTGGTGGTTGGACTCACACACTAGGTTGATGCATGTCATCGTATCCTGATTGCGTGGATCGATGCACATGATGTCAATCACTGGATTGTCTGTTCCAGATTCGATCATTTCAGACCGCCGAATATTGCTGAGTGTGTCATTAAACAACAAACAAACAAACAAACTCAGCATTTTCTCATGTATGAAGGAAGCCAGTACTCAATGGTAACCTGTCACACCACTCTCATTAAATCAGATACTAAACCTCACTGTGTTCAGACCTGAGGACACTTCCACAGAAGGTTAATTGCGTCAGATGAACCCTGAGTGAACTTTGACCATCCAATCTAGATGAACTATGCATGGGTTCGCCAGCCAATAAGATTTCAGCTTTCCAAAATGATTTTACTTCATTTCTTTACCACCTTGAAATTCCAACACAATTTTTTTTTTTATGGTAAGTGCAGATGCCATCCCGCTCAAAAATGACAAGGTGAATAAAATATCACAGCTCTTTTTTTTATCCAGTCGGAAGTCTCCAATTATATATATATATATAGTATTGGTAAAAAAAAAAGAGACACTTTGATCATGTTTATATTTTACCAAATGGGTTATTTCTTACTGAATATGATTCATAGCGGCATGCAAGCAGATTACTAATGTGCTGTAACGTTACGCCTTGCTTATCTCTCTTGTTGCTAGGGTGATCATGTGATCATGCCGCGAGCATTACTCTTTTCGTAGCAATGTCAACGTCAAGAAATGAGGCAAAATCATCGTATAATCATGGATTTTCCTGCTGCCTCCCCAGACTTAAATCCCATTGAGAAAGTTTGGCAGATTGTTAAAGACAACGTTGAAAAGTTGGAACTGTCAGATGTGACTGAGTAGAGAAGAGTAATTCACAGAACGTGGACCTCCCTCACCCAAGAACTGATAGACTCTCTGATAGATTCCATGCCGCGACGCATTTCTCAGTGCCTGGAGAGAGAAGGTGGACAGACCCCGACTACTGAAGTGTTTATAAACTGTAAATGTTGAAGGGGTATGCAAAATTTCATTGAAACTCGTGTCTTCTTCTTTTTTTTACCAATACTATGTTCATTTTTGAGATACAGAAATCAGCTATGCTAGTTTGCAGGGTTAGTGATAAACAGTTAGGATGTCACAGAGGCGGATCACATGATCCAAAGTTTACTCGACTCTTACAACAAGCATGAGGTACTGTGACCCAGAATCCCCACAGTATCACAGAAACAAAAGAGTAAAAAATCGTAAAACATAATCATCAAGCTGGTTGTCAACCTTCTCTGGGCTCAGTTCTCCCTCTGCTTCCTTGAGTGACGTGGTACTGTCGGTCTTGTCGTCCAGACGGATCCCAATACCATCCATCTCGTTGAGAAGAGTTGACAGGACTCGCTCTTGTACCCCTCGATGGGACCCGCCCTCTGACCTCTTCCCAACAATAGAGTCAATCTCATCCAGGAATAATATTGTAGGTGCCATGACTCGAGACTTTTGGAACACCTGTTGTGAAGTAAAAATCAAAGCCACTAAACAAGCTCATCTGGATATGTGTGTGTGTACTTGCAATGTTCATGATATATGGAATCATGTTAATTACTGACTTGACAAACTTCAAATATTTCGCAATTGGATGCTTCGATCAGTATGCAATCTGGACCCTATATATGTAAGATGCTGCGTTACACAGCGATGCCAGATCTGCCCCAACATAGCCATTAGTAACGTCAGCCAAAAGGTCAAGGTCAATGTCTCCAGCTAGCGGCAGACAGGCAGAATGGATTTTGCAATTATGATGCTTTAATCAGTATGCAGTCGTGACCCTATACACAAAATAATATTGTTATCATTTATTGCCATGAACTACTATTCACAGTAGTCCCAAGGAAATAGATAATGACAGCATGGGCCTTTGTCTCGAAAAAGCTGCCTGTCATGTGGCCACGAGTATTGGTGGAGGGCTTGATTTGTTGAATATTTCCAGCTTCCCGGCTCAAACAATCAAGGCCTTTAGCATGGTTATTATCATAGAAATAAAGGTTCAGTCTACTTTTGAAACGATCAAGTCAGTCTTGGCTAGTTATCAGAATCACGGGTTGGTGATCTTAACTGCAGGATACTACTACAAGTGGTACAAGTGGTACAAGTGGTACAAGTGGTACTACCATGCTATTTGAAGATTTGAGTGTATTTGAAGATATTGAGTTAAATAGGTACAAGTTCAATGCCACACCTCTGTCACCATCCTCTCAGAGTCTCCTACAAAAGGTGAGAACAGCTGAGCTCCACTGAGGGACACAAATGCAGAATGTGTTGCAGTAGCCGCTGCCCTCACTAGAGTGGTCTTGCAGCACCCCGGGGGCCCATACAGCAGCACTCCCCGTGGAGCAGGGAGGCCCATCCTAGTGAAGGCTTCTGGGTACAGCAGGGGCCATTCTACTGCCTGGAATGTGTATATACATAATACATATAAACAATAAGACTTAAGACAATGCAAATTCCTTCAAATATGTATTGAGTTATAAGACTTATTGAGTAATAAGTATATTATTTATACAGATTCTGCTGAAACAAAAACATTGTCCTCCTCCTCCTCCACCTCATTATCATTGTATGAATGAGAAGCAGAAGTGTTGCTGTGTATGGTTAGAAAACACCACAGTATCATCTCAATGTGTCTAAGGGGGGTATGGATGGCCCAGTCGTCTACAGCGCAGCGACTTGCTGTGCAGAGTTGTGTCCCTTGGGCATGCCAGACACCTATGATTGTGGGTTTGAATCCCGGTTCAACCAGATTATGTTTCTAGGTTTGTCAGCACCATACCCATGCTCGTGGGTTTCACCGAAGTGTTAAACGTCTGAGACCTGCATCAATTCGGGCTTTCCTCCCACATTAAGCTGACACAATGTTATATAACTATAATACTGTTAAAAGCTGTGTTAAACCTAACTCACTCACACACTTAATGTGTCGGATGTTTATGGCTGTGGCTTCCTATTGGTTTGTCATCAGATACATATTCCAGATTAGTTCTTAGGGGCTCGGAAACCTTGTATAAGTACAGACATGATAGATGGATTTACTAATTGATGTAACACCATAGGTCTAACCATGACACATCTGAGCTCTGATCTGGCCCTCAAAGAATAACAAGTGTACCAACTTCAATTCTCTTAACTAGAGACTCTGTATTGTATACACATGATCAGGATCTCCATAGAACCATGTCATGAATATTTGGAAAAGACAATATACTTTATTATCATGAAAACATCATGCAATAAAGACATATGAGGTAGGGATTGAATTTAATGCAGTAGTTGCAAAGACTGAGACTGTAACTGTAGTATTGCAGATTGCACTCATCTTTTCATTGAAATGTGACAAATGCGAGTTAGGTGTTGAGGTGGCATTTCCAACCTGTAGTTTATATTTATAGGGAGGGAGTTTGTTGACAGCTGCAATTGAATGCACCAATAGTTCACTTTGACTCCTGGAGTGAGTGAAAGGGTTGGAAGCTGTATCAAGCTGACATATTCCCAAGGACTAACCTGTTTGATCTGAGCTTTCACTTTCTCCAGTCCACCAATGTCATCCCACTGTACAGGTCGTAGGTCAACGATGCCCTCCGATCCCTTCTGCAGAGAGGGTATCACTTTCCGTAGTGCTGATTGAAAGTGGCACATCTCCACACCAGGTATTCCCTTGGAAAAGGAAAAATATTTCCTCATCGACCAAGTCACAAAGCCTGACTACACAATCCACTCCTCACACCTTACGATAAGCATAGGCTGCTTGGGAGCTATTCTAACCCAGAATCTCTAATGGTCATAGACATGGTGAAGCATGAGCGTGACAGGTACAGCTAAATGCAGCACAATGCAGTTTGTTTTTTTGTTTGTTGTTTGACGCCACACTCAGAAATATTCCAGGCTTCCAGCTACATGTATAGGATGGGGGTCAGTAAATAATAGAGTCTGGACCAGACAATCCAGAGACTGACATCATGAGCACTGATTTACACAAATGGAATACAATGACATCCACCAACCAAATCAGTGAGCCTAAGCACCCGATCCCGTTAGTCGCCTCTTACAACAAGCATAGGTTGCTTGGGAGTTCTTTTAACCCAGAATCCCCACTGGTCATCGCGACGGTTTTGTTTTGTTTGTTTTTGTTTTACGCCTCACTCAACAATAGTCTGGCTATATGACGGCGGTCTGCAAATAATCGAGTCTGAACCAGACAATCCAGCGATTGATATCATAAGCATCGATCCATGCAATTGAGATACGATGATATGCATCAACCGAGTCAGCACGTCTGACCACCCTATCCCATTAGTCGCCTCCAACAACAATCATAGTCGCCTCTTATGACAAGCATGGGTTGCTGAAGACCTATTCTAACTCAGATCTTCATGGGTGAAACAAGAGCGTGACAGCCTTAATTAATACAACACAAACTTTCTGCACTTTACCACTTCTCTACCTGATGTCCGTGTGACCCAGCTTGTGCCATGGCTATGTAAGATGCTTCGTTACACAGTGATGCCAGATCTGCCCCAACGTAGCCATTAGTAACATCAGACAAAAGGTCAAGGTCAATGTCTCCAGCTAGCGGCAGACGGGCAGAATGGACAGCAAGAATCTCCCTTCTCTGTTCTCTGTTGGGAACATTCATGAGGATCTGAAAACACGAACTGATCCTGAAAATACCGTCATACACAAGCAGCATTGATTGGTGGTGTTAATTGTCAACTCAAGTTTAAAATATTTTTAGGTAACAGAACTAGATAATCAAATTTGAAGACAATTTAATGGTAATGTTTCATAAGAGAAGACCCAAATGAAATTTTAACTGATGTTTGACTCACATAGAATTGGGTATAAACTGTATATCAACCTGCACATTTGCCATAGTGAAAGTGTTTCTTGTCTGTAAATACTTTTCATACTAAATGATTAATATGTACACGCATGGATATACATTTTAAAAGTTTTTACTCAGTACATTGTATGTGAATAAAGTTCACCAATTAGTATTACCATTCACCATGATCGGGTGAATTTGTACCAATCACAGTAGGAACTGGACAAGTAGGAAGACGCCCATAAACCAACAGACAGGATGGATGCTGGCCCCGATTGTTAAAACTGCGGAGCATGCCAAGCAGCGGGAACCCATTTTAACCCCACCAAGGGGAATCCCCATCACTGGTAAATTTTTTTGTTTGGGGGCATTTTGCATGTTATTTTTTACCGTTTCTTTAACGCTATTTCTGTTTTTCAAATTTAAGTTTGGTCAAGCATTTGTGATTAAGTATGCCCAAAAGTATTAAAATCTGCAAAGTTGCTATGTTGACTTAACTTGCCCTTTAATTAGATTATCAATTTTGGATTGTAGACAAGAACAATGATTTGTGCAGCTTAATATAAATAAACCACCTAAGGACTGTAACCAATCTGTTTGCACGCACCTCTCTGTCAAACCTCCCCGGTCTCCGAACAGCTGGATCAAGTGCAGCAGGTCTGTTAGTTGCCCCAATGATGACCAGACCTTCTTTGTCCACCAGGGCATCCATGGATGACATTACTGCACTGGTCACACGAGAATCATTAGACCCACTGGACTTACCGCGTTTTGGACACAAAGAGTCTATCTCATCAATGAAGAGAATGCAAGGCCCTTCTTGACTCATCCTTACAGCCTTCTGAAAAACACCCCTCACATTCTCTTCGCTCTCCCCAGGATGTGGACTTAATATTTCTGGGCCATTTATTGTTACGAGTGCAGCTTGAGATTTTTGTGCAAGACTGCGAACAAGAGATGTCTTCCCACATCCTGGTGGCCCTCGAAGAAGAATTCCCTTGGGAAGAGGAAGTCCGAGATGTTTGAAATCAGATGAACATTTCAAAGGAAGGTGTAACAAGTCTTGCAAGCTTCCAGCAACTTTACTTACTCCACCCATTTCAAATCTGTTTGACTGATGTGACAACGAATATCTCTCCTCACTCTGAACACTGTCTATTATGATGTCAGTAAGTTCACGAACAACCCCACCATCTGTGTCATGCTTTGTGGACAGGGAGTTCACACACATATAAACAATTCCATACACCTTCGCCAATCTTGTAGTCCTTAAATCAACAGTACAACCTTTGATTACACATTTTTTCCTCAAACAATTGAGGCAGTAATTTTTTAAAGTCTTCTGTACAGCAGGAAATGTCTTCCACTCACAATACTTCTCCATGCTTTTGACAATTACTGTCACACTTGCACACACTGCATCTGAAATAAGCAGTGGTTGTATTCTGCACACTAAATTATGATTTAAGTTTTTTGGTTCATGTAATGATTTTGGACTTTGATCATTTCGTTGGACAAATACACAACCATCATACTGAATAGTGTTATTGTCTGGGCAGACGCTATGGGGCCACATGCTGCAGATATAGTCCTTCTCCTTGATGCCTATACGAACATAAGATCCGACAGTGCTTGACAGCTGCTCTATGAGATGTAATCCGAGTCGACACTTTTGCTGTCCAGTGTCTGCCGAGTCGACTGGATTGATTAACACATGCTGCATTTCAATGTCCATTATCTGAAATAAATAATAACAGCATACAAACATTTCGCTCTTCCACTGAATATTGGTTAAGCTAAAAATAGATTAATCAGATTTTCATTGCTGCCAACCTTACTACTTCCGTGTAACCTTTTTTCTTTTCTTTATGAAATACACCTTTTATGAAGTCCTACAAATGTTAGGTAGACAGCATACTCTGGGTGGGTGAGTATTAGTGTGCTCTGATGGCATTTTTAGCAATAGCTAGGCAATAATGGGAAGGGACACAAGACGCCTTGAAAACATGAAAATCAAAAAATAAATTAAACCAAATACACACATCATTTACAAATGTGGTTGAAAATCTAATACTTAATCTAATGTGGCATTACTTATTTACAAAGATATAAGATATTCACTCATGCAGTCTATTTTTCTGATTTCGAATAAAACAAAGGAAATCCATAAATTGTTCCAATAAGATGGCATCCAATAAAGTAATCATACCTCCTAATTATTATATAGATCTTTGTTGTTTCTGTGAGTATTATTTTTCCAAATGTGTACACGTCCAAGGGAAATAACTCCACTGGCCAAGTAACTATAATTTGGTTGAACATGAATTTCATGAGGCCACGAGGGAATAAAATATCTATCATACTTTTTTATGAGTAACTCACCTTAAGTTAGTATCAAGTTACAATATAATTCTAAATAGGTAAAGGATGTTTTTTTCTGATACCGTTATCTTTCAAAATGACTCCGTGCCATCACACACTTTTAACAGTTTGCAAGAGAATATGCGAACAGGGGGGCTGCCATTTTGGAATTAAAATATTGAGAACCGGACAACACCATGTAATATTACACAAGTGTATGTGCTGTAACATTCATTTTTGATATTCTAGGTAAGTTTTATAATTAAATGTGATTGTTGTAAGCAGTGAAATATGTTTAGAGTACTGCAGTGTTAAATACATCGGTGTTATTAAATGTTAGTAAATATTTTGAGTCCTCCGGATTTTAATACAAAGATGGCGGCGTGTATACGCTGTGCATGTGCTTTAGGAAAGATAAATTTTCTCAGTGTCGGCAAGTCATCTGTTTCGAAAATTTCAGTCGCTAACTATGCCAAGAAAGTGGGAGGTAATATACCCAAACGTTTTGCAAAACATGGTTTAGTCTCATATAGACTAGCCGATAAGTCGTTAGCAATTGGATTTATTTTGAGAAATAAAATCATGCATTTACGTAGGCCATAAAAAAAGTAAAAATCAGATCATTTTAAACACTTGACGCTTATAACTGACGGTGAAATAGGAATATATTAAAAACGTTTTTGTGTAATTTCATCATGTTCATGGCTAGAATGTTGCTAAAATCTTTTAAAGCCACCGATAGGTTACTATGATTAGTTGTTGTTTACGCCGCGCTCAGCAATATTCTACGTAGGTCTATATTACGGCGGTTTGTAAATAGTCGAGTGTGGACAAGACAGTCCAGTGATTGATATCATGAGCATCCATCCACACAATATTGGGATACATGGACATGCATCAACCAATTCAGCGAACCTGACCACCACCCAGCAAACAATTCTACGTTGTGACAACGTTGTGACAACGTTGACTTTTCGTTGCTACAACGTTGTGATGTTACGTTGTCACAACGTAATTCTGTAGACTCCCAGATTGGTTGCTACAACGTTGTGCGTAAACCAAAATACAACCAAATCAAGACGTTGTCACAACGTCCATTTTTTACGTTGCTACAACGTTTAACCAAAACGTCGCGACAACGTACCCAGCCAACAATTCTACGTTGTTACAACGTTGTGACAACGTTTACTTTTCGTTGCTACAACGTTGTGATGTTACGTTGTCACAACGTAATTCTGTAGACTCCCAGATTGGTTGCTACAACGTTGTGCGTAAACCAAAATACAACCAAATCAAGACGTTGTCACAACGTCCATTTTTTACGTCGCGACAACGTAGGTATCGCATACTGTTTACATATGGCGACACTACAGGCATTGCAGCACGTTGTTGCAATGTCCATGTAGATTAACGCCTGTTTTATTCCTCAATACCTCCCAGGCAGCCTGAAAAGTTTGTACCAATCTAGTTAAGACGTCAGGTACCAAGAAATACATTCTGCAAACTGAATTCACTTTAACCCTATCCATGAAACAGCAAGTCAATGAAATGCACTCTCTTTTGGCAGAGTTTGAAATACGGCCAAGATATAAATCTAAATTTTTTAAATTACATGTACAATTTGGTAATATAATATTCATTTTCCAAAACAATTTTCAAGTCTATGTGCAAATTGTTCACAAATGTTTCAACACAATTAAAAGATATTGGATTTTCCCACGAATTTGCAAATTAAAAACCATCAAACAATAAGCCCTGCACAAATTGAAACATTTAAATTTTCTTGGCCTTACCTCATACATTCAGCATTGAGAGCAACACTGTGACAAACAGAATAGTCTATGCATCTGATGTCCTAAGATCCATTAGGTAAACGAAATGACAATAGAATTCTGGTTGAGGTGACCTTTATTTATTTGTTAAATGACAAGTCAGAACATGGGCTGAGTTGCTGGGGAGCCTTTTCAGTCCTCAAATGAAAAGTCACAGGGATGATCTTCAACTGTATCCTCAGTCTCTCCTTATGCCTTGGTAACTGAATAAAAAATGACACAAATGTTATAAAATGGCAAGGCAAGGGACATATTTCTGACATAACAAAATAACGGTTGCATTCCCCAAAATAATGTTTTGATGTCTGATGTCAGTCTTTAAACTGTTAAAAACTGCTGAAAGTGCGAAGGCGCTGACACTAATACCATGATGCTCTTGGATCATACATAAGCAGAAAAGCTTTTAGCACTGAATCATTGGTGTAACTTTATACCCCCGCCCTTTTAGATTGTGGGTATAATTAAATAAGAATCATCTAAATTTTAATTCTTGAAGATGTTTGTATATATTATTGAATCAGACATACCTTTCTGTCAGTGATATGTACTTTAAACAAATACGCTCCCACAATACTGTTTTCTCCACCTGAAAGAAAAACAGAAACCACAAAGTATCACATTCTTAAATAAACCAGTACTGTATAGATAAATCCCATTTACTTAGACTAATAGAGTATGATGTAACTGATAGTAATATTGGCAAATAGTTTTATCAGTCAACAGATCAACTGTAGTTTTTCAAAAGCAGTAACTTTACCTTTCTGCTGTACACTCAAACTAGTGATTCAAGTGAATATCATGGCCAAGTTTCTAAAACCTTATTTGAAAATTATGTACATAAATGAAAAATATATATTGCCAAATAAAATAAATAGTTCCCATATTTGAAGCAAGAATGTTGAATATGAATTATGAATTGGCCCACCAATAAGTGATAAAAGTGTTAACACTTTGGGGTATTTATCCTAATTAAAACTGTGATTTTTTTTAATACTTAGATCTACCTTCATATTTTCCATATTAATATGCCAGGATAGTTATATATGTTCTAACATTTACAAAGATTAGAAACATGGGGAAATAAACAAAATGCAATGGCTTATACAATACCAGACGAAGTTGAAACAGCTCTAAATATTTATTGAAATTTATTTGTCACTACGTTTATTAACATAGATCTAATACAGTTAAATATCGTTAAATATAATTCTGTAGTATGGTAGCCTACGTGGCAACATATGCAGATCGAAAACCGAAAGAATATGGTTGCTATCAATTCCATTGTATTTTTCATTGGTGCACATTGGCTACACCTATCTCACTTTAATAATCAACAAACGATGACCAACTCACTGACAATATATGGTGATATTTAACTTTTGACTATCGACTAGCTTATCATCACCAGAGAGGACAATACCGCAAACACCCCGTTATAGCGCGCGACGAGAGACTCGTTTTACTTTTGCTCGTTTTCATTAGAAAGGAGTCGGACATAGATCTAGTTATCGGAAAATGATGAATTGATTCTTTTTTTCGGAAATAATAAAAATACACATGATAAGCACCTTACTATGATAAACTTTATAGACAGCAGCAACAACCTGATGATCCACATTTAGGCTACTTCAGTCAGTGCTAATTAGGCCTTTTCGGAAACATCAAGTATGTTTCTGTCTCTTCCCGAAAATACGATTCTTTTCATAACATCATTGATCACTTTAGACTAGGGCTATAACTAGCAGCCTACAGAGAGTCGATCTGAATACTTCCATTGTTTTGATTCCCTCTTTTCGCTGTATAAGAGAAATCTACTTAACCTTTCCCATGGCCTGGATGAGCCACATTGTTGCACAAAAATCAAAGTCAGAAGATTAGTACATGTAAACTTTAAATAGTAATGATTTCAGAAATAACACAGAAGAAATGGCGATAACTGTCAGTGCGGTCAGTAGGCGATGCATAAGTTAGGCCTATTTACAAATCTACACGCTTACGAACGAAACCCGAACATAATATGACGGCCACAAAACGCCACCAGATTGAATTCTGGTCAAAAATATACCGCTTGCCCTTGGCAATTACCCTTGGTATCCATAAAATAATAATATGGAAAAAAGTCTTGGGCCCCCTTCACCTCTATCATCAAGTTCTGTGTATCATTTAATATCAACACTGACGCTCAGTGAAAATGACCGGCAAATGCATTCTTAACCCTGCCACTTCTGAATAATACGATACATTTAGATCATTTGACGCACTGCATGCACAGAAACATATCAACAAGCGGAGACTATTTTTGAAAAATTAACTTACCTCAATCGAATTCACAGATCATCTGTCCAGTTCCAGTTGCTGCACAATCACTTGCTTGTAATATATTATGTCCAGAGTGAGTTTGAGCTAAGATGGCTGGTGACAACAAATCTTCCGCGACAATGTGACGTCATTCTGACGTCACTTCACGAGGCAACAGGCTAAACTTTTCTGCAGTCGCTCTCACGCCGCAAAAAATACGCGCCAATTGTTTTTAACTGTAATATTGCTTGTGACAACATTTAGTTCGTTAATAGATATATATGTTTAAAAAAAATAACACTAAGAGATGGTAGATCTACAAGTGGTTTCCTAAACATCATTTACAAAAAGTACTGTAATGTCCAAAGCACAACGTTATCACAACGTTAATTTGCAACGTTGTTGTAACGTTGTCACAGATATACGCAATTACGTTCTCGAAATATTAGTATTAAGAGATGAAAATTCAAATGCCGAATATATAGAAAGGTAATGCATTACTAACCTGGTTTTCTGACAAATTCATGTTGATTTTGATAAAGCAGTTCTATTCCTTCTATTCTATTCTATCGAGAAGCAAACTCAATAACGTTTCACCGACGTTTCAGAAACGTAGTTACAAAACGTTGTGTAATGTTCAATGCACAACGTTTTCACAACGTGAATGTGCAACGTTGTTATTACGTTGTGAAATAACGTTGCAGGTCGACGTTAAAATAACGTTGTTACAACGTTATATCACGACGTTACCAATCCACAACCTTTCAACAACGATGGAAGTGCGAATCATGCATGTATGGCGAAAATGTTATTGTCATTGTTTGTTGTTTAATCGCCTCTTACGACAAGCACGGGTTGCTGAAAAGTGAAAACCAAATCTAACATTATTGTAATTTTCTGCCAAAATGTAGTTTATTTCGAGTAAACACCTTTGTTTTTACGCTTTTCGCGATGAAGACTATTTGACGTCGCACCAACGTATGAGAAACGTTGTCATCATAACGTTGCATGGCGCCCGATGCACAACGTTTCCACAACGTAATTTTGCTACGTTGTGATTACGTTGTCACATAACGTTGGAGTGACGTGATAATAAGGTGTTTACACAGACTTTAGTTTATTTACGAGATGGAAATCCTGATTCCGAAGATATAGGTAAATAATGAATTACTGCCTTGTTTATGGCAGAAATTGTGTCGATTTGTATGTAAAACTTTTGTTCATACAATTTTCGTTAAGGCGACAGTTGACGTCGCACCAACGTTTCAGGAACGATGTAACAAGACGTTGGGAAATATTCGATGAACAACGTTTTCACAACGTAAAAATGCAACGTTGTTATTACGTTGTGAAACGACGTTGCACAGTGACGTAATAATAACGTTGTGACAACGTTGTATCACTACGTTACCAATTCACAACTTTACCACAACGTTGTGAAAACGTAGTGTGTTAGCTGGGCAGCTCCCGTTAGTCACTGGAGAGTTCACAACACATGCTTGCTACTGACCATATGCATGTATACTTTTAATTTTCAATTGGTGATCTGTTCCAGGCAAAGGTGGTGCCAAGATGGGAGCTCAGCGAGTGGCCAAAGTGTTGTTGGAGGTGGAGACGGATGCTGCAAAACTGACCAAATACTGTTGTGGTGCCAACATTACTGTTCACGGGAAGGACCCTGAGTTGAAGGCAGACAGTGAATACCCAGATTGGCTGTGGTCCATGAGAACAGCAAGGTCACCACCCAAACTGTCTGAATACGAAGAAGATTCATTTGAAATGTGGAGGCGGAAAAAGAAACTTGCACTAAGAAGGCAAAATCGTCTGCGAAGTCTTGAGGATATCAAGTCTTAGTTTTGGAGAAATATTCTGACAGCTGTGATTGTAAAATAGCTATGGAGAAGTAGAGTGTATCAGTTCCTGTGTTTAACTGACTTTTGTATTATTTGTGGTGATGACTTTATGGAGAAATGTATTCAGAGAATAAATAAACTGACATATTCTGTGTCTGTTGGTTATGTGCACATTCACAAGGGTTGATGTGATGGAATATTTATGAATCAGAATTACAGCCAGTTGAGTTCAAACTCACTCTGATATCATCAATGTGACTTAAGCACTTAGCAACACTTCTTTTTACTGGAGGCTAAAGCCAAAATTAGTAAAGAAAAATAGTTGAAGCTGTTTTTCATCTATTTTTTTCAGATTGCTTGCTCATGATTGATCAGAAAAAACTAACAGATGTAAAACTTAAAATTCTTACAAAATTACAGACTTTTATCTTTCTAAATAATAATTAATCAGACGTATTGTATGTAGTCTTGGCAACTTCAAACCCCTTTCAAATGTTCAGTGCCTTTAAGAAGTAAATACAAATACATGGTACCATGGTTACTGTAAAACTCCACACCCTGCACATTAAACAGAGTTAGCAGTTATTTCTTCAAATTATCCAACCGCAGCAAATTTTATTTTATTTTGACTGCTCAAGCTAATTGGTTATAAGCCAAATCTGTAAACCCAACACTAGAGAAAATGTCAATAAACATTTTAAGGATGAATCTTTTTTATGTAAAAATGAACCATGATGAACATCTTTCTCCTTACTGTTGCAAAAATGTGTGCAGCCTGTTTTGGACAAAACAAATTACCACTCGAGTTATAAATCTTCCCATTTAGGAAAGCTTTTGTACTTAGGTACCACTGACATCATCGTAAATGTCAGCAGTTACCATGGTGACATCACTATAACATTCTCTATTCTCTGTATACAACCACTTAAATGAGGTAGGATTATTATGAGATATAAAATTGATATTTTCAAGAGATTGTATAATAAGAATAATAATACATTCGATCAAGTATCATTTACTTACTTGTGTTATTTTGTTGTATTTCTGGAAGGAGTTCTCAAATGATTGCTGGTTTAGTTATAAACAAATGCTAAAAGAATTCTTTGCTTACAAAATAACATAATTTACTTTAAGGCCACTCTTCTTTAGTTTTATGTTTTACGGATTTATTCCAGGTTTAGCATACGAGGTCTGTGGAAATAACACTAAAATTAAATAGCTGTGTCCATTCATTCATTCATTCATTCATTCATTCATTCATTCATTCATTCATTCATTCATTCATTCATTCATTCATTCATTTGAAAGTCAGTCATTCATTCATTCATTCATTCATTTGAAAGTCATTCATTTGAAAGTCATTCATTCATTCATTCATTCATTCATTCGTTCATTCGTTCATTCATTCATTTGAAAGTCATTCATTTGAAAGTCATTCTGCTGTGGAGTCATTCTGCTTTATTGTATAAGAGGGTCTATATTACTTGCGGGAGATGTAATAAAAAACAAAATAGTTTTATGTTTAATTTATTTCTTGGACCGGCTGCTTTTCAGTAGGGGCGAGGGGCCTGTGAAACGAAAAATAGAAAATGTGAACATGGTGTAGCCCATCACTGTTTAATAAGTCTGGCTCCATGCTGTAACCTATGTCATGAAAGATTTACATAAAATCAGGAATGGCACAACAAGCATGGATGACAATTTCATTATTTACACTTATGCAGGTACAAGCACCATTATGATGATTATCATTATCCACAAGCATGAGAATAGTGTTGACAAACCAAAGATCATGATTGTCCATTTCTGGGATTAGAAGACATGTCGAGCAGGTCATGGTTTGAGGCTATCACCACTTGAAACACTATGTCATGCTTATATCAGCTTTGGGGTGGTGGGGTAGCCTAGTGGTTAAAGCGTTCGCTCGTCATGCTGAAGACCCAGGTTTTATTCAAAACATGGGCACATTGTGTGAAGCCCATGTCTGGTTTTGTTTGTTTGTTTGTTTTTTAAAGCGGCACTCGACAATATTCCAGCAATATGACGGCGGCCTGTAAATAATCGAGTCTGGACCAGACAATCCAGTGATTGATATCATGAGCATCGATCCACGCAATGGGGATACGATGACATGCATCAACCAAGTCAGTGAGCCTGACCACCCGATCCCGTTAGTCGCCTCTTACAAGCATAGTTGCCTGTTACGCCAAGCATGGGTTGCTGAAGCGAGTACCAGTGTATGGTATTAATGACCATAGTGTGATCAATCTCATTAAAATCAGTTCTAAACAATGTGTTTACTGGTAGTGAGAACTAAGATCTGATTTTAATGAGATTGTTGTAGGATAAGACTGACACCTACACTCTATGGCTCTTTCATGACCAAACATGCTCAGGGACACAGCTCTGCGAAGTGAGTTGCTACACTTCAGACAACTGGTTGCTCTGTTCCCAAGACATTCCTGCAGCATTCTTGAAGCACAGCAGCTGCTTGTCACAGCAACAATGTTAAGCTACGCTCATTAACAGTTCAATATAGCCTTGTAAAGAGGATTTTATGCCACTTCTGTGAAAATTACCACTCTTCCACACAATTGATTGTGCAATTGTCATGTTTGGGTTAATGGAGACAGTAATCTTTGTGTTTGTTTGCCCTACTGTTTTGTTATCGGTTATTGATATCCAAATGAACTCAACCAAATAATTCCCAGGCAACCAACCAAAATGTAAAAGTTATTTTGGGTCATTAACCTGACCGGTATATATTCATGCCAAATAAAATTGGAAATATTTAGGAATGGAAATTCATTTTTATTTCCACCTACCTACATAAGTTGTCTGTTTTTGTTTGTTGCCAAGTTTTTGTATCCAGCTACATGACGGCAGCCTATAAATAATACACTGAGTAATGATCCATGTTATTAGGGTATGAAGGCACACAATAAACCAAGTCACTGAGCTTGACCACCTGTTCTTTTAAGTCTCTTTGTACAACAAGCATAGATTGCTTGGGACCAGGTCTAACTCAGAATACCCATGGGGTGTCCTGTTGGTAAAATCTCTCAATCATAGAGTCTATACTTGTGGCCAAGTGAAAACAGCAATGTTAATCATGTTTGGAGTAGAGAGAGGTCTTGGGGGCTGCTGCTCCACATATTCTCCTGACAAAAGCTATGATTTGTTTGTTTGTTGTTTAATGCCGCACTCCAGCAATATTCCAGCTATATGACGGCGGTCTGTAAATAACTGAGTCTGGACCAGACAACACAGTGACTGACATCATGAGCATCGATCCACACAATTGAGTGAGTGAGTTTGGTTTAACACCGCTTTTAACAGTATTCCAGTTATGTCATGGCCTGTCAGCTTAATGTGGGAGGAAAGCCCGAAGTGATGCAGGTCTCAGACGTTTACCACTTCGCTGAAACCCACGAGCGCGGGTATGGTGCTGACAAACCTAGAAACATAATCGGGGCGAACCGGGATTCGAACCCACAATCATAGGTGTCTGGCGTGCCCAGGGGACACAACTCTGCACAGCGAATTGTGACGCCTTAGAATGCCCCCCACGCAACTGGGATACAATGACATGCATCAACCGAGTCAGTGGGCCTGACCACCCGATCTCGATAGTCGCCTCTTACGACAAGCATAGTTGCCTTTTACGGCAAGCATGGGTTGCTGAAGACCTATTCTACCCTGATCTTCACAGGCCCAAAAGCTATGAACAATACATAAGAGAATAACAATGACAACTATAATAATACATAATTTTATTAACAAATCTGATTTGAATAATTTGGGTACAGTAATATATTTGCAACCCATTTCAGTTCAAAAGTAAGCACCATTTGCAATCACTGAATCAAACAAAACATATCCACTTTGGCTGTCCTCCAATAGATGAAAGATTACAAACAGGTTCATACTGAACACGTTACACGGTGACACACACAATATTCAATATTATTTACATTTGTCCTCATTAGAATATGTAAGTTGCTGTTAAAATTAATAACAGCATGATGTATAACAAACGTTAAGAATATTCTTATATTACACATGTTCGATGCTCCTCTGGGACTCCCAATGATACAACAGAGTATAAGTCACATGCACAAACCAGTTAAGATATTAAAGTAGAATGTTTCTGCATATATGGTTGATGATTGCCATTAATAACTTGACAATTTTCTCAAGAAATCCCACAGAAATAACAGTCGTAAAATTATGGACAGTTTTTATTAAAAAAATATATATGGACATGTAAACATATTTCTGTGTATTGCTCTAAAAACTATTTATTTCTGTATATAGGTTACGGGGTAATGATCTGTTTACACATTTGTTAATACAGATGATTAGGAAACACTCTTAATGATTAAATAACCTAAGCACTATTAGATACCATGTACAATGCAATATCAATATGTTCTACATAACAATATATACATATATATAACTATGACTGCCTATATAAAAGTTCAGAATAAACATGATAAAGCATTAACACACAAATAATACTCCTCTGATGAAAACATGGACGTCCCAAACAACTACCTCAAAGGGCCTTGCAGTGTTCAGAGTGAGAGTTATTTGTAAAATGAATGGAAGTGTATATGCAATCTGACAATTTTCAAAAAGTATAAGGGATTGGATCAAGGACATTTTGTGGACTTTTCACAGTGCATAAAAGTTCTCAAGGTACAGGATTATTAACTGAGTGAGTGAGTGAGTATGGTTTAACGCCGCTTTTAGCAATATTCCAGCAATATCACGGCGGGGGACACCAGAAATGGGCTTCACACATTGTACCCATGTCGGGAATCGAACCCAGGTCTTCGGCGTGACGAACGAACGCTTTAACCACTAGGCTACCCGACCACCCCGGATTATTAACTGACTCAGATCTAGTAAACATGTTTTAGTTGGGCTACTAGTTACCATGTTTTAGTTGGGCTACTAGTTACCATGTTTTAGTTGGGCTACTAGTACTATTAATTTTCTTTGATAATGCAAAAATGTTCCCTTAACGTGTCAAGTGTAAATTTTTCATGTATCATGTCATGTATCACAAAGACAAGTATTGTTACAACCATACAATAATAGCACTATTACACATGCTACAGTAGTATCTCTATGCTAAAGCATAGGAGTTACTGATTACAGCTCCATGCTATTATGACATATCCCAGGAAGTGACATCACCAGCTTCATACCTCTTATTACTAATTCAGCACAGAATTTCTCTCGTTCATGAGCCTGAAATCAACAACCAATCAAACTGCTTCTGAATGTGACTTTGGCTCAGATCTATATTCAAAATTGTGTCATCATCCGAGTGAGCCCTCCAATCAGGAGGATAATTGTTATCAATTAACTTATAGATGAAAAAGATTTTTCCTGAAGAAGGGAGGGTGCAGGAGAAAGTCCTTATCAGTCAGGGTCACTTCTTGTTTATGTGGGTTTTCAGGGGTTTTATTTCCATAACTCTGTGTGGGAATTCATTTTCATGGTCATCCTGACTGTTTATAATTGTATGGTTAAAGACGTTCTGGTAATATTTAAGACGGCATGAAAAGTCGAGGTGAAGACTAGTGATATCAGCCTGTTTCAATCATGATAGAACAGTGTAATTTCATTTGATGTCTATCTTTCAGTGTTGCGCCATTAAAACGAGACACAGAACACTGGGATGGCGGTGAATGGGTCCAGGTCCCTATGTCACGAAGTAACCATAGCGCTAAGACTATTGTAAGCCTTTGTTTAACTGCAGGATTTACCATCATCTTAGCACAGTGATCACTTTGTGAAAGGGGGTCCTGGATGAATGCTATAATAGAATAGAACCCGGGTGTTCGATGTGACAAGTGAACGCTTTGACCACTAGGCTACCTGACCGTCCCTAAACATGCTAAAGGAACAGAGATATGATAAACTATCTTTATATAGAGGAATCAGGATTTTGCCAGGAATAAGATCACTGAGGCACATTCAGTCATTGTTAGAAACCAAATGTCAAGAAGGAACCAATCGCATGTCTGGATTCCATGTTGTGATGATTCCAATAACGGATGAGACCACACCCACGGCACCTTGCACCCCAGCTGAAGCATTGATCCGCTTCAGTGCGGCCAGCGGAAGAACAAGATCACTCATATTACGAACAAAGTCCAGAATCAGCGGAACACTTTCTTGAAAACATGATAGCACAACCTCTGTATCATTGGGGATATGGCGTGTTTTGTATTTGTGGTTAACATCACCATTTCCATAGTGAGACTTTGAAGCCCTCTCGTTGCGTAACCTTAGTTCTTCGATGATAACAGTCCACATTCCATACACATCTCGTATGAGGTTGAGGATTATAGTAACTAGCCAGAAACGGGCCGACAAATCCTTCCATTTGGCACTGTCGACTTTGGCTATGCCAATTCGGCCTGCCCATATGATGTGGTCAAAGAGAAGATAGCAAGCTTGGTTGATCTTGGATAGTGTGATTGTCAAACGAAGGACTGTGTCAGAGATGTGGATGCTTCGTAGGGCTGAGTGAAGAAAGTCAATGCTCTTTCCCAAACGTAGTACTGGAATGTAAAGGGCCTCTTTATTACCATGATTACTATATTCACTACAAACATGTTGTATCTTAATCAAAATTCAAACTTAAAAAAAAGGAAATAAGTTTGATAACAACATTTTCAAAGAGGCTTCAATTTGGATTCATGAATTAATTTGCACTTGGTGTAAGACCCACAGTATTATTTTACACTGCCATAGCAAATGTATTGTAACATGTGTAGATGGAAAGAAGTGTATAATGTAGAATATATAAGTATGGCTTAATTGTTCTATCAATCTGATAAAGATATTAAAAATACCTTTTCTCGTAGTGCTGAGGGCGTTATCCACATTTTTCAATTTTAAAATGATGTTCGGGTCAAAGTGTCCTTTCTGTAGGTACCACCATGCAAATTTGCTGGCATACTGGACTAATCTGAAAGATTGAATAAAACAACTGAATCAGCATGTATAAATATACATGGAAATCATACATGAACGCTCTGATGCCTAGTTCCTGACGAGGTGTTGATGTAATTTGAGTAGTTCGCAAAAGGTATAGTGTGAAAGATTGGCTCATGTAAATAAGTGATTACGATAATAAAAGTTATTGGTTGATTGATCTGGATGACAACACTTAAGTTTTTGAAACGACTGGAATGAAACTTGTCCAAATTTCAAATTTTAGCCAAACTTAAGCATATGATATGATCATGCTTAATTTCACTGATTATTTTCATAATATATCTACACATTGTTGGGTATACCATTCCAACAAAGCACTTACTCACCACCCAGACAAGGCCTCAAGTGTATCAAGCACCTGAGCCCAGTGTTACAGGTTCAAAGTGCAATAACCCACAATGACTCATGACGTTTTAACAGCTTGAACATCAAAAGACCTTTATATAAGTCATTTCACTGTGCAACACTCAAATATTGTAGTCAGTTTACAACCAAACACGTTTACCAATGCCGCATATGCTTATATTTACAATAGCACAATTAGGCTAAAATAGAGGTGTGATAGCTTCTCATATAACCACAGGTATAACGAGGAAACGAGCATAGGTTAGAGAGTCAACTGACATTGTCAAGTGAAATATTACAATGATTTTGTTTACCTTGCAAGTTTATCCCTTCCTGACGAAAGTGAGTTAAATTTAACCAAGTGTCCAACGAAATCTGAATCGTCAGCCATAGACGCCGGTAATGTGACAGAATTGTTGCCGGTGAATTATGCACCCACGTTTGTAAACATCGTTTCGTGCAGGTGCTCGATAAGGACGGTCAAAGGGCACTCTATACTATATTCATTACGGGTAATTTCGATAATATATATTTGCAGGTAGTATTTTTAAATGAGCTCATGCCTATCAACATTTACTTATTATTTAAATAACCCTGTATAAACAGATCTATAGTTTTTTCGTTATATTGTAAACAATATGACTAATATAATAGCACAAAATAATAGTAACAACATTATATTTCTATAGTTGTAATACTAATAGTTTTTCTAAGTATTTGTTTCAAAATGGCCGACTTGGTTACGAGAATTTGATCTGCAGCATGTTTACAGTTAAATCATAGAATTATTCCATGACATAAATTAATTAGTCAAAGCTTTTCTACACAAACTAGGGATCTGGGTTACTATTGTGTCGTGACAATAATCATAACCGTCCACAATGCCCGTTTATCTTCGCAAGAACGTCGTGTACACTCCTCCGTCCATAGAAAACGTATCGGATGAAGATGAAGATGACTATATTCAAGATCCAGAACAAATACGTGATGTTTTGCCACAGCCTTATCGAATGATAAACAAAGTTATTAATGGCGTTCTTGACGATGTTTGGGAGGACGTGTCACAGAAAGAAAGTGCTCGATTTGCAGAGCAGAGCAAGATCAGACCACCGAAATATGATTGTGCAGTTGAAATTCAGAATCAGGTGATATATTTGTCTGTAAATTATATTCCTTTTTTCATTTAGTGTAAGTATTCCGCCCTTATCTCCCGTCAAAAAATATATATAATAAAAAGAATTGACTGGCAATGCATACATATATAACTTTTGGAGGGGGGATATGGGCGAAAGGCTTTCCCAAATTTGGATGACTCCAAGACAAATCTAAATGATCCATACACTAATTTTTAGGACCCCGGACACAAAACGAATAGTGTTCAATAGAAATCTTGTTTCATCAAGTAACGGTAGAACTGATACCTTTTGTACAGAAGCGGTTGGGAGTACTAAATAGATTTTCCGGAATTTAGCCAGTTTTACAATGAAATTCATGGTCACCACAGCTTCTACAGTGTCAAATATCATTTTTAGGTCATTGCTACAGATAACAATAAAAGCAAATAATGTTTAAAACAATACCAAACCAATTAGTCTAGCTTCACATACATTACTGTATATAAGGGTGATTTATAATGTCAAGTTAATTCCAAATTTGATATGAGGAAAGCATACACTGTGCAAGAAAAGTTAGCTGTAGTAGAGAAATTAAGAGCTGGTGCTTTACAGGCCAGTGTGAGCCTAGTGGTTAAAGCGTTCGCTCGTCACGCCAAAGACCCGGGTTGATTCCCGACATTGGTACAACGTGTGAAGCCCATTTTTGGTGTCCTCGCCTTGATATTGCTGGAATATTGCTAAAAGCAGTGTAAAATCAAACTCACTCACTCAAAGAACCCCCTCCAACATGTGAATCATACTTAGAATTGCTGCTTGTATATATTTGACCAAACCATATACAAGATATGGCAAATATTGGAACCAATGATGAAAATGACATGTTACTTACCATTTATGGTTGTCTGTTTCAGACACAAGCAACATCTTTGGCAGATAGTGGTGATGGCAGATATATTTTCATTGGTCTGCCAAATGGATTATCAGTAATGGATGCATCTACACAGAAACCAATCACAATATGGGAAGAGGACAATATGGAGATTGTCAATATCAGATCACATGTCATGGGTGTCCAGACCTATCTCATAGTCACCCTTGACGATATGGGTAAAAACTAAATTTTATATGTATGATACATCAATTTGCGATTTAAGTAGATTATTGTAAATATGAATGAAGTAGCAAGCTGATTAACAGTTTTTTAATTTTGAATATCATTTGATATAGTAAAGAAGAAATAGTTTACTTTTTACAATTTTTGCAAAGCCATTACTTATTTTTTATAAAAGTAAATTCATTGTACTGATATATCTAGGACGTTAAGTTAAGAATGTCAAATGTTATTATGCTTAAAAAAATAAAAGAATTGGTTCTCAGACAATGACTTTTGAAAATATAGTGCGGGTGGGTGGTGTGTTTTTTTGTGTGTTTTTTTTGCTTGTTCAAACTAGTATGTAACAAAATAAACAATTGTGTACCATCAACCTGGGAAAGGGCCTCTCTACATAAACAAGTAATACAAACTTTTATTGCCCCAATGAGCATAACATGAAATGTGCAGTAACGCAGTGCGCATGTAAAGGGAAGTAACTGCATGCTATATTGGATCACATTGTTTTTAAATATTAGGATTTTTGGATTTAAAAAAAAATGGAAATAAAAACGAAACGTGCGACAGACTTTATGATGATGCAGGGGGTGCCTGAGAACCAAGACTATTATTTTTTTTAGCCTCAAGTTTGTAAAACTAGAAGGAGCTGAAATATTATTTGACTACTTTTCTGTCTACAGGAACTGGAAGATTATTTGCCTTTGCATTTGATTGTCTTTTCTTGCTGAAAGTTCTGAATGAACAGGTAAGGCTGCATTGTTTCATTGGTTTACAGAGGATTGTGGGAACTGCCTGGTCAGTAGGCAAAACAGGTGGAAAAAATCCAAGCAAAATTTTTCAGCTTTTGTTTTTAGTTTTTCAAAAATCTTTGCCAAAGGGACAGTGTTTGTTGAGCAGGTCTTATTGGACTTGCTATTAAACATGTTTTGTGCACAATTTGAGACAAGTTGTTTTTGTTGAACACAGAATAGAGATAATAGAGCTTTTCAGGTTTGATCTTTTTTTTTCTTGAGCCAGTTTTTGCAAAAAAAATATTGCCAAAATGAACATGCATTGTTTTCATCTTGCTAAGATCTTGCTAACAGTTTAAACAGTTCTAAGCACATACAGTATTTTTCTTTGTGAAACTTGAACCAGGAAATGGCTGGCTGTATCAATATTATTGTTAACCTTGTTGTATTTGACAAAGACAATGTTTACATTTCATTAAATACTGCATTGTTGGCAGTCTGCTGACTTTGTTTTAATATTTTATGGAATATTTTTAGTAATTTTTCATTGAAAGAGATTTTGCGTCCTTTTCATTCCCAGGACAGTGGAGTGAAAAATTTGGTCAGCAAATGTGAATCTTCCAACGAAGGAGACTACATGGGACTAATGTTAGAAAGTAAGTGATTGCCATCATGTTTATATACAGGACACCATGAAGATTCTAGGTGCTCATCAACCCATACTACTCATACAAGTTATCCCTTCCAAACAACTTAATGGATTACAGTCCGTTTGACTCCAAATGAGAACTCAAAATCGGGAATACTCCATTAAATGTCAGTACAGGCAATGAATACCATGTACACAACACTATCTGCTGTTTTGCCATTGCACATGCTACACAGTACAGCAATGAATACCATGTACACAACAATATCTGCTGTTTTGCCATTGCACATGCTACACAGTACAGCAATGAATACCATGTACACAACACTATCTGCTGTTTTGCCATTGCACATGCTACACAGTACAGCAATGAATACCATGTACACAACACTATCTGCTGTTTTGCCTTTGCACATGCTACACAACAGTACAGGCAATGAATACCATGTACACAACACTATCTGCTGTTTTGCATTTGCACATGCTACACAGTACAGCAATGAATACCATGTACACAACACTATCTGCTGTTTTGCCATTGCACATGCTACACAGTACAGGCAATGACAGCACAAGAGGGGTCATCCCATGATAATATTAATCGCAATCATGTCTCATTGTTCTCATTTGGAGCCAACCGGACTGCCGGTGGTCAGACTTGGCTTGTCAGTGTATTCTACCCAATACGTGGCATCAACCTGATCATTAAGAGGCCTCGGTCTTATAGCTGGAATATAGCTGAGTGTGGCATCAACCTGATCATTAAGAGGCCTCGGTCTTATAGCTGGAATATAGCTGAGTGTGGCATCAACCTGATCATTAAGAGGCCTCTGTCTTATAGCTGGAATATAGCTGAGTCTGGCATTAACCTGATCATTTAGAGGCCTCGGTCTTATAGCTGGAATATAGCTGAGTGTGGCATCAACCTGATCATTAAGAGGCCTCTGTCTTATAGCTGGAATATAGCTGAGTGTGGCATTAAACAACAAACAAGCATATAAAAGATATACAAACATTCAAGAACCCATGAACATGAACAATCAATTCCTTACTTCATGCAGTGTTTTGTTACAAATATAAGATAACCTAATTTTGGTAGAAATTACTCATCCTCACAACTTTCCAATAGTTAGTGATGTGAAACAGTAGCCATACTGAACCCTGGATATAGCTCATCTGCAGACAGTGTATCGAAACAAATTCATTTAAGTCATATTCAATGTTCTAAAGGTAGCATGAAAGTCGAGAGGTCCTTGTTTTTGCCTTTATGCTTGAAGTTAAAAATTTGGTAGTTCCCAGATTCCAATACTATTGGAACAAGTCTCAAGAACCCCAGGACCTCCCTTAATTACGAACACTATTATGTTTTTAATGACAATTATTCTTGTTACTGTAGACACGAGTACAAAGGAGATATGGTTGGAGATTCACAAGCTACCACGAGATGCTTGGCTACGGGAACTTGAGGCTATCCAGGCACAGATTACCCCCAAACAGAATCCACAGGTACAGTACGACCAGATGGTGGACAATTCCTTCATTTAAGTCTCTGTCAAAATCTTTTCAGTCTTCAAATCCAAACTGGTCTATTGTGTTTTGATACTTCGTACTCTTTTCATGAAGTGTAATAGCTTGGGAAACATATACTAAAACTATGCTTTGGGAAAGAGGTTAATGGTATTGAGAGTGATTTTTTTCCAAATGAGGAAAGTTAGAAAAATGAAATCTCATGACCCGTGAACAGGCTAGAGTGTATTTTTGCCTAATGCTAATTTGCATACGAGACTGATGGTTATGCTGGAGGCATAGCTTGAAGAATGATTAAGGCCCTGAAAAGTATGGCTTTTGATGATAATGATATTTGAAACAAAATATTCATATCATTGTCAAAATAAATTTGACATGTTTTGCATGCTGTTATAGACATATTGACCAAGCCATCTACAAGTCTACATGGTGATAAAATCCCCTTCAAACATTTCTGAAAGCCTTCAGGATACATTTAATGTTAGCCAACCATGTTCAATATACAGATGGTGTATTGGGCTAGTGTTAACGACTATCCTTGGCATGACCTTTATATTCACAAGGCTTATTTAGGCTTTTATATGCACAGTGATAAAGTTATAGATGAAGATCATCATGCACAACTCTTTCATTACTTTATTCAGTAATTTGGATGTTTATGTTTATGAAACTTGACACACTTGTTATTCCCAATCAGATGACTAGATGTGGAAGACTGCTGAATTTGAATGAATGAAAGATGGTTTTCAGAGTTATGGCCCTTGTATACTCTCCCTGAAACTGAAATAAATATTTTTATCAAGACGCAAGGGACATTTTAATCACAATGAACTCTGAACATCCCTGATATAATGCTGAAAGTTATTATCAATACATTTACAAAAAAACTTTGGAAATGACATAATGTCAGTTTAAACATGCTCAATGGTTTCAGCCTCCTCAACTTGGCCTTACATTTCAGATCCACATCTGGAAGTTATTTGTTGTTTTATGTCTGGGGGCTGGGGGGAGAGAAATGACACTTCATTCTTTCACATCTCATCATGTAGCTGTTGATGAAAATAAGATTAGGATGAAAAAAAAGAGCGGCATTTTATTGTTCTTACTGTATGCTGTTAAAAATAACTCCTTTGTCTCAGCACTCACCTAAATAGTAATATATAGGTACACTGTTTAACAAAGGAAATTTCTACACATCCAAAATATCTTTAACACAAGCTGATTGTTTTGGGGAGTAGATAAGTGCCTAATACCTTTCCAGATTTGATTTTTACCTTAGACGTTTGTTTAAATAGCCTGTTGAGTTACGTGTTTTTCCTTTTTGTCGTTGCATCAAAACAAGAGTTCATCCTGAGCTATGGTCAGTGTTTGCAAAGTCATCCAAGCAATTATTCCTTCAAGCTAGGTAGTTAGAATATCTGGATGGATAGACTTTAAATTTTACAGGAGGAATCATCTGGTGAGGCCCAGAATACTGAAAGTCATGGTACTGAAGGGGAGACAACTCAGGTAGGCTGTGACCCTGGTAGTTGAGTGAGCTCGAGCTTCTCTGTGTGGCTGGTGTAGTGGACCTGTGTACTGGCCCTGTACAGTATATCTATTGACTATGCAGACTAACATGGTGGATTGTACATGTCTTGGATATAAGGTGTTTTCTCACGGGAAAGTTGAATAAATACATACTTTTTCGTGATTATGTAACCAATGACTTAACTTATGATATTCTGTAATTGAAGTTAAACGAAACAGTTTGAAATGTAAGGATAATATGATTCTTCTTTTTTTTGTGAATCTCAGAATTGTTTCTACAAGTTGGCAGCTTGATAAACTTAGTTGAAATAAAGATTTCATGGAAAAAATGAATTCACACATGCATTTTGTACTTATAATGTCAGCCCCATGGTGATTCTATGCTGTTCATATAAGTGAACTAAATGGATTGATAGCGTGTTATCGTACCCTGTCAGTTCCAGACATTTGCTCACTGGTTTGATCCAGGCTTGATAACTTACAGGCCATCAGCTAAAAGCTGGTACATTGAGTGTGATGTTAAACAACAAGCAACATTCTTTTTACCTTGTATGTCTCTACCATGCCATAAATTACAAAGAATATGATGCAGATAACTGTTACTTTTACAAAGTAAAATGAGGGACCTATTTGTCTTATTTGAATCATTGGCAATACAGTAAGGTTGTTGGAGAGACAGACCAAGGAGAGAAGCATCCAGTCAGATAGACATAGTTGGTCTCCCTGACCCTTGAGAATACATTAGGAAATGAATCCAGGTCAAGTCTAGAATGTTTTTGCAAGTCTAGATTGTATAAGCTCTTGGTATTGTCCTGGACTTCTTTTGGATTTTATTTTTTATTATGCAGATATACATTTTTGAAATAGATAACTTTTTTTCTGAGACTAAATGTTTGAGACGGTCACACAATGTCAACATTGCCTGCTTCATTATGGAAATTTAATCACATGTTTAAGGTAATGACATTGTCTTTTATATACTTTCAAGTCTGAAAATATTGTTTTGTTTTGGATCAGTCTTGGAAAAATAAGAAAGTGAAAAAAGCAAGTATTTATTTTCATTGACCGAGTTTAGTTTAGTATCCTTTCATTTTTTATAAAGCCATTTTCATGGCTAACCTTTTTCTTACATTATTATATATCTGGTAGATCAAATTTCATATGTAGATCCAGAGTTTTTGCTTAGCAAATATTTACAATGAAATAATATCATTTGACTGTGTGCCTCTTTTATTCGTTGACATCATACTTATGTCTATTTATCAAACATCACTTTCTTATGCTTGCTAAAATTATATAGTCAGATAGAACACTGAGTGTTTTTGCATTGCTTTACCATAGAGATTAGAGTCATGTGCATTTCAAACAATCAACATGTGTATGTAATAATATTGGCGATTGTTTCTTCAATTTTAGTGTTTAAATCAGTGTACATGTATTCCCAAATTTGATTAAAATGGGATCTTTGTTCTTGGAACTGCTAAACAAAGATCTGAGGACATCACATTATGAGTCTTCCATAGCCCATGGTAAGTAGAGCCAGGACATCTAGGACATCTATTAGACATTCCACAATGTTCTTTTATTCAGTTTTCAAAGTTTAATCAAGAACTTTGTCAAAATATTTTTCAAAGAGTAGTCTGGAAAGAAAGTTGCCAGTTTAAAACTAGTGCTGTACAGCTTATAAAAAGAGCTGCTTTCTGATTGGCTAATGTTGACATCTTGTTAGGCATTTCATTGGTCGGTCAAATTTCGTGAAATGTTGTTCTTATGTGACCTGTAATGCGATATCCTCAGATCGTTGTTAAGGGTAGCGGCAACTACAGTCTGAATTTAATTTAAGATTGGTATTTTCAATAGTGGTGTTCTGATTAATCTTAGATTTAACTTAGGATTATGTCTGGATTTCTAATGATCTATCAGGTTTGTACATACTAGATAGTTTAGATCTGATCTTTGTCTCAATATGTAGTTGCTTCTACATAGTAGTATCACCAGGGAGTGGAGAATGAAAATTACGAGTGCACACTGATTCAGTGACCCAGTGTAGTAATTGTGTTGCGCTATGAGCATTCCAACGCTCATGGAATTTGGCACTGTCGCAAATTACTTGTTATTATCATCATTATAATTACATAGTGACCAATAGTTGCAATGATTGTTGTGTGAACTTTTGTGATGGTCAGTTTAGACTCTATATACATCATCGCAGATACTTCCAACACTCATACCAAGGATGATATGAATAATTTCTTAACTATTTGTTTTTAAGCTAATTAAGCAGGTACATGAGAAATCACGCTCTAGCAGTGCATCATCGGGAAAATCGTCAGCATCATCTGTAAGATATATGTTTATTTTGACATTACAGTATTTATTTTGTTTTGCATGACAATGTGGGTATTTCTGAATCTCATTTGTTTGAAACAGATCGTGTCTCCAGACAGTGTTATAGTTGCTTCAGTTGACATAATTCCACAGTCTTTTATTAGCTGTATCACATCTAGTCATTAACAAATACCTTTTTTAGAATATGTGTTTAGAAGAATGTGTAGTACTAGTTACAATAAGAACTTGTTCTGTTTCATTGCTCTAGTTGAGTACATACTAACTCATTATTTATGTGAATTAAGATAATATTGTAAATGTGGATAATTTCTTATATGAAATATATTTGTTTCTTAAGTGATAAAAAATTGACGATTCCCATAAAAAAGATTGATTTTAAAATATATTTTTTTCTTTTCAATTTTATAAAAAAATATCTGCTTTCTTCTTTTAGGATAGACAGAGAAAGAAAAAAGTAAGACATGTTTCTGTTGACTTTAGTTTTTGGTTAGAGGTTGAATATTTTTATTCTTGCTTTTTGTCAAATACGTACTTGGAAATGGTTTGGGATGATGTCTCATCTTCCAGGAGCTATAACTTGATGGGACCTGCATCTTGAAGGTGCATGATCATGATGATCAGAGTGTACTTGGAACTATATCTGAAAAAACTTGCAATAGGACCTCGGCTTGTCATTTGTGGCAACTGACTAGGTCAGGAGGTTTAAAACTGGTTGATTGCATGTCATCATATCCTGATGTCATCATATCCTGATGGCTTGTCACAATTATCTTAATAATACTGGTAATCACTGGTTTGCCTTGGTCAGACTTGATTATTTACAGATCACTGTCATATAAATGGAATATTGCTCATTGCATCATTAATAAAAAATGAAACACATTTACATGTTCCTAGCTGTTTTGTGATCCATTCCAGTTTAATCTATTGCTCTTTTATTATAACAACCCCCCCCCGCCAAAAAAAATAAATAAAAAAAATATAAAAAAATAATAAAAATACAAAACGAAAACAACCCCCCCCCCCCCCCCCAAAAAAAAAAAACCCATAAAAAAAACCCAAACCAACAACAAACAAACATTGTAATCCATGTCATATTTTGGTATTTATTACCAAATAGAACTCAAATTTTGATTTACTTAAAACTATCTGATCATGTGCCTTCAGAATCTGTGGCTGAGTGGTACATGTTTGGTAGAGGTTGAAATAGATGTCTTCTTTCTGTTTCTGATTTCCTTTCTTAGAAGTTGATCTACCTTGGATGCAGTTGTAGTTGTAGTTGTGATAAGTTCTCTCATGCAGTTGTGTTACATTTTGACAATGTGTTTCTTTAGCTGGGTGGTTATGCTGGTACAAAAATGTCTTCAGTGGAATCTTTCATTCAGTAATGAACAGACTATTAGTATTTGATGCAATTCTTCAATTAAGGGCCCTTGAGGTTTGCTGCCGTAGACTTTGACCCTTTGGATCCCTAAATCTTCCATTTTAACATGAGCATTATGACATGGACCCTCATGGTTAAAGTGGAACACTTAGGTGACAGAGGATCTCCAGTAACAGTGACAGGTACTACATTTCAAATTTCAGCGCTCAGACTCCAGGAAGGGGCGTGGCAAAGTAAGATGAAGCACTAGCTGCCCAATGTGATTCTGCTATTCAGCTGCTAGTAGCGGTCATAATTACTGCTCACATAGGCTCTAGTGCCATGATATTGCATGCACATGTAGAAAGCAGCATGCATGTATAGAGTTGCATGCATACATTGAGAATTGCATGCATATATGCATAAACTATAACTGTTTTCATTTCAGGAGTTTTTATTTAGACAATGCATGGAGTTTGCTTATTAGATGTTGACCATTTCTTGTTTTATGTCCTATAGTAATGTTGTTAATGATTATATTTCTTATCTTTGTTCTTGCAGATGTTTTTCTTCATAGAGTTTCACCCTAGGCTTGCTATAGTGCATGGCATAGTGAAGGGGTAGGGGGTAACTTTTGTACAATGAGTAGCCTTATGGGAATTAAGATAACAACTGGTCCCCTGGAACCTATTATGGTTGTATGAGGCAACCAAATGGATCTGGTGGTCAGACTCAGTGACTTGGTTGATTGTGTGTCATCATACCCTCCTGTCATGGATGCTGCTCATAATATCAATCACCAGATTGTCAGATCTATTATTTACAGGTCGCCGTCATATAGCTAGAATATTGCTGAGTGTGGCATATAAAAAATGAAATAACATCAACAAAAATTGAGTAAATAAGCTTGTGCTGGTTATTTCCCAGTTTCATCAAGTAACACCAGCACCTGTATTTTTTTTAACTTATTCTGCTTCTAGTTTAGAAAACAAATAATTATGCTTATGACATTTTCAGATAACAAAATTAAATAAATGTCTATGACACTAATGATATGTTTATTTTTATCTATTATTGCAATAGCTGAAGATGTGTCCTTTAAGGTGACAAAAACTTTCATTTATTATACAGTTATACCAAGGTTCCGTCCTTCAGTCCGTCCGAAAACGTTGTCCGCGTGATTTCTCTTAAACTATTCAGTGGATTCATCTCAAACTTAGTACATATAATCTGTGTCATATGGAGGGGTGCAGTCAAAAGAAAAAAATTGTTTTTATTAATTTTCCATTTTTTTTATGAATTAATTTTCTATTATTTAATTTGAAACTACTGACACAGGGGGTATTAGTGAGCCACGCTCACTTTTGCCCTTGTTAATGACTGTTATTGACTGTTTGCCAAATAGCCCCTGAACACAAACCCATCTCTTAACTCCTACAGGGATTCTAGGACAGAATGGTTTCTTATTACCACATGTTTGTTGTAAGTGTGTACCAAAACGAGGATTGGATGGTCACCTTATATATGACTTGGCTGATAGCAGTCTGTAAAATAAGCACCTGCCCAGTAAAACTGTAGATGCTTTTTTCTGTTGTTCTATCTAGTGAGGTTTAATATTGTTATTCAGCTGTCAAATATAAGAGTTCAAATTGGGCATTTCCTGCCAAAATGGTCAGTAGATTTTAATTGTCTGATTTCTGATTTCAGGGATGTACTGTAACTTTTGTGGTGCTTGTTAAGATTAGTAGTGGGATGATACACTGATGCATTGGTGGATCGCGATCTTTTACTTCTCGATACAAGTATCGATTAGAACTGCACACTAAGAAAAAGTATTGATTCTTACCTTAAAGGTATTCTTTAATAAATGATGCACCAAACACTAATTACATGTGAAAATGTAAATATTTTCATCCACTGTGCCATACTTGACATTGCCAACTGTAAATTGTTAGTGTGCCAGGTATTTAGCAATATGTCTATGAAAAAGCATCTACCCGAGGCAAGAGAGTTAACTGACTACAAAAGTCCAGTTTCCACCCTCACCGAACTAGGCTAGAATTCCTGGCCTTGATTGCAGTGCCATCAGTGGCTATTACGAGTTATGTCCCTTCTATGCCTCTCCCATGGACCAATCAGATTCCACCTCTCGTGTTACTTGCATTTGCTTCAAACAAAATGGCAGCGCCCAGTCAAGACAATCTGATCGATAATCAAGATCTATGTTGTGATAAAACGGGTCTTACATCAAAAAGTGCATCAAATCACATGAGCACCTTGATTAAAAACATGAAAAGATTAGGAAAATATCTGTTGACAACGTGTTAGCGGTGCACATGCTTTGCAAATCCTGCAATCGACCAAAATCTGCATGACAGTTTATGAACCGGATTTCGATTTCGTTGCGTGATTTTGATTGGACTATGCAAAGACTTGTTAGTCAAGCCAAAATGTAACTCCATAATACCAGCCTAGTTCAGCAAGGGTGGAAACTGGACTTTTAAAGTCAGTTAACTCTCTTGCCCCGGGAAGATGATGAAATAGATGACTTATGCACCACCGATAAGAGCACATGCAAGTATCGTTATAAGATCGCCAGCAAGGTTTCGTGATACGTATCGAATAACACAGTTGGTGTATTGGGTACTTGGGTCGGGTAGGTTGTGAGAAGGACCCGTGTACCCACAGGACTACCTGGACCCATGGTTAGTCACACTATATTCTGTTTAATGATAAAAAATTAACTAGAACTCCATGGTTACACTACAAGACACTAATGAATGCACTTCTTTCTGACTATGCACCCATTCCTTCAGACTTTTATGTGTCTGAATAAAGATAAACCTTCTGTGAACCTCAGTGTATGCATGACCAGATGGTTTAGTTTACACGTGTATATCTGAATACATTTTGCCAGGGCTACGGTCAAACTAGTCCCAATCAGACATTTTGTACCCATCTCTTGAGACCTACAGCAGGTACCCAGGTAGGGTCGGGTAATAGGGGGTCAGTACCTGGGTAGGGTCGGGTAATAGGGGATGGGAACCCGGATAGTAAATTTGGACTTGTCCCAACCCTACTGGGATGTGCATCAGCATTCACTCACTGAATCCTGGAAGAAAGTTCAGTGCAGCACTGCTTGAAGTGTTCATTCATTAGACCCAGACACTAGTGAGTATTTGTGAACAGTCTCGAATCCTGGTTCCAGGGAACTTCTAGCATCAGTGTACAGGTGTATACTATCACAATTGTTATTCTTCCAGGATCGAAGTGGTTCCCCCAAGCCTTCCACTCCACCCCTCATGACTGGTAACCCTGGAGACAAGGCGTCATACAAGTTCACCGCACCCAACATGGTGCTCAAAGTTAAACCACCTACACCCCTCGCAGGTTAGACACAAATTTGTATAAGTTTGGTATTGTTTTTTAAATGAATAGTGCCATTTCTCATATCTTTGTTCTAAGAGACGGATTACTTATTACAGGGGGGACGCGCCAGAGGAAATCAGGGGAGAGTCATCAAAAAGCTTGACCATCTCCCTGGGAGAGTGAAAATTAAATGACAATTAGTTCTTTTTGATAGTTGACATTATTTTATCATGGTTTTCGCAAAGTTTATTTTCTTAATGAGAAAAATATTCTATAAGGTGTGAGGGTCATTGGTAAAAAGGACAGAAACTGGGATGGCGCTGCAGAAAATGGGAAAAAACATTGGAGGGGGTCAGAAATAATATAAAATCTCTACACAAACAAGCATATCCCCCCCAAGGTCATTCTCCTCTTTTAAAAAAGATTGATACTTTATCAATGATGCTTTATTTCATAATTTAATTTTTTTAATTTAAATCGTGCCCTTAAGAAATCTAAAATATGCATATCCTCAAAATTGTCTGACCTAGGGGGTATTTGACCTGGGTGGAATGGGACGGGATGAATAGGACTAGACCCATGGAATTATGGGTTCGAATCCCAGTTCACCCTGATTATGTGTCTATGTTTTAAGTACCTAAACATTGCTTGTGGGTTTCATCAAAGTTGTAAATGTCTAAAACTGGCATCACTTCAGGTTTTCCTCCCACATCAAGCTGACACACTGTGATATAACTGATATAATTCCCTTAAGGGCAACTAACTTCAACTGTTGTCTTCCACAGCTAACACCTCATCTTCCATATACTCTGCATGTCAGAAGATTGACTCAGGGGAGGTAATCGGTACCGGACAGAGCCACCTCCTCACTGCCAACCATCTTGAGGGTCGGGACACCATGTTTGACCACCTGCATGGAAACCTAATGAAATATCTCCCTAAAGATAAAACTGAGGAGGAGATAGTTATGTGAGCCTTTTGTAGTTCAGATAACATACCGAATGAAACAGTTTCTAATACTTCAGATTCATCATGTAAACAACCTGTGAAGATACGGGGAAGAATAGGTCTTCAGCAAACCCTGCTTGCCGTAAAAGGTGACCATGCTTGTCGTAAGAGGCGGCTAACGGTATCGGTGGTCAGGCTGTCTGACTTGGTTGATGCATGTCATCGTATCCCAATTGCAGGGATCGATGCTCCTGATGTCAATTACTGGATTGTCTGGTCCAGACTTGATTATTTAGAGACCGCCGTCATATAGCTGGAATAGTCCTGGGTGCAATGTTAAACAACAAACAAACAAACAAACATCATGTAAACTTTGGCCTGAAAACTGACTATTATATCCATGTAATTATCTGATTTTACTCAGTTTGGCCATAACTTATGATTTCATGTGTTTGAAACAACATTGTGGCGAACAAATATTTTAAGTAATGGAAAATACCAAATAATATTTTAAGTAATGGAAAATACCAAATTTTAGTCCAATTAGTTTCACTGCGTTGATGTTAGATACATTTGAACTTTAACATATGGCTGAGTATACATTTAGTATCCAAAACAACAGAGTCCTGTTTCACAGAGTTGGGTAGCCTAGTGGTTAAGCGTTCGCTTATTACACCTAAAGACAGGTTCAATTTACTACATACAATATCTAAAGCCCATTTCTTGTGTCGCTGCCACCACATTGCTAAAATATTTCTAAAAGCAATGGAAAACACAAATCTCTCACTCACTATAATATATCTTAACCTGGACTTATGCTATTGCTACTTTGTGTTTCTGCACCCTGGAAATGTAATCTCCATAGAATCCATAGCTAAATGCCCATGAAGGATTTGAGCCAGTCCAAATATATCTGTATTTAACTATTTGATAACACCTGGGTAATATATGGAGAATTCTTCTTTGGTTTTCAAGAGCGCCAACTTTCCACTTCCTGAGTGCAGGAAGGATGGTTCCTCAAGGCTTGGAGCTGCCCTCTCAAGCAGGTACTGGCATATTGCCTGAGTCGCAGTAGTGGTCATACTGTGTTTAGTATTAGGGTATCATTTAGGACCATCATATGAGGAAGCACTCAAATACATGTCTTTAGTTGAATACAAGAATGTAAGAACAAAACCGTAATTTGGTGACTTGAATAATGACATCCTTATTTGTTCACTTTCTTGATGATGTTTTTTTGGTTGAGGAATAATCTAAAAAATCGTAAATTTCTGTATTTCTTTCTTCTACTTTTTGTAATACAGAACTGAGATCCCCCTATTCTAGACTAAGAAATACAGACTGTTTAAATTACACTTACTGTAATGTCTGGACATGTTCTTTGCAGGGCTACCTACCACTGTTGCTGTGTGGTGGACTGGGGGCTCCCATGTGATGCACTACTCTCTGCTCAAGACAGCCAAAGGTAGGTGCACATGCCACCCAGGAGCTATACACATTCATGTGTGCTTGTTAGGAGAAGTGCTATAAAGCTAATACCGTATTCGACGTAATAAGCGCCCACAGCGATATTTGCTAATATATTGGCTAGTGAACAATCCCAATTGGCACCCCTTCCGATTGATCAATGTACACAAGACTTATTTATTCGGGTATAATGCGCACTCGTGTGCTATATGCACCCTTAATTATTGGCAATTATATTCTGGAAAATTATATATGTCGTATATAAACATTTCAGGCTGTCAGCATAAACCACAAAATTTATCTTTCAACTCAGTTTTTTTTTCACTAAAATAATATTCTAATAAGAGCCCCCTATTTCTAATTTTGATAGTGCCCTGGGCTTTCGGAAGTTTTGAAATGATCTGGTACAAAATGAAGTGCATTGTGTATGCTATGTGTCATTGAGTTTATGGACACAGTGCATCAATACATCATGGCTTAAGAACACTATCTATTTAACAATTAGAACAGTTGGGACTTCTAGACAGTATTTGGCATATTAGGGTTATTTTCTACACCTTCGTGTAAATGCCATCAGTGTGGGGATTGCGGGTAAGACGAGGTCCCCAGGAACCTAAGCTTGTTTTAAGAGGCGAATAAATGGATCAGATGGTCATGCTCAGTGGTTGGTTGATTGTGTGTCATTGTATCCCAATTGCGTGGATTGATGATCTACATGTCAATCACTGGATTGTCTGGCCCTGACTCAATTATTTACAAACCACTGTCATAAAGCTGGAACGGGTGGCCCAGTCGTCTAAGGCGCCGCGATTTGCTGTGCAGAGTTGCGTCCCTTGGGCACGCCAGAAACCTATGATTGTGGGTTCGAATCCCGGTTCGCCCCGTTTATGTTTCTAGGTTTGTCAGCACCATACCCGTGCTCGTGGGTTTCACCGAAGTGGTAAACGTCTGAGACCTGCATCACTTCGGGCTTTCCTCCTACATTAAGCTGACACGCCGCGATATAACTGGAATATTGTTAAAAGCGGCGTTAAACCCAACTCACTCACTCACTCATAAAGCTGGAATATTCCTGAGTGAAGAGTTAAACAACAAGGAAACAAAATTAAGAATTGACAACATATTTGAGATGCTACTGAAAGATGTTTCCTGGCTACTGGAAGTTGTCCATCAGAGTGCTGTATTAGGTCATCCATATTAATATATGAGTTTCTCATCTCATCCTGCTTCAGAGGGAGTGTCTGGACAGTGCCTTTGCTTGAGAAGCAGCTGATAGTTGTCTGTTGTATAAGATGGGTATCAGTGAATTCGTTACATTTTTCAGATTTTGAGCACAAGCCTGATGTAGTATGGCCGTTCAGCTGCAGGATCCGCTGCACCACCGTGTCCTCCTGTACAGTTCTCCTGGCGGTCGGCCTGGAGGACGGCACTGTCGTCCTCTGGGACAGATACCTGGGTAAAACTTGCCACAGTGAAACGTTGTGAACTTCAAGTGCTTTTACCATCATATGTGTCAAGTTGAGCATTGTTCTGTATGAAAGTTAAAAACATTTTAGATTCATTTTTCTATATGACATTACAGCAAAGTGACAATACCGTAAAACTCTTTTTTTTAAAGCTGTGTATCAAAGTAATGGTGTAAGAGTTGTCAAAGATTCGCTCCTTAAAGCTCAACAAATAATGTTCATTGACACTACATATTTGTGCAAACATAGTTCTAGGGTGTATGGTTATAATGTTAAACTATTTCAACTAAATGATCCCTCATTCTTCATTAGACTTTACATTGCTTTTTGCCAATCATTGTCTTACTGGAATCTCACCATCAGCATTGTGTATCACTGTATCGTGGCACTGGAATGTTGCTCAGGCTACAAACAAGCTAATCTGGGTTCTGTTCGACAAAGTGATCTCAGCACAAAGGTGATCATAACTCCCATACTTTATATATAGGCTTAAGATTATCCTAACACTAAGATCGCTTTGTGGAACAGGGCCCTGATCCAGATTTATTTGTTCACATGCTGCTGTGACATAGCTGTAATATTGTTGACTGTACTGTAAAGAAACACTCGCTCCTATTCTCCATATAATCCTACACCTTTGACACAGAAACTAATGTTTGTCTAGGTATAGACAAAGGGGTGATCCGTATTTGTCAAGATGTGCCCATTGAGAGGTTGAAGTTCCTGGATCCAAGTATTTCACAACCGACCAGTCAGGGTTATCCCCCTTACAGGAAGAAGAGCGACATCTGTCTGCTGATCCAGGGTCGGAATGGGGCAGAGTATATCTACAACACAGAGGATGGACCACAGACAAGGCCTATCTGCCTTGCAGGAGTGTGAGTAGTGGATTGTTCATCAGATTGGTCAAAAGAGAACGTACAAGAAACAAATGTTTCATATGTTATGCACAATTTCCTTTTAGGGGTGAAATAATTATATATCCCATCTTGAAGGTAGACTGATTTAAAAACAATAAATATAATAAGTAGGGCTGGGACGAGTCCAAATTTACTACCCGGGTACCCAAACGCCTATTACCCGACGCTACCCCGGTACCTGCTGTAGGTCTCAATAGATGGGTACAAAATGTCTGATTGTGACTAGTTTTACCATATCCCTATCAAAATGCACTTAGATACACATTTAGAATGATCTGGTCATGCCTACACTGAAGTTGACCGAACATTATCTTTATTAAAACATATGAATATATATGGAGGAAAGAGTGCATAGTCAGAAAGAAATGTGAACATTAGTGACTTGTAGTGTAACCATGGAGATCTTTATTTTTGTCTTTGAACAGTATAACGTGACAAACCACAGGTCCAGCTAGTCCTGCGGGTACCCGGGTCCTATACTCAGTACCCACCCGACCCGAGTACCCGAGTTACCTGTCTCAGAAAGAAAGGTAACTTCATACATTGATGTTTGGCTACAGTAGAAGCCTTACCTCGAGTATGGAAGTGACATAATTGACAGCTGTTCCTGCAATGGAAATATTAAATATCAATGGTTTGAGGGATATTGTTATGGCAAGAACTTTAATGTTGGGCGAATATCATTTACCCGTTCTTTCTCTTATACTTCAGGCCTGACAAGGATGAGGAGAAGGAGACTATTCTTGACACGATGCCTGATGTACCGGAACTGGTCAGACATATTTCGTTATCAGATAAAAGTATCCTGCAGAATTTTTGTTTGAAAAACATGTCTTATCTGTTTTTCCTAAAAGATGTTCATATGACATACAATGTAGTAATGTGTCTATAATCCTGATGCCCATTTGGAGGGGACATGGGCTGGGACGAGTCCATATTTACTACCCGGGTACCTACCCACCAATTACCCGACCCTACCCGGGTATCCACTGTAGGTCTCAAGAGATAGGTCCAAAATGCTCGATTAGGAATACATGTATTAAACAATCGTATCATGCATACACTGAAGTTGTCTTAAGTTATATCTTTATTCAACCATATGAAAAGTCAGAAGGAATGGGTGCATAGTCAGAAAGAAATGCAAACATTAGTGACTTGTCGTGTAACCAAAGAGTTCTGGATAATTTTTGTCATTAAACAATATATCACGTGACTAACCACGGATGCGGGTAGTCCTGTGGGTACCCAGGTCCTACTCAGTACCAACTTGACCTGGGTACCCAAGTTACCAGTCCCAGCCCTACAGGGGATCACTTATCATTGTGAGTGAGTGAGTGGTTTTAAGCTCCAGCAATATCGCGGCAGCATACACCAGAAATGAGCTTCACACATTGTACCCACGAGGGGAAATTAAACCCGGGTTTTGGCTTGACGAGTGAACGCTTTAACCACTAGGCTACCCAACCACCTCTGGGTTACAATAGGTCCCCTATGCTAATCTCAAGAGGCAACTTAATGGATCAGGTGATCAGGCTCTGTGACTTTGTTGAGGATCTACACTCACACCATCTGCCAGAATTTCTGTAACTTTTCCAACACTGGGGTTATTACAAGGACCCATCGACTCTTTTGCTCAATTTCGAACAAAATTTATCATAGTTGTTCTTACTGTTGACATCTTCCCCGACAGCTCTTGGTGGTGCAACAGAACGGCTCCCTCTTGCTGAAGGATGTCGTCACTGGATCCAACCTGTGTCAGATGACCTTGCCCTCCACACACCAGCTGACCAACCCATGGGAACCAGTTCTTGCTTTTGGATCAGGAGGACAACTGTTGTATGTCAAAGGTCAGTTTGGGCTAATGAAATGTGTAATCTGAGGGACTGGAAGTGGAAGAATGTGTTTTGATGTGTTTATGGTGTCATTCAGAATAATGTAATGATATAATGATATAATGTCACACCACAAGACAAGGCTGCCTAAATTGTACCATTATTCTGTATTGTGATACAATATTTTTCTTTGTGGGAAAAATAAATGCTTTTTGCTGTTTAAAGCTCAGGTAACATGTATATGTCTTTACTTGGAAGAAGGTTTTTGTCTCTTTACCATGTTTACAAAAGGTTTGCAGTGGGCGAGACTACATATAACTTGTACCATACTTTTGATCAATTATTATTTTAGAAGTTAGTTCCATTAGTTTTGTATGATTTTTGTATCTGTATCCAGCCATTTTTTGTATTTGAAGTATTATCTTATATTACTTTATATCGCCCACACAGATCTGCTCAAAGGCTGAGCTAAGCCATCAAGTCTGTAGCCAATGACAGTAAAAATTCCCACTTTGAATTAAAAATTTCTAATTCCTCAGAATCCAATTCTGAAAAATGTCACAATTTTTTTCCAAATATACCTGCCATGGGCATTTTGCTAAAGAGATAAATCCCTGCCTATATATACTAAAAGTGTTTGACATGTAGTGTCTGGGGTTGTAAGGGTAGTGTCATTTTCATCATGTTACTCAAGCCTGAACTATCCTTCAGTCAGGATCCACTTGTAGATTTGGTACAACATTTAGTACATAGGGAGCAAGATTACACTTTCTTTTTTCTCCACACACATGACAGAACACTTTGTTTGTCCAGGTACAAAGATAGATATGGAAGAAGCCTCTGAGGTGGTTGAGGAGACTGAGATGGAGGAGATTCCTCCAGTCAGCATGTCGTCTCTGTTCATCTTCCAGCTGCGTTCCTTCCCCTCCCTTGACCCCTACTGGAAGCGGGAACGCGAGGCCGTCTCGTACCTGGTCCACACCACCCTGGAGCAGAGGCTGGACGCCCTCATGAAGGAGAGGTGAGTGAGTGAGTGAGAGATTAGGTGGGCGGGTGAGTGGATAGAGTGAGTGAGTGAGTGAGTGCCTGGTCCACACCACCCTGGAGCAGAGGCTGGACGCCCTCATGAAGGAGAGGTGAGTGAGTGAGTGAGTGAGTGAGTGAGTGCCTGGTCCACACCACCCTGGAGCAGAGGCTGGACGCACTCATGAAGGAGAGGTGAGTGAGTGGGTGGGTGGGTGAGTGAGTGAGTGAGAGATTAGGTGGGCGGGTGAGTGGATAGAGTGAGGAGTTAGAGTGAGTGAGTGAGTGAGTGCCTGGTCCACACCACCCTGGAGCAGAGGCTGGACGCACTCATGATGGAGAGATGAGTGAGTGAGTGAGTAAGTGTGGGTGGTTGAGTGGGTGGGTGGTTTGGTTGAGTGAGTGGGTGTTTGGTGGATGGGTGAGTGAGTGAGTTAGTGAGTGATAGAGTGATTGAGTGACTTGTCCACACCACCCTTGAGCAGAGGCTGTTGGCCCTCATGAAGGAGAGGTGAGTGAGTGAGTTGGTGGGTAAACAAAGTGAGTGAGTGAGTGGCTGGGTGGGTGTTTGGGTGGGTTAGTGATAGAGTGAGTGGGTGGGTGGGTGGGTAGACTGAGTGAATGAGTGAGTGTGTGGGTGGGTGTTTGGTTGAGTTAGTGAGTGAGTGATAGAGTGAGTGAGTGAGTGACTAGTTCACACCACCCTGGAGCAGAGGCTGTTGGCCCTCATGAAGGAGAGGTGAGTGAGTGGGTGAGTGGGTGGGTGGGTGGATGGGTGGGTGGGTAGACTGAGTGAGTGAGTGAGTGAGTGGGTGGGTGGGTGGTTGAGTGAGAAAAGGTATGGCCTTAACACATATATAATATTGACCATCTGACAAAAAATCACAGGCCATTGGAAGAATTGATGGGTGAATAATATACTGTTGAGAGGAAGCTAATGCTCAAACAGTGTTTTGGAATGGAAGTATTGGCTTCAAGACATGCAGGTAAATCACTGATCCCTGTGTCTCTAGACTGGCCCAGCAGGGTCTGCGTAAGATGAGGATGCAGTCGCGGTGGGGGATGTTGCGGCAGGAGCTGGATCTCATACAGCAGTCTCGGGATGTGGCCAAGAGGAGGGCGCTGTCCAGGGTACCGCTGGTAGGTGCAACTTCCTAACTTGAATCATTTAGTTGTATTAAACATTTCCCCTGGTAAATTATATAGTTACATGAACCATTTACCTGGGTAAATCATTGAGTTGTATGGACCATTTACCCTTGAAAAAAAAAAATGTTACATTGTGGACTTACCATTTGATATCCTCTGTGGGGATGGTGGTGGGAATTATAAATTTTTAAATAATTTTCTAATGGATGATGTCTTGAGGCAGTGACCACAAAATATTCTCTTTTCAAAAAAGATTCCATAACTCCCAAGAATATTAAATGGTCCGTCCCTTACAATAATCTACAAAGTATACTTTCATTGTGATGATACCGTATTCGCCGTAATAAGCTACCCGGGTGACTTATTGAAACTATTCAAAACGATTTAAATTTGAGATTGAGAAGTAGTGAACATAGTTCAAATGTTGATGAAACAGTGATTTTGACATAAAAGGTTGTATCTAGGTCAATGACTTGGACTCAAGAGAAATGTAATACGACAATGGCAAAAGTCAATAAGTCAAATAAACAAAAATGGCAGACGAACCATAACAACAAATCAATGCAATACAGTTTGTGATTGGATGAATATATACAATCTGGCCAATAAAATGTTGCGATAAGAAAAGTGCTTGACTTATCACTATAGCTCCTGATACAGAAAGTATGATGCAAAGACATGGTCTGCCCAGAATTTCAGTAATGAATTTTGATGTCTGTGCATTGTCTTGTTGTAAGATACTGTAATTGATACTGTCAACAGGACTAATCCTACTACTTACTTTTTAATTATGAAATTATGAAACATGTGATTCCTTAGCATTTCTGTCGGTCAAAAGTCCGGCTTCTTAAACAAACCATCGGTCAAACTGAAATTTTACCAGTCTGTGACTGGTGACCGATGTCCATCTGAAACTCTGTGAAACTGAAAATTTTCAATAGCAGTAATATGGCGAATATGGTATGTAGCATGGTTCCTATAGCGGCCATTGTGGTAGATGTTTTGGTAAAGAATTTAGGTTTGGAAGAGTGACGGCATTATAGTCATAGTTCTAACTTAGTTCCATGTTGTTTGGACTATATATATATGTACATTTAACAGATTTAGTGGAGATATCAGGCTTTCACTCAAAACAGTTAGGACTGAGAGCTTGAAGTAATTCTAGAGCCATGTTCATAAAAACAACATTGATGAGTCTCTGATCTGTAGCTACTACTATTTTGAAATACTGATAGGTTTTATTGGTAATAGAAACAGACTATCCTTCAGTTTCTGGTAACAGCTAAAATGCTCTATTTTTCTTTGAGATGAAATGTATTTTATTACAGCTTAACATGATAGTACTTTGTATTTCAGCGATAACTCTAGCTACCATCAGTCCGTGGTAAATCTAACCTGGTAGTCCGTAGTGCTTTAAGCTGTATCCATCGCCCAGGAAACACACTGCAGGAGAACATTGCTTGTCATTAAATCTACATTCTATTATGATATTACCCAACACCAAAACTTTGTTTTGAGTCCGGTTCATTTGATGAAAATAGATGTCCAATCAAATCATGTGTTTCATGATTGAATAAGCAGCGATATCACTCGACTGAACTTGCCTCGACTTTTGTGTGCTCTCTCACATACAACCAGGACATCTTGTAACAAAAAGAAAAAAGTCTTTTCCAGATAAAAGTTGATTTATAAGTCTTCTGATTTGATTATTCATGTGGAGGGCTAAATTGGACGAAGATGCAAGTTAGAATGTTTAGAACGAGGCATTTGGATTTGTTGTTAATTTCAAGGTTATGACTGAAAGTCAATGCTGAGTTAGTGATTACAGATATGGAGATTGTGACGTCCCTTCCCAAACAAAGCTGGTGGTAAACAGGTCCAGGATATATATCATAATAGATTGAAGATGCTGGATAATCACGGATAAGCATTTGTATGCCGTAAGGAAATCTTAATGATTGATATATTCAACGTATTTGGAAACATGTCTTTTAGATTTTTTGGTTCAGTAACACCAGGATATTCCAGCATAAAGCCTGTGTAATTTGGTTATAGATTTGCATCAACTTGTCCTCCCTGCTCTGTGTTTCTGTTCCTCCCCTCCTCAGTACATCTATATGGGGAAGCTTCTCAACCAAATACTCCTTATGCCAAGCTTTTGGGGATGTAACAGTTCTCGGCAGTATCGGCGTATTGCAACACTTTATGCATGACACAAATATTGTATTGTGGGGTAAAGAATTGATACAAAACAAGACATGTTTGTAATGTTATTGAACATTGTCAAATGAGATTAAATGCTGGAAATTTTTGTGGCACTGTGCATGGCTACTTTTCATGATCATAGTGATAAGTTTTTTTGTTCTCAGTTCCAAATTTGAAAAATAACATATGTTGGTTCCAATATAATTTCCTGAAATCAAATCCTCACTAGCACCTGTAAGTCGGAAAACATGTAATGTGTATCTCCAACTTACAGCACATAGGAATATTACAGCCCCATATATTTATACTCCTCTGCTAACAAATATTCCATTGTTTTTAAATGTTGTCCATAATATATTTATGAAATATAGTTTAGATGTTGTAAAACTCTGTGTTTCTTGTATGCTGATGCTAGCTTCTTTATGTGTAGTATCCTATATGTATAAGTTTATCTTTGTAGAAGTTTATCTGTCAAACGTCTGGACCTAGTTCATGGTCTCAATGCATGGTAACTGTTCTTGAATCCAGCATTAACCACAATGGATATGACATGCCAGGGGCTGTTCTGGGTCTCAAAGATTTGCCTCCTCTTTCAAACATATCATGTGGACCACAGTGTCAAAAAATTATCAAAATATTTATTATTGTAATCAAGCTGGAGGTACATATTACAGGAAGGTGAATCCCTCTCTTAAAAAAATCTGGGATCCCTCCCTCTACTTCCTGTAACTATTTATCAAGCAGCATGTCAATTTAAGTTATATGTTTGATTGCAAAGTTTGACCATACAAACATTAAATGTAAGTTCAGAGGCAGATAATTTTATTTTATAAATTGTCAGACAATCAATCCAGGCTTATGTGGTGACATCTCTTTTCTCCATTTTTATTATTTTTGAAATTTTTGCTGCACTGGTTTCAGGAGTTTCTTTCACTTTCTGAAACAAAATGATTGCTTTCATGTGGGCAGTGCCCGAGATCCAAGCCTAACATTGCTTGTATCATATTGCAGATTTACCAGGCCTGTAGTTACATGCACTATAGTGTCTTGTTTCAACTCTTAGAGGTGTTTATATATTTCTTGGTGAAGGTGCAGTCTCATTAAAATCAGATCTTCTTCTCCATTATGAGGCCACTCTGTGCTGCCCTCCAGTCACGTGATCTTTGTAATCAGCCAGTCAGGTGATCTTTGTAATCATCCAGTCAGCTGCGAGGCTTCTAAATTCTCAGTAAGATCGAGTAAAGATTTCAGAGCAACAATATCTTATTTATGTATCTTGAAAACAAACATAAATGGGCAGTTCCAAATGGAAATAATAAAGGCCATGCTTTCATATTGTTGTGTATACATGTAGTATATATATACCCTGTCATGTCTGAGCACCATGGCATTTTAACCCCAAAAGGACTACAATGTAAGGAATATTTGCTTCAAAATTTCGAAATCAGGGTGGTACAGAAACAAAGCTAAATTGTTTCAGAAAACTGACGTCTAATTGGTTCAAGAACCCACCCATTCTTCGTTTTGATTGGGTGGCATCATATCTTCATTCAGGTATTTCAGAGAAAAAGATCTGATTTGAATGAGATTTGGTGGAGGGGCTAGTTTTGGAGTTCATTAACTAAAGATCTCAGTTATCAGTAACTGGATCAAGATGAAAGTAGGTGATGTCATTAAAGTAAACTTTTGTATATTGTCTACTACATGTATTCTATTGTTGAAGACTTAATACCACAGGTCACTTCAACAATAAAATTAACTTTTGTATGTTTGAAGTGAAATATCTTGATTTGTACCTGAGATACCTGTGCACACAAGACCTTGACGACTGTCTGCAGTAAGGCCATGCTTTAGTTTTAAGCTTTCTTTATGGATCTGCTGACTAAATTTTGTTGAAATGAAAATTTAAAAAAAGGTTCATACTTTGCTCTTTTTTTTATCCTGCTGATAAGCTGAAAGCATAGAGCATTCAAAAAGAAAAAAATCTAAACAAAAACCAAAAGAAGTTGAGTCATAAAACATAGGAGTCAAAATAAAGTGTGCTGTTGTTCCTGAAATTGATTGAATGCATAGATGCAAAACAGTAGTCCCGCTAGATTCGTCAGGTTTGCATGGCTCAAGGCAACAGCTGTGTTGCAGACTCTCCTCCCACATTAAACCAGCTATATTTTTTTATACCAGCGGACCTGTAGTGGAGGAGAAACAAAACTGAAATTGAAATGAATTACTCCCCCCAACTACTGACAGGTATTTTCCTGTAAAACATCTGTAAAGCAAGTGAAAACAAATGTGTCCCAAGTGATTATGTGAGATCTACTGTGTCAGCTCATGTGTGACTTGATATTTGTTTTCCTTTTCAGAGTGCATCTACCTACAAATCCTCATCTTCCATCCTTCTCATATGAAACAGAAGACCTCTTGTAAAGGAGGGCCAGAAATCACACCCAACTATCCTTAGAGAACATGGTGTACTAAGTAAAGATAAGAACCAGTCCATCACATCACAGAGGAGGACATGATCTTATTATTCTGCCAGGGCCCTGTTCCACAAAAGTTATCTTAGCACTAAGATGATTCTAACTCCCATACTGTAAGATTGCCTTACACCAGTTCTAGTAGGGCTTAAGATGATTCTAACTCCCATACTGTAAGATTGCCTTACACCAGTTCTAGTAGGGCTTAAGATGATTCTAACTCCCATACTGTAAGATTGCCTTACACCAGTTCTAGTAGGGCTTAAGATGATTCTAACTCCCATACTGTAAGATTGCCTTACACCAGTTCTAGTAGGGCTTAAGATGATTCTAACTCCCATACTGTAAGATTGCCTTACACCAGTTCTAGTAGGGCTTAAGATGATTCTAGCTCCCATATTTTAACACAGACTTATGACAGACATTGTGCTAAGATCATTTTGTGAAAAGGGCTTCTAGTAAATGAAAGTCTGAAAGAAGTTAGGCCTCTCCAGAGCCCTGTTCCATCAAAAGAATGTAGTTCTCTGGCTGCCGCAACTCCCATCCATCCTGATTTTATGCCCATGCTGTGATATTGATGAAAAATATTCCAAATATTATCTTTGTTGTAAAATGTTTATTTGCGTTATATCAACTTTTATATTATTTATTTGACAGAATATTCTTGAGCATTGATAGCTTATATCACTGGCTGTACATTAAAGGTTAAACAGTGGTATTAGCCTAGAATGATGTTTTTGTACATTCATGTCAGTTATGATGATAAATATGATAAAGACTATTTCTTCTATTTGTCAATTCTTTCTTGGGCCTTGTATTTTTATTAGTTTATTTGTTTGTTTGTTTGTTTGTTTATTGTTTAACACCGCACTCAGCAATATTCCAGCCATATGATGGCGGTCAGTAAATAATCCAGTCTGGGCCAGACAATCCAGTGATTGAGACTTAGAGCATTCTCAGCTCCCTGGGGAATATACAATGGCCTTTCTTCGTGACAATACATCTGCAGGGAATCTATCAAGATTCAGAGTCTCCCATTCTTTCTGCACACAAGAAAGATTGTGTGAGTGACTGAGCAGCTTCCTGAGGCAAGGGAGTTAACTGGCTATAAAACTCCCTTTCCTCGGGAATATGGTTTCTGAGTGGTAGCGTGAACAGTATTCAGTCCAAAAGGGTTCAGATCTGCTACTTATAAAAACTCAGACTGATTCTGGTCTCAGATGGAAATCACTTTCATGTTTGTAGTCTCCTGTGATATCATTCCATTGTGCTAACAGGTTAAATCTCATAAGCCGGGATGTTCAACATCCCAGGGATTTTGTTTTTAAAGACACAACAATGTTATAGTGTATCCTGGACAATAGATACCATACTCTTATTAACTGTTCTTAAAATATTTATTGCTGGGATCCGAACCCTTACACATCGCATGACATTAAGCTAATGATTCTCAACTTGCTAACACTTTGCCCCTGGGGCCTTATGGACAGTGGGAAAATATTTTGAAGTCATACTTTGAATGTTATGAATTATTTCGGTCCATGTGTGATAAAAAGAATAATTTTCTTCTACAGTTGATATGTGTAATAACATCTGAATGATTCAAGAAATACACATTGCCATCTACTTTTGGAAAGCAGTAGCTGAGAGCATGTTGAACGACTTTTTATCGTCAGTGAACTCCCTTTCCTGGGAAGATGAATCCTCTCTGAGGGACAAACACTCCAGCTCAAGGCAGTTGGCCCTTGTGTCTGTGATCTATTAATATCACTAGTGTTAGAAATGCACCATCCTGTATATGTAAAGACATATTGAATAGTACATTTATGACCCTTGTGTGATCTTAATAGATCCAGAAATATTTAAACAATGACATAGCCAGTGCTCTGGACAAATGCAGGCAGCTGGTGCGATATATTCCGGTGACTGTTTTACAAAAAAAAATCGGTATATACATATTCAGCATTATCAAGTATGTTAAAAAAGAGATGGGTAGAATAGCTCTTCAGCAACCCATGCTTGCCATGAAAGGCGACTATGCTTGTCATAAGATTTGTTTGGTTTTGTACTTTATGCTGCACTCAGATTGACATCATGAACATCGATCTACCAAATCAGGATCAATGACATGTATCAACCGCTTGTCGTAAGAGGCAACTAACGGGATGGGATGGTCGTGATGCCAATCACTGGATTGTCTGGTCCAGATTCGATTATTTACAGACCGCCGTCTTAAGCTGGAATATTGCTGAGTGCGGCATTAAACAAAAAACAAACAAGTCGGTATAAACGGTTGAATTAAACACTTTCTCTCGGGTTTTTATGATATTAAAAAAAACATTTGAGGGATACAACAAAAAGTCGTCAGTCCCGATATTTTATTCCAAGATGAGGTCTGAAAAAAAGATCTAAAAAACCCATCCCATTGGACATCTTTGATGGCACTGTGCCCAGACACAAGCCAGGGAAGTTCCAGTTAGAATCAGATGGGGTGAACTGACTCCATGACTTCGTTGATGGCGTGTCAAATTATTTATTCTACAACATAGAAAGTTTGACGGCTAGCTGAAAAACGTTGGACCGCACATGAGTATAGTATAAAGAAAGAGTTTTATTACAGACCTGTATGTACATAGAAATCAAGATATTCAAAACATGAAAAACTAGGAATAACTCAATCACCTGTTTCACAAAGCGATCTTGCATTACGACGATTAGACATGCTACGATCACTTCGTTCAGAGTATACTGTAAATTAGACCCTAAAACAAAAATATACGATACAGCCCATTTAAGTCTATAATAGTTGGCAAGTCTAGATTTCTGCAGTGTCTGAAAATGAACAGAGTCCCTGGGATCCTTTTTATTATATTTTATTAAGATAAACCAACAACTGTTGTATTTTTCTGTGAACTATTTTCATTTTAAAGACTGGATGTTAGTCTATGCACAGGGTTGACATGGAACAAACCATTCATCGCCACTCCCCTTTGCGCAACGAGCGACTTGCCTCGAAACAACGGTGGTGGTGGTCCCGAATGCGTATTACAGCACCAATCTAGACTGGTTCCCGTTCGTTTCTGCGACTGATTCGAAAGCGGAACAAGTGCAGCGACACCAAGCGGAGGGTCCGGGAACCAGTCTAGCACCAATCTCACGTTCGGCTGTTTCCGTCAAGCCCGTAAAAAAGAATGGTTTTGCCAGCGCCCTCTGTTGGCAGATTGCAAAAGCACACGTCGAGATCATGACGTCACAATATCATGACGTCAACAGACATTTAACGTCACAATAACATTGCCACCGGACGGCCACTCTCCTGATTCATTTGTCGGACCACAGTTATTGGGATCCAAAAACTAGGAACTTCTCTGTCAGGTAAACAGGCAATTGAAATGATGTATTTTGGTGGCAATGTATAGGGCTATGAAATAGATCTCCCGATAGAGTTAAATAGTAACACCAAGTTACCCGTTTTCATTTAGACAATGGCAATTAGGGATACATTCTCTCCAGGGAGCCGTTCGCAAAGCGATCTTAGCGCTACGACAGTCAAACTTAAAGTATGGGATCCAGTGCGACAAGCTAAGCGCTAACATCGCTTTGTGGAAAGGGACCTTGAAATATTTTTATTAAAGGCCTAACAGCTATTAAGACAAAACTACATGCCTAACATAAATCGTACACTTTATTACGAGTTATTGCAAACTAATATAAAACCATATCTATCATTTTTATAATAAGTAATTAATTAGTAACCATTTTCTTTCATTTAATTGTGGACCGCCTCCGTGGTCTAGTGGTAGAGCGTTCGCCCGGAGAGCGGAAGGTCCGGGGTTCGATCCCCGGCCGCGTCATACCAAAAGACGTTAATAGATGGTACTTGTTGGTACCCTGTCTGGCGCTCGTCATAAGGGGCTAAAATAAGGACTGGTCGGCTCGGAGTCAGTATACTGTGTCTGAGTGGGGTATTCATGTTAAAACTGCGGCATGGTATCTCAGTGGGCTAGCACTATAAATCGGCATCAGTCCGGACTAGTACAAGCAGCCACACACACACACACGTGCATGCACGTCGCTATATATGTGCAATAATCTTGGACGCGACGTTAAACCGCGTTTCACTTCACCTCATTTAATGGTGGCCAACTGTTCTAATAAATGTGCTCAAAGGCAATCGGTTCTTGATCAAATTACATTACTCGCTGGCATTCAAGATTAGAAATTGTGCAATATGCGGGCATACGGGGCTTCTCGGCTCATTGTCGCAAGGTATTCCGACCATGCAATATTCACAGCAATATTCCGTACTCTACGACACTCAGGTCCTTGAATTTTAGATTACAGTTACTTTCTTCTTCACAACTTAGCATAAGTCACAGATATTCGACCTGCCGGCAATTGTTCTCGTACGCAGTGTACGGAGTTCAGGTTACGGACAGTGCCCAGTCGCTTGACTATCAGCACTCGTGTATTAAGACTTTCGTACACGAACAACTACTTGAAATCTTATTGCATGCCTTAACCCAATATATCAAATGAAATGTATCCATGATCTTACATCAACATTTTGACCCCCAGTTCTTATGTAACGAAGTGTTAGATATTTCATTTCCACATTAAACAAGAATGAGATATAGAGTAACTAAATATATCACGTAGTGCCAAACAGAGCAATATTCCTGCTCGACTTTATGATTTACAATCCTCCGGCGATTGTAATAAGTTAGATCTTGCACTCAAGAGTACCAGGGCACTTCACAGCCGTTATTACAATATCACCAGGCTCACACTCGTCAGTCAACGAGCACGCGGGTTGTGAGAGACATGGGTTAGAGAGACAAGATGGGATGTACAAGCAGTGCTGGAGCAGTCTCCCCAACCCCCGGGGGTAAGGACAATCAGCGGGAGAAGCAGGAAGAAAAGAAACCTCACCCTTATCCATCCCCAGGGTCGAAGTCTGCTACCCCCAGGAGCAGGAAGGGTACAATGGAGACCGCTGGAAACCATGTTAAGGTAGAGATTGAAGAGGTAAGGGTTAATGTATGTTTACGATAAAACCATAGCTTAATGAATTGATATGATAAACTGACGAGTTGTGTCAAATTTGGAGTTTTTATTAAAGAGAAATGAGGAAGACATACGCGCACATTTTCGAAAGCTGAACAAAACGTGTACGGTAATGAATGACCTTTACTCTGAAACACCATAGCTATGCTCGGCTTCCAACAATAAATGGCATTGTTCTACAGTTGTTAATTTTAAAAATTAATAAGATATTGATCGCGGCATATATACTTTTTTAATGTAAAACAAGGACTTTTTACACCCTACTAACAACCTGTAATCGGAATCGAGCAGTTTTAAACCTATGTATAGTGCATGACGAATGGATTACTTAAACTATTTCATTCAAGGAAGACTCGGGTATTTTCAGTGCATGCGCGGTAAAACTATTCTGCCTTTGTTTAGAGCATGTGTCTGTGTTATGGTTTGCAATGAATACTACGACGAATATTTATTTACACAACATTGTGAGGTTTGTGACATTATACATTTGCATTCATCTTCTCGTGAGAACAGCTTTTTGCCGTGTAGTCAGATTTCACGGAGACATGCAGCCAGATTTTGTGGCAATCTGCCGGTCTCGAACTCGATTGACTACCCCAAAGCAAAGGCCAGGTTCACACAGTGCCGATTATGGCTCCCGTTTGAGATCAGACAGCGCTATGACCCCAAAAGTGAAAAAGTCGGATTACTATCCTCAATGATCTGGAATGTCCTATCATTGTCTGAGTCGCAGTCCTACGGATCGGGAAAGGTCCAGAGAGGTCGGCCAAGCACTCCCGACAGTATGGTGCGTCCCGTAACATTCGGGAAACTTAGCCGATTGTGTCTAGTCTGATTACAATCGTGACTATGTCGTGACAGATTCTGCTGTATCGGATCAAAATCGTAACAATGTCCTGTGTTGTCTGGACGGTGTCCTGTGGATCGGGACACTGTCGTGATGAACGGGCATGAATAGTTCATTGCCGTTTCTTGCCGATTGAGTCCAGATTGCGTCCAGATCTTGCCGAATACGAACAGTCTTTGTCGGTTCACTGTCCGGTCACTGTCTGATCTCTGTCGGGTAGCATTCGGGAGAATCGGGACGCTGTCGGGACAGATTTGGTCGTTTTCTACCATGCGGAAGATACAAATCGGATCAGATTTGGATTGAGAACGGGAGAATCGGGACGAATTCGACTTGATTTGGGACACTTTCTGAACAATATCTAATTGTTTGTGAATTTCCTGCCACGAATCACAGGATCTTGATTAGACTTTTGACAAATTTTAATCGGGAATGGTCCTATCAAAGACGGCAGTAAATATCCTGAATATGTGACTGAGCCCTAACCGATCAACTGCGCTACGTCCACACTGTTAAAAACCCATTAAAACCCAACCGTCGTTTCCAGGATTGACAACGACCACATTGAGTTTTGAGGTTGGGATAGGGGTATTGCAGTTATCAATTCCTTCACACTGGGAAAATGTGTTTGTCAAGAGTTCACAAGGTAGACTTACGTAGACGATAACAGAGGCGTTTTCTTTTGCTTGCCTCCAGACTGCAGAGTAATGTTACTGTTTCTAGATGAAAACACACTTCAGATTAATCTGCGGAAATGTTGCTTTTGAAACTAGCTCCTAATATCTCGGGTATCTGCGGTGATTCCTTTTCAAGCCACCATGCCATATAGCTACACAACGGATATGACGATATATTGACATTGCTATCCCTTGAGATAAGGTATGTGTGGTTTGATTACAGTTGTGATATTTATTCAAACCACAAATACCTGATCCTTAGAGATAACGTATTACCATAAATTGTATGCCATGTAAATACAATCATATATCTTACAGGTGGCCAACCGTTGATAAGTCATATGCCGAAGATAGCGAAAAAGGATATTGTTGGCTTGCAAAAGATTGAATACAATGTAATTAGAATTACTGAGAAATCAAATTGATAGAACTGTGCAGTATGTACCCAAGGTAACATTTGTGTCACAATAACTTTATATATGCACTAAGTATGGAAGGACATCTTTGGTGAGCAACAATAGAGGAGTGTTGTGAGTGAGTGTTGATTTGCGCCGTATAACGTCCCTATATATATATGTCATGTGAGATTAAGTGGTGGAGGTAGGCACGGGCGGCCCAATCGACTAAGGCGTCGTAATACATTACATGTATGTACAGTTATGGCCCTTAGCCGACCCAGGACAAAATGATCGTGGTTCGAATCCATGTTTCGGTGTGATCGTACCCGTGTTCATTGGTTTCACCAAGCTGATAAACGTCCAAAATCTGCTTTCCTCTCAGTGAATCAGTCAATCAGTTTATTCATATATAACTGTAAGGCCACAGGCCCATAGTACAGAATACATGACAATGTGGAAGCGGTTAGGAATGTTACAAGGATTCATTTCTTAATAACATGGCATGATATATAAAGAGAGAGAGATTTTGTAAAGCCGTTTTGCTCTAATGTGAAATTAAAGAGATAAACTTGTATTTATTTGGATGTACATAGTATTTCTGTTCAACATATTTTTTCCTTAAATTATCATATTTACAACATACAAGTAGAAAATGAAATTCATCTTCGACAACATTTAATGAACATTGTTTACATAATCTTAAACATTTGGGTATTTTGTTGTGCCTGCCAACTTCAACCATTAACCTGTGTGAGCTGCATCTAAATTGTGTTAATGATATTCTGCATTTTCTTATATTTACATCAGTTAAAAAAAAATTCTGCGCATATTTGCATTTTAAAATATCTATAATATTCGCATTTGCTAGAAACATCTACAGTAGATCTCCATGTTTGAAAGTACATGTCAAAAAGCGTCTGCCTTATTTTCGATATGAACATGGCATGATTCTCTCTCACATAGTCCTGACACGCCGTTATATAGCTGACATTTTGATCAAAGCACCGTTAAACCCAACACACCTATACTTATTGACATTTGGTTACAGACAGAAATGGCCCATGGTTGCACATATGTCTAATCAAGTACTAAGTGCCATCGACCGGGGTAGAATAGGTCTTCAGCAACCCATGCTTGCCGTAAAAGGTGACTATGCTTGTCGAGGCGACTAACGGGATCGGGTGGTCAGGCTCGCTGACTTGGTTGATGCATGTTATCGTATCCCAGTTATGTGGATAGATGCTCATGATGTCAATCACTGGATTGTCTGGTCCAGACTCGATTATTTACAGACCGCCGTCATATAGATGGAATATTGCTGAGTGTGGCGTAAACAACAAACAAACAAACAAACAAAGTGCCATCATACTCATGAATTATCAACATAAGCTGAATTGCGAGTGAGTGAGTGAGTGATTATTGCTTAAAGCCGCATCAGCACTTTTTTAGGTATTCGCGGCGAGGTTGAATTGTGCATGAGGAGTCATACGCTATATAGCCACAAGCTATACTGATGCGACATTCAAGTAAACTGCCGGGCAAAAGAAAGTATACACTTGAAAACTGGATTTGACGAAACAAATACAAACGTTATCAAAAAGCTACTCGACTGGAAACAGTCGCCGAAACACTGCAAACTTAAAGTCCCAAACACAACCATGATTCCCGTATCATACACATCACTATCAAATAATCATTTTTCCTCTGTGTCATGTTTAGCCACCATCAAACATGGATGTATACCTCCTTTTGCCCGGCAGTGTATTTCCCGACCATAGTATTGTTATATGTCTGATACATTCTTGCACGTTGGACATTCCAAGCAGTTAGTTAACATTGCTATATAAATATAATAAGAAAATTCTAGTGAAAGTGCGACATACTTGACATGTTTTGAAGGTTACCAATGAAACAGTGGCCAGTCTGAGGGAGATGCCCCCTAGCTACCCTCCACCGGAACCACCGTCCTACAGCAAGGGGCTCTACCTCAGGGGCGTGAACTTCACCAAGACGGACCGGCTGGCTAGCAGGGTAAGTAAGCTCCACTGATTCATGAGTGTTTGTTGTTTAATGCCGCATTCAGCAATATGACAGGACCATTTATGGCTACGAGTTGGGTCTGTGTGTCGAATCTGGACCGCACAAACCAGTGGTTGATATAATGAGCTACGTCCCACGCCTCATGTCCATCTGGACACCTGGTGCCATCTCGTTTAAGGCACCTGGATTCACTGACTGTGGGTTCAAATCCAACATTCGTTCTGATTATGATCCTTGGTTTGTCTGCACCATGCCCGTGCACATATTCAACCCACGCACAAACCAGTGATTGATATGAACAACGTCCCACGCCTCATGTCCCTATCGGGTTTTTAAGGTCCCTCAATCCACTGACTGTGTGTTCAAATCTAACATTCGTACTGATTATGATCCATGGTATGTCTGCAGCATGGCCGAGCGTCATATTCCTCCAACGCTCTATAATATCTAAACTAGTGTTTAAAGGGGTATAAAACCCAACTCACTCACTCACCCTGCTCCAAGACATTGTTCATACATCGTCCGTAGGTACATCTGTTTCCTGTAAAACATATACAACATTCATAAATCTCTTAAAAATATCTTAAGAAATCTGAAGTGAGATTGAAATAAAACGTGTCCATCATGAGATCTCAAGACGTTTGTGTCAATAGTGTGTGTAATGTCCACACAGGCATTCATCGATTGTCAAACCGCGACATAAAACCCTATATCACCCTGCATTATACTGACTTATATAGCTCAATATCGACTTGAGCTGTATGGTGTAATAAATGAGCGTGATAAACGAGAGTGTACTCCACTTCTAGGAGATTGTCCTTGGTCGTTAATATAAACACATATACCAAACAGGCGTTGACATCTGTAGCCCTGTCCAGTCAAGGTAACAGACTGATACGCAATGACACCTCGTTAATCCGGACACTGTTAAAACCGAATCGACGCCTCCCGGACGATTATTGTTGAGGACGTCAATATATACGCAAATAGATATTAATCTGTATAGACCCAAATAGATAAATATTAATCTGAATAAACACAAATAGATATTAATCTTATTGTACCTTTCATTCGTAGGAATATTACTTCCGGATACTAACAGATTAATGCGTGTTTACAGTAGTAAAACGTATGCAAAAATCTCCTTTTTATGAATGAGGGCAAAATATATTTTAAATAAATACAGTAGATCTTGCTTAATTCCTTCTATATGATCAAATGTCGATCACACTAAACAATGTATCAATGGTAGTATTAATAAAACCTGTCAATTAATATCAATGATACCTGCCAATTAGTATCAATGATACCTGTCTAGTATTAACGATACCTTTCAAATAGTATTAATGATGCCTGTCACTTAATATCAATGATACCTGTCAATTAATAGCAATGATACCTGTCAATTAATAGCAATGATACCTGTCAATTAATAGCAATGATACCTGTCAATTATAACATTGCTCTGAGCTTGATGCTCATAACCCGCCATCATCATTTAAGTGTACAAATATACCGTGGCTCTTTTCTCCCCAAGAATCCCCAAGTCATAATTCGTATTTGCTATAATGTACCGGACATTTCATCACCGTGGTTAATTCTACAATAAACGTTAAGAAATAAAATCTCTTTGAATGACTTATCGAATGCTTGCTGATTCCATGGTTTGACAGCAATCACCCGTGCATTATTATAACGTATGCAATAATCACTCTTACTTCCTGCAAACAGGTTCCTAAAGACGTCCTTAATTCCTACGATCAACTCGTCAAGTACCTCTCACAGGAATCCACGGAGGACCTCTTCAAGGTCAGGGCGATACTCGTCTGGCTCGTCCGCGCCTACGTACAACCTCTGCAGAATATCACGGGCCAAGGTCAAACTAAAGCCAGCGGCCAAGGTCATATTTCTACCCAAGGTCACAACCAAACTAAAGTCAGTAATCAAGGTCAAGATACAATTGTAGACAGTGCTAATATGCATTCGGACAACGATGGCAATGTGGAGGAAAATGTTAACATGAACGGTTTACTCAATTGCCGTCATCGCCCGAAAGAATCGATTGATCATTTTCCTGGATTAGACCTTGACCTTGTTCATAAAGGTCAGGTTGACCTGGCTATCATGTTTGCGTTCTGTTGCAGGTGAGATATTTGTGTCATGGAAACATGTTTATTTTTCGTATCAGTTTCTTTCTATTTTGACCCAATGAAAGGAACTTACATACCGGTTGGAGAAACATCCAGACTTGTAAGTGTACTGTTTATAATCAAATGAATTACGCTGGACAGACCATTAATCACTCTTCTCTAAAGTAGTCAAAAGGAATTTGTATACAATAAACACACATTACATGTAACCTTTTGGTCCTTGCCGACGAAGTAATTTCTCCTCGGTCATGATGAGTTGAAGGCTGTGACTAATAACTTAAAATTAAGTGTTTAAAGTTAACATGGCTCGATATCAGTTTACTCCACAAGAAACACGTAAATGAAATATTCACTCAATTAATAAATTTCTTTATAAATTATGGTTGTGAAGTACATCATAATGCGCACTGAGACAAACCATTTTTCATGTATACTGCTGGAAACAAAATAAGGAAACCCACAATTGGAAGGCTATGGGAGGCCCACCAGCTATGATAGTTTAACTACAGTCCTATGAAAAAATCGGGTGTTCTTAAACGTCTTTTGAGTAGTATATAACGTAACCCATGGGGATTCCGGGTTAGAATAGATTCAACCTATGCTGGTTGTAAGATGCGGCCAAATGGATCGGGTTGTTAGGCTCTGTGGTCGATGGCGTGTTAACGTACCCTGGAAGTGTAAATTGTTGCTCATAATATCAGTCACTGGATTGTCTAGATCAGAATCGATTATGTACAAACAGGCGTCATATAGCTGGAATATTGCTGAGTGTGGCGTTAAACAACAAACGAACAATTATGTACAACATACCCCATAACTTTAGACACCTGTATAGCTGCCAACGACTGAAACACAAACGTATACAGGTGGAAATGAATACAGTACCGGTAACGAGATATTTCTATATAAAATATATATTATCTAAACTTGTACACTGTAACCTTTCAGCAGACATCGGTGGTATCTCAGATATTTATCATAATGAGATCCATGTAATATGTAGCTATTTCCAAAAGTTAAATGAAAAAAGGGGTTGTGATTAACCTTTTTCTAGGTTATATGTTTATTACAATTATTGACTCTGAGCAATAAGTGACCAATCTGAAGGCATGCATGTTTGTTTGTTTGTTTGTTGTTTAACGCCGCACTCTGTAAATAATCGAGTCTGGACCAGACAATCCAGTGATTGACATCATGAGCATCGATCCACATGATTGGGATCAGCGAGCCTGACCACCCGATCCTGTTAGTCGCCTCTTACGACACGCTTAGTCACCTTTTACGTCAAGCAATGGTTGCTGAAGACCTATTCTACGGGTTTAATGGCCTGTGTGACCAGTATTAGGAACCTACATTGTCGTAAAGAGTATTGCATCCTTTTTGTTCCAGAAAAGCGGGTATCAAGTGCGTTGTAATCCGAGGCCAGTGCAAGCCAGACTGGTATGAGGTGAATGGGAACATGCGTCCCAGGGGTGTCTGGAACTCCGTGTACCTGAACGGGGTGTGGCGGTTGATCCACCCACACTGGAGCATCATCCACACCACAGTGGAGGCATCACGAGTGAAAGATGAGATAGTGATGGAGAACCCCACACTGAAATATGCGTTTGATGATTATTACTTCCTTACAAATCCTGAAGAACTTATAACAAGTTGTCTGCCAGATAACCCGAAATGGCAGCTTTTGAAGAAGCCAGTTCCCAGTGGTCGGTTTCAGCTGATGCCATACTTCACCAGGCATTTCTTTAAACTGGGTCTCAGCTTGTCCAAGGACAAAGACGGCATCCTGAAAACATCCCAAGGTAAAGCTAGAGTCGATATAGACTTCCCCGAAGGAAACCAGCCTCAGCTGTACTATCACATAGCAGAGAAGGAGATTCCTTCAGCTGAGTCCGTTGTCATGGATACAGATTCACTCAGGAGATGTGTGTTTATGTTCAAGATGGAGTCCACATATTCATTCCGCTTGTGTTTCAAGAAGCGAGGAGTGTACAATCTAAGGATTTATGGCGGTCATGTGAAACACGTGGATACCGAGGTTGATCGAGCACCTTTACTATGTCAGCTCCAGGTTGACTGTGAGGAACCGGCTCCAACATGGCTACCCACACCCCTCTCTCCTGCCATTGGGTGGGGACAAAGTGAACTCGGCGTCAAGATTGGGGTGATTCCAATATCTCACAAAGGGGGAATAGCATGTACGAATGAGCATCGTAAAGTCAATTTCATGTTCAAGATAGCGCCAACTGCAGAGCTCCAAGCGAATCTGATATCTTCCAAGACTTCGAATCCAGTACCAGTCCCTGATTTTGTTCACAAAGACAACAAAGCAATATTGTTGGTGGTTCTACCAAGTGGCGAGGAACTCTGCTTGAGAGTCAACGCTAGGTCCAAAAAGGAAAACGGAAAGGGTTTTGTCAACGTGTGCAATTTCATTGTGAAAGGTCAACCGGTGCCTTTGCAGAAGGAGGTATTACTATTATTAAAAATAATTTCGTACAGACACGTGGCGCTTTCAAATGACGTTGCATGCAGTAACAACTTTGTCTTTCAAATACTTCTCTTAATTGATGTTTGTGTGTATATCCCTAAGGACGAGGCGTCAGTTTTAACATTGAATTCCATATATTTGAAAAGATAACTGATGAGTATAGCCAGTGTATATGTTTCCCAGCGAGCCCGAGACCGACGCCTGAAGAACATGCTTGAGGCGGCCATGAGATCCGGGACGGAAGGTCAGCTGGTCAAGGCGATGAACGAGTACACCATGTTCGTCCACGCAGACACCGGGGAGCTGGACAGGGCGGAGGACATACTAGCGTACCTCAGGCTAAAGACCAGTCAGTATTCACGTGGATTTCAATCACAGGGGAGATTATAGTCGGCATCAACCTTAAAACCCGAAAACAGAATTATTCAGGCCCGGTTGATAGCGTGACATCGAACTCTGACCACTAGCTTGTCTATGTACTTGTCATGAAGTTGCGATACCTACATGTATATTTAGTGGATGAGTCGTGCCAGAATCCGCCTATTACAAACATTGGTGTTTTGGCTCAGTTGTAAACGTCTATGGTCCGTATCACTTATATTGTCTCTGCCGTTGGTTTTCCTCACACAATAAGCCGTGATGATTAAAATACTGTTGAAATTACCGTTAAATTCACCTAACTAACACACTTCCCTTTCCTACCTTCCAGATCTGCTTGATGCCATACAGAGGGACTTCGTCCCAAACCTTGAGATGACCATATACGATGCCGAGACTTCCAAACACGTTGAGGAGCTTAAGAGTTACATCCGGGTGGCTAAGGCTCATCTCCATCATCTACAACGCACTGCGACCTACAGAAACCACGTGCTCACTCTCAACCAATCACTGTTGCTGGAGATAAGGGGCTACATGGAGCCAAGTCCCATCATATATGACGTCATGGTGGCAGTCCTTCTACTTCTGGGCGAGAGAAGATCAAATCTATACGTATGTCCAGATGATTTATGTGTAGCAAGCGGCATTTGGTACCGAGCCGAAGCATAAATCCCATAAAAAAAAGCATAAATGTTGCGCAGTGAGGCAGTACATTTTCATAATCCACGTGACTACCTCCGTGGTCTGGTGGTAGAGCGTCTGTCCGGAGATCGGGTGTTCGATTCCCGACCGCGTCATACCAAAATACGTTAAAAGATAGTACTCGTCGTTACCCTGCCTGGCGCTCGGCACTAAGGGGCTAAAACAAGGACTGGTCGGCTCGGAGTCAGTATACTTTGTCTGAGTGGGGTTTTCATGTTAGATTGCGGCATGGTATTTCAGTGGGCTAGCACTTTAAAAGCGCATTGGTACAGTCTAGTACAAGCAGCCACACACGCGTGCACGAACGTCGCTATTTGAGTGCAATAATTTTGAACGCAACGTTAAACCCCATTTTACCCCACCCCATATAATTCACGTATATGGACGGTTTCATATATTATTCATCATTTCAAGTTTCCATCTGACCTGTTAGTTTCAAGTTTTCACACAACCCACACCCAATGCAGTCCACAATGCAGGATTTATTATGAAGAGTAACAAAATACCATCAAACATGGTTGCATGTAGTGATTTTAAGTGTCTTAATTAATTTAATTAAACTAAAATAACAAATCTCACCATCATATCACCAAGAAACATTTGATTTTGTACATGCATATAAGCCTTTAAGATAGACTACAATAACAATCCTACATTAAAGATACCCCCTTGCTATTCTCCAGGAATGGAAGTATATCCGTAGCACCCTCAGCCGGACAGGTAAGGCCAGCATCCTGAACTGTATAGAGAGGTTCCACCCGGAACGGGTGAGCCACGACCGGCTTACGGAAGCAGATGCCATCTTGTCCAAGCATTCCCTGGACCAGGTCTGGGAGGCTAGTGCGGGAGCGGCGGTCATACATAGATGGGTAGGTTTGGTTCGATGGTGTTTGTTTGTTGTTTAACGCTGCACTCAGCAATATTCCAGCTATATGACAGCGGTCTGTAAATAATCGAGTCTGGACCAGACAATCCAGTGACTGGCATCATGAGCATTGATCTTCGCAATCAGGATAGGATGACATGTATCAACCAAATCAGCGAGCCTGACCTCTTGATCCCGTTAGTCGCCTCTTGAGACCAGCATGGGTTGCTGAAAACCAATTGTAAACAGGATCTTCACGGGTATTTGATGGTGTAACGCTTCGTCGATATCTATTATTTTGTATCTCCATTTTTTTAATGGCAAACGTACTGGAACCATTCACTTCTTTTTGTGTCCGACTGGATTAAACGGGGAAGTCTGTGGGAAGTTACTGGTAAGGGAAACGGAGACGTCATTATCCCAAACGACGCGGTTGTTGAGAATGGGTCCGGGTAATAGTAGAATAGTAGACAATAGATAGTCGAGGACGGGTGTAACATGTGAAAGTGACAGTTCTCACATTGCTACGTGTATTTATATACGTCAGTTGATGAGGATGGAATATATCAGGATTCCACAAGGATACCAGGTTTTGGGCGTTATTGACTAAATTTGTCAAACATGGAGCCTCTGTATTGGGCTAGATTGAGGATTATCGATCTCCAAACTTAGCATATGAAAAGTGGTGACGTACAAACTAGCTCCATCGACTGATCATCTTCTCATTTTCGACATTAGGCCAAAGACGTAATTGGGAAGATCAAGTGGGGCGACTCGGCACAGCCTGGGGTAGATCCAAACAATGTCGACCATGCTGATCTCGAGAATTCTGGTAAAAGTCTAGAAGGTGATTCAAACGTTGCGACGGCAACTGAGTTTGTTGATTTTACAAGCTCGAGTTATACAGTAAACGGAGTCGGTGGAGGAAACGATAGCCAAGCTCAGGGTCATTCTGGGGATGAGGCTGTAGGTTCCAATGATGGGGATAACAGTCGCTCTCTGCAATACCAGACAAAGTCAAGGTCAAGAACGTCCACAAGAAGTGAAAGGTCAAAGTCAGATACGGACCAGGATGATTTTGCCTCGGCAAGGAACATTTCGACTGAGTTTGTTGATTTTACAAGCTCGAGTTCTACAGGAAACAGAGTTGGTGGTGAAGATGAACACCAAGATCAGAGTCATTCTGAGGGTGAGGCTGTAGGTTCCAATGATGTTGTTGATGATGGCGATGATGTTGCGGCGGCAAGTGAGATTGTATACGATCTTTTTTTTGATTTTACTCGTGCGAGTTCTACAGGAAACCAAGTCCTTGGTGAACACGAAAGCCAAGATCAGGGTCATTCCGAAGATGAAGCTGTAGCTTTCAATGATGGGGATAACAAAGACTCTTGTTCTCGATGTCAGCCACCGCACAGAAATGGTTTCCTTTTTCTGTGTGGGCAATGTCGTAAAGTAGATCAGTTTTAGAGTTAAAAAATTATTATTTCATATCCAGAACTAGATTTCATATGTAAATAATCATCTGATAATTATAGGTTCTTGTTTACGAAAATAGTTACAGGGGAATGCATACCAGCAGTCAAACGAATTGCTTCCTCATTGCCTTTGAGTTCCAGTGTGTGTATGCGTGTGCGTGCGTGCTTGCGTGCGTGCGTGCGTGCGTGCGTGCCAGCGTGCGTGCGTGTGTCTGTGTCTGTGTGTTGTGTGGCCAGGATGTTGCTTAGTGCAGTTAATCACATTCTCATGTTTAATATAGTTCATGTTTAGCCAAAATGAGGAAAACTAGTTATGATCAAACTAAGTTATTACTGCTGTGTGACTAAGTTATTATTGTTTGAGTTTAGAAAATATTCTGTATAATACTGTTATTTAACAATTCCTGCATACTTATTCGCAGTGTTGATATCATTATTTTGCCAGTTACGTTCTGTTTAATTGTTGAGTTTCCTTGTTGTATTATTCATTAAGCCTTCATTGTTTGAAGACGCTGTCATTTTTATAATAAACTTCTGTTCAATATATCAAGGGCTTTAAATGAAGTGAATACAATATAAGCAGCCACGTTCATGTTGTGTAATGTTGTTTTGTTGACATTAATTATTATTTATTTATTTATTCCGTCCACACATGTGTGCCTTGGCATTGCAGCAGTCTCATGGGTTTTATGCATCATGTATTTATGTGATGTTATATTTAGTATATATTTACTAAATTTATTCGTAACAGTATTCATGTTTAACAAGGATATGTTATATATTTTGATAATTATTGCTCGTGTTAGGCAGTTTGTAGTGAGTTAAAATATTTTGTGCAATTTATATAACATTTTACTTTACTGTCAAGTCGTCTGTGATATTTTACAGAAATAAACCCGTCAGATGTTTCCTGTTTATCGCTGTTTCTAGAGTCCATACACGCTCGTTTGTTTGATGTTAAACGCCGCAATTTGGATACGATGACATAAGTCAGCTAAGTCACAGAGCCTGACCACTCGATACCGTTAATTCTGACCCGGATCTTTGTGACGGGTCGATATACCCTTGTTATCACACGGAGTGCGTGAGTGAGTGAGTGAGTGAGTGAGGAAGTACACATATTTTAACAATAATAAAACTTTGCCGAAGACAGGGAATCGAACCCTTGTTTTCTGATGGCAAGCGAACACACTACCAACCACACCACAAGCCACCCCACGATCCTACAGTACAGTCTATTCTTGAATTGATTTTCTTTGATAATTATTGCATAGTTTTACTATTTGTTTGAGTGCCGAGAATATATCCAACTATTTATTTTTGAGCTGGTTCCTCACTGAAGTACCGCTGGGTAAATCGATACACATATCGCCCTTAACGCTTTATGTGCGCTTCTATTGTACAGTGGAAGATCTTCATTAAAGTGAATTCGTTTGGTTTTACTCCGCTTTTAATGATATTCCAATCATATCACAGCAGCTGGTATGACACCAGAATCGAGCTTCACCCATTGTATCTATGTGAGGACTCGAACCCGGACCTTCGGCGAGACGAGGGAATGCTTTTACCACTAGGCTGCTGTGTTTTGTTTCTTTTGTTGTTTAACAACGCACTCAGCAATATTCCGGCTATGTGACGGCGGTCTGTAAATAGCTGAGTCTGGACCAGACAATCCAGTGATTGACACCATGAGCATCGATCCACGCAATTGGGATCGATGACTTGCATCAACCAAGTCAACGAGCCTGACCACCCGATCCCGTTAGTCACCTCTGACGACAAGCATAATCGCCTTTTACAGCAAGCATGGATTGCTGAGAACCTATTCTTCCCCGCATCTTCACGGGTAAGGCTACTATGTATCATTAGCATCTGTGAAGGTCTTGAGACTGGTTCCTCTGCTGCCCACGCGATGCTGTGATATTCATACATAAACATAGATATACATTACTATACAGTATATGTATCTGTATTTTTTCTATGTAACTATTGGGCTGTGTAGCCCAGCTGGTAAAGCGTATGTTTATGCCGAAGACCAAGGTTCGACCTCCCACATTAGTATAACTTGTGAAGCCCTTTCCTTGATACATTGCCAGAAATACAACCTAAAGTAGACGTAAACTCACTGCAAGAAACGTACCGTTGACAGAGATATTTTACACTCACTCACTCGAGAAGACAGCGTCACCTTTCATCAGTTGTTTTACGACGCAGTCCACAATATGCCCTCTAGAACCATCTACAGTCAACTTTTGTCATCCCTATTTCACTGCGTAAGTAGATTGAAACTTCGTTAACTCGAAGCCATGGTAACATCCAGTAAATGTCGAGTTAACCATTGTCCGAGACAAGCGGAGTGCAGATATAAGATCGCGATATAGTGCGGTGACCATGAAGTAAATCGTCATAAACGACGTATTGAGATAACGGATAACGAGACAAGCGGAGTGCAGATAAAAGATGGCGATATAGTGCGGTGACCATGAAGTAAATCGTCATAAACGACGTATTGAGATAACGGATAACGAGACAAGCGGAGTGCAGATAAAAGATCCCCATATAGTGCCGCTATGATGTTTCTGGGACTATGAGGTAAATCGTCAAACACGACAAATCGAGACACGGTTTTTCTTTCTACTAACGTATACCTATCTCCCTTACTGTATATGTGTATAATGAGTAATGGAGAACTATATTCCTTAAATAAAGTTTTAAATAGTAATATGATCATGTAGTACGAAGCTTAAACATATGATCAGAGAGCATATCTATTATATGGTCTCTGATATGACTGAATAAGCATTCCCGGTGCCCGTTGAACTGGTATGCTACATAACAGACACGCATGGCGTTGCCGTTATTCAAACACGCCCCCGAGTGTGTGTCTACCGCGTGTATATGCGTGACGTGTGTTATCAGTTGTTTGTTGACACGTTGCTATGCTGCATTCACTGTTCCGCAATACATCGATCTGTCTCTGTGGGTCGTTCACTGTAAAGATCTCATAGACCTCCATTCACAATTTGTGCTTGGTGACTACTGAGATGGTGCCCCTTATAAAAAGATCCGCGGGGTAGTTTATCAAACTAATATAAACAGCCATCATTTTACATAGAGCTGACAGTATGGAACTGAAATTGATTATCTGACTCATACATAAGGGAGGTTTTTGTTATAAAGGGTATTTTTAACTCAGTCTCTCGAAATGAAGACGTGTTTCTCCGAACAGATATTCAGTTCGTAATTCTGCATTTAATATCTATCGAAACAAGCCCACAGGTTAACCACCCAGGTACAAGCATATCACAACACTGAGGGGTGTTCACATTTCTCTTTCTGCATACTATACAGTACTGTGGTACATTCTGGTTTTGTATATACAACTGTCTAGTCTTACACCAGAGAGGTAAATCCAGTGTAGTCTAACAGTCTGTTCACTCTCCGTCACGTGTTGAAATCACAGCAATGGTTTTGAGACGCCCCCTCACCCTGTTTGTTGAAATGATCAATACAAATTACACATATTCATGGGAAACAAAGAACGAAGACACCGGTGTACGGCAATGTCCGCCATGTACAGGTACACCAGATAGTCAAGCATTCAGGTAAGAATGAGATAAAGCTGTATTCTTTTCACTGTAATTATATATTTGTTCAGCTTGTCCGGTGTACGCAGGAATATACAGCTCGGTTGACGCGATCAACATGTTACATACGGTTTTCAATAGGTTACGTTCCACAGAACACTTCTAGATACACTTGAGTAAAATACCACCCCGTGTGGAGATTCGATAAGTCTAAAACATAGGACACGAGCAAGTTCATGAGACAGAGGGGTTCTTTTCCTGATATCAGGAGGACGATACAACACATGTACCTGTCTTTGTCACCAGCCTAATGCTTTGTGTCATTATTCGCGATGTGTGTGAATTACATTTCTAGTATCAGTGTGTGTGTTTGTTTGTTTGTTTGTTTGTTGTGTAACGCCTAACTCAGCAATATTCCAGCTTTGTGACGGTAAACTGTACATAATCAAGTATGGACCAGACAAACCAGTGTTTGGCATTATCAGCAAAGTTACACACCGATGTACTTCGATGACACACAACCGCCCAGATCACGGTGCGTGTAGAACCTTTACAACAAGCATAGGTTACTACGGGCCAATTTAACTCCACATCTTTAAGTAAGATATGCCTCGAATAAATAAAATACAAACAGCTGAAAAGCTACAACTTCATTCAGAATAGAAATGCTAAACATTGATCGAGTTGATGACAACCCAAACCTTTTGGCCTCAAGCCGCTCCTTTTGTCAACACAATACACGAACTGTACTGGTCCATGTGGATATCATTTACATTGGTTCTTGGTTGAACAAAGCTTCCCCATGACGTGGCATATTTGTTTAGGCTATTTGAATAAATGTCTTATAACGTGTAACTTTACCTGTACGATTGTAGTACCCAAAATATATGAAATACAAACAAACAAACAAACAAACACACAAATAAGCAACACGAGATGAAAACCATCATGACGACTATGCATACGGACAGATAATTGTCCAAGAAGACCGACGTGGAAGGTACGGTGGCCCATAATTGACATGGAGTCTGTTTTTCAATATTTTGATATTTCACTTACTTTTATCGTAACCTTTTGCAAATTAACACGAATTGTCATACCAATAAGTGATAAATCATGTATAGAGAAGATATTGAATCGCTGAAAAGTGAAGCGAAAATGTCAAAAACTAAAATGAAAATGTCAAAAACAAAAACGAAAAGGTCAAAAACTAAAATGAAAATGTCAAAAACAAAAACGAAAGTGAAAATACAGAAAACTATTTCCGCCGCGGTGATAATATTCCCACCGCGGTTAAAACTATTTCCACTACGGTGATAATATTTACACCGCGGTGGAAATAGTTTTCTGTATTTTCATTTTAGTTTTTGACATTTTCGCTTTTGTTTTTGACATTTTTATTTTTTGTTTTTGACATTTTCATTTTAGTTTTTGACCTTTTCGTTTTTGTTTTTGACATTTCCTTTTTAGTTGTTGACATTTTCGCTTCACATTTCAGCGATTCAATAGCTACTTGAAAGTACATTTTCCATGTTTTCGGTTGTTTTTATACATGATGTATCATTAATTTGCAAAAGTAAGGATAAGAATTTATGGATGAACAATTAAGACAATTATTTCAATTAAGAGCGACGTTTCGGTGTAGGTTCTAACACCGTTATCAAGCTTAAAGAAGTTGTTCATCCATAAATTCTTATCCTTTTATAGTACTCCAACTTCTAAATGCCTATCAAAGAAGTTTGCAAAAGGTTACGATAAAAGTAAGTGAAATATCAAAATATTGAAAAACAGACTCCATGTCCCTTTGGGCCACCGTAGGAAGGTGTAAATAGATGAAGGGGTGCATGTACACCTTGATACAGTCGAAATTTCTGACAAACAAATGAACTGACAAAGAGAAGAACCAGAACCTGAAGCATGATGTATATGACAAAACAATGCCTGGCAACCATAGATTACCACATGAACGTCAATGAACGCTCATACAAATCAATCTATCATGGCTTAAGATACGTTTTGAATATGTGAATGCATGTCTATTCATGTCAGTTACTGAAATGTTTATTTATTGCAATTCCCGATATCGACATAGGCGCGTACCACAGATGCCGAGAGTTTAATCCCTTTCCAAATAAGACATTAACTGTTGACATTTGCCCGTTCAGGTGACTTGTACAATCGTGACGACGTTCTGCAGGGTCAGTCACATGTAGTGAGTGAGTGAGTTGGTTTAACGCCGATATGAACAGTATTCAAGTAATATCACGGTGAAACCCACGGGCACGACTATGGTGCTGACAAACCTAGAAACATAGGCGAACCGGGATTCGAACTAACGATCATAGGTTTCTGGCGTGCCCAAGGGACGCAACTCTATACAGCGAATTGCGGCGCCTTGGACGACTGAGCCACCGTTCCTCCAGTCACAGGTAATACTGTCATGAAGCTCGTCATTTAAAATCGGCTATAGATCCACAGCAAGCAGTACCTCTTTTATACCTCCATGCGTAAAGGTTTAAACCTTTTCACATAGAACAGACAAATTAGACCATATTTATCAAGTTCCTGGAATCAGTTCTCAACATAATAGCATCTTAAAACGAAAAACACCCGTGAAAAGTATTAACACAAACAAGTTAATTTGAAAAATATTTTGTTCATGTAATACTAGTATTCATATCTACTATATTTATTCGTGCTAAAAATTTCCCATGGGTTTCCCCAGGAATGTGGCAGTAGTCCGTCTGTGTTTACGTCATTTCAAGACTACAGTACGCGAAAAACGTTTGAACGTCAAAATGTGTCGTGCATACACTTATAAACTTCAGTTTCGCAGTCATGTGATCGATCTCTCGTCCAATGGAAAAGCCGTATACGGTGTAAACTTCACATTATTCATTATTTACGTCAAATATAGGGTGTGAGGAATACTTATGTAATTTGAAGGTTGTGTTTTCCTTAGAAGATCTGATGTTCAGGTATGTCAACTCAAATATAGAACACTTCTGAAAGTGACATTTTAAACGCTCACGAAGCGCGTCAGAGAATGTCTGACTTACACATACAGATAAGAGTAGATACTTGTACCGTCCTCGACAGACGCTTGCACATCTGTTCCAGGTAGCACCATGGACGCCATCATTAAGAAGTATGACTTGAAGAAGGGCACCGAGGCCCTGCAGGAGAAGATGGAGGAGGAACTGAGTGACTGGACATCCGAGAATCTGGAGGGAACAGTGAACAAGAAGATGGTTCTGAACGCACTGACCGTCCTGCAGGGGAAGGTGTGTGTGGCGGACTTCCCAACAGAGGACTCGCCCGCAGGATCCATGGCCATGACTGCCTTCGAAAACATCTCAACCTGCATAACGTACGGATCTGTTATCTTAACAGTTACAGAATGTTATCTTGACAGTAACATCATGTTATCTTGACAGTTACAGAATGTTATCTTGAGAGCTACATCATGTTATCTTGACAGTTACAGAATGTTATCTTGACAGTTACAGAATGTTATCGTGACAGTTACAGAATATTTTCTTGATAAGTACAGAATGTTATCTTGACAGTTGCAGAATGTTATGTTGACAAGTACAGAATGTTATCCTGACAGTTACAAAATGTTATCTTGACAGTTACATCATGTTATCTTGACAGTTACATCATGTTATCTTGACAGCTACATCATGTTATCTTGACAGCTACATCATGTTATCTTATAGGTACAGAATGTTTTCTCAACAGTTACAGAATGTTATCTTGACAGTTGCAGAATATTATCTTGACAGTTACAGAATGTTATCTTGACAGTTACAAAATGTTATCTTGACAGTTGCAGAATGTTATCTTGACAGTTACAGAATGTTATCTTGACAGTTACAGAATGTTTTCTTGACAGGTACAGAATGTTTTCTTTACAGTTACAGAATGTTATCTTGACAGTTACAGAATGTTTTCTTAACAGTCACAGAAGGTCACACAAAGCAGGTTTTAGACACAGAAGCGACAAGGACGAGATAAAACATGTCATATAGCCAAATCAAACCCCGGAGATCGTCAATAAAAGTTTGTGTCCAAACATATAGACTTTTCTTTGTACTCTTATATATATCACTATTGCGTGTATCTGGGAACAATGTACGTATGTTTAAATGAATGTGTTTTGATATATACCATCGGTGTCTATGTATCAACAGTGTGTATATATCATAAGTGAGTGTGATACGTGTGTATACGAGGATATCTTTAGTGTGTGTATATCAGAAGTGTGTGTTGATTTAGCACGATCTTCATTCCTCAACAGGTTTGTCATCGATGAAAACCAGGGAAAACCCAAAGAATTCTTTGACCCATTGCTCGACTTCGTCCTGAAGTTGATCACATGTGGACCCGGCACCACGCACCTTAAACTCATCAGGGAGGTGTACGGTGTCAGCGACTTCCAAGACTACTGCCACGTGAGTCTGGAAGGAATTCATCAGCATCTGTTAAAAACTCTAAAAAACAGTAGAATGTTACATAAAACAGAATGGCACCCATCACAAACACATGCAAAGGCAAATCAATTGTTCACCCTAAAATGCACGTGAACATATGGTACAAGTAAAAAAAAGGAATTGCATCGGACCTCATTCTTGCAAGTGATGCGTCAAATTTAGAAATGTCCTTCACATGTCTACTATAAAACCTCGAATGGCCTTGAATATTGTAACATTGATCAAACGGTTTCTGAGAAAGAATCGTATGGCGCTCTTTGACATCTTAGTAGATTAGTAGCATGTTCGATTGTCCCTCAAAAGCCGTGAAATATAGACCCCAAGGGCTGGTGTTGCAGTAATATTGCTCGCCATAAAGAGAACGTTGACTATTGGAAAGTTGAAGTCATCCCTCTTGTCATACAGTCTTATGGAGAGTGTATTGTCACTCTGATTCCTTATGCACAGCTCTGAATAGACAAGAGGTGAGGCGGTCTCACTGGTCTGGTGTGTAAATCTGTGGAAGGGAATTGGCTATTTGATGGTTATTCTTGTCCAAAATACCTTGTTTTGACTTTCTTGTTAGGATGTCCCTTTGTATGAGAAGCAGGAAATAACGATATTGTTTCATACTACTCACAGACGCTGAAAGCCGAACAGGTGAAGAAAATCTTGACGGTGTGTAAGAGAGAGTACAAGACGAAAGAAAAGATTGACTATGAGGACTATACCAGTGAGGTCAGGAATAACATGACCTATGTTCTAGACGATGGATTCACGTACGTTGCATTGTCTGTTACCTTAAATAATACAGATGCTTCCACATGTGTGTTACGATAGGTGAATATTTTTATTACAAACGTATTGTAAGTTGCGATAGACAGCTGCCAATAAAACTATTCCGCAGGTAAATGTGTCTAGGGTTTCAAGAATGAATGTTCCTTGTACTTCGTGTACATATATGACATTTTAGGGATCATGCACAAAATAGTTATGAACATAACATAACCATGTAACGTTGCACTTTCAGTGACGAGCAGTGTGTGGCCAACAGGGCGGAGTTTCTGGACCTGTACATGTACTTTCAATTTGGCTTCCAAGACCGGAAGGAGGAGGAGAGAGAGATGATGTCTAATATGGCTGAGTGGATAAACAGACACTTTGATAGCAAGCCGCTCCAGGTCAGTCGGTGACATGAATGTATGGTGTGGCTGACTGGATATACAGACACTTTATCACTCCAAGTCAGTAGGTGACGTGATATGTAAAGGTCACTCCAGGTCAGTAGGTGACGTGATATGTAGAAAGTCACTCCAGGTCAGTAGGTGACGTGATATGTAAATGCCACTATAGGTCACAAGGTGACGTGATATGTAGAAAGTCACTCCAGGTCAGTAGGTGACATGATATGTAGAAAGTCACTCCATGTCAGTAAGTGACGTGATATGTAGAAAGTCACTCCAGGTCAGTAGGTGACGTGATATGTAAAGGCCACTATAGGTCAGTAGGTGACGTGATATGTAGAAAGTCACTCCAGGTCAGTAGGTGACATGATATGTAGAAAGTCACTCCAGGTCAGTAGGTGACGTGATATGTAGAAAGTCACTCCAGGTCAGTAGGTGACGTGATATGTAAAGGCCACTATAGGTCAGTAGGTGACGTGATATGTAGAAAGTCACTCCAGGTCAGCAGGTGACATGATATGTAGAAAGTCACTCCATGTCAGTAAGTGACGTGATATGTAAAGGCCACTATAGGTCAGTAGGTGACGTGATATGTAGAAAGTCACTCCAGGTCAGTAGGTGACGTGATATGTAGATAGTCACTCCAGGTCACCAGGTGACGTGATATGTAAAGGTCCTCTAGGTCAGTAGGTGACGTGATATGTATAGGCCACTATAGGTCACTAGGTGACGTGATATGTAGCGAGTCACTACAGGTCAGTAGGTGACATGATATGTAGCAAGTCACTGCAACTGAGTAGTTAACATAAAATACAATATGGTTAAGTCAAATTGTCCTGGTCTTATGAGTCCATATTTGAACACCGACCATTGACACCGAGTTGTTTTCCTGTCCTGCATCAAGACATACGATTTGTTTGTGCTAAAAGTAAGAGCCAGGCTCCTGGAAAAGATTATCAAAAACACCCCAGAAATCCAGATTGTCGACACCTTGAACTAAACTGACATACTTGGAGTAAATACGTTGAAAGGTTGAGAGAGCACACGCGTTCATTCACCCAACTGTGTATGACAGTAGCAGTATTTCTCGTGCCCCAGGGAGTGACTGACAAGGCAGCGTATGTGGTGTTCCTGACTCGCCTGCAGGAGATGGTAATGGACAAATCCTTCCCAAGGGATACGAGTGCCGTTGATAGTATCGAAAGTGGACTCTCAACGTTCTTTGAGGCCATAAAGTAAGGGCAGTAAAAATCATTTATCCATGTGCTATGGATGTCCTTGTTTGGACACCGCGCCGTTACCTATCAATAATGCGGCGTTGTCATGTCCTTGTTTGTTCCTTGTTTGTTTGTTTTAAGTACCATACTCAGTTGACGATTCACTCACGACCCGTCAATCTTACTTTTACGATGATTAAGAAGCTTGTATTTTTATTAAAGAAACCTCGCCTACTGTAATCTGATAGGTTATGATAACCTTGCCCTATATGCCACTGAAACGACCTTTTGAAATCAAAGCGACAAAACCCTTTCCATAACCACAAGAAACCTTCCCCAAAAGCATAGTCACTTGTACGATTCCGACAGTATCACGAGCGTGTGTTTATGACTCGCTATCGAATAGTGATGAAACCAGGTGTTCGCGAAAATGTGAGCGTATCCTGTCCAACCGGTGGCAGCCATCTCAAACACACGCAATTTAAGTCAATTGTTCACCTGAAAAACATGGGAACATATGGTACAGGTGAAAAAAGGGACATCATTTTGTCACTGATCATTTTGTCACATTTGTATAATGGATGCTTTGTGCCCTTTGCTAAGAAAGGACTGGCAGAACTTTAGTCTCCTGAAAATGTCATTTTTAAAGTTAGAGAACATGGCTATAACTATTTTTCTGCTTCTTATTGTCAGTGACGCAGAAAATATTAAGGACCTTTACAGCGAAATCATCGACTTTGCAGCTGAGATTATTGACAAGAAAGCCGGAAAACCCGTGCATAAGTTGGTGGAAGCTGTGGGCTATTACTTCTACCATGTGGAAGAGAGTCTTGTTAAGGTAGGACATTCTTTTAACACCAGTAATCACCGGTAATCTGTTATCTGGTTCCATTTCTGTGATACTGCGACGAGTCTACAAACTCATCTACTCACTGTACAAATACATGCACCTCCAGGGCAAGGTGAAGATGTTTGCGGGCGTATGCAAGAAGCTGACAGAGATTGTGGAACAAGCTAAAGACCAAACATTCTTGGCTATCAGATTTGTGGATGCAGTCGTTTCAGAAGTGCTTGTTAAAGCAATGGGCAAGTATGTCACAAATGATAATTATTTGATATTCTGTAAATGCATGATTTTGCTTTTGTAATTATCAGAAACCGTGAACATGTGCAATAATTTACACATAAATAGGACGACGTTCCTACATTTTTCCACAAGCAATCATCTTCTCGAGGAATGGAAACTAACTAACTTTAAAAGTCCAGTTCACACCCTTGCCGAACTAGGGGGAATTCGTGCCTCAATCGTAGCGAGCGCCACCATTGGCTATTGCGAGTTATGTCCCTTCTGTCTATACTACTGACCAATCAGATTCCATCTCACATATCGCTCGCTTGCATTTGCTTCAAACAAAATGGCGGCAGCCAATCAAGACCAATAGTCAGATCTTTCTTGTAATAAAACGGGTCATACATGAAACCACTTGAACACATTGATTAAAAACATAATTATCTGGAAAATATCGGTCGATTGCAGGATTTTTAGAGCGGTCGACATCTGCACGCCATTCCCCATGTTGTTTTCGAACCGGATGTCAATTTCTTTACGGGATTTTGATTGGACTATGCATAGACTCGTTAGTCCAACTCCATAATTCCAGCCTTGTTCGACAAAGGTGGAAACTGGAATTCAATTAATTACCCCCCTTGCCCCGGGAAAATGCAAGCAACGTACAGGCAACACGGTTGTACCAAAAGTTCGCCGTTTGCGTCATCATGTGATAGCGAGTGTGTCTTTTCTTGTTAACTGTTTAACATTAATTAAATGTGATGTCAGACGAAGGTATAATTGATGTCATCTCTTTTGGCTCATGTCAACGGTTAAATTTATTTTCTTCTAGAACCCCTGACCATGTCACACTTCTTATCAATCTGATCAAAGCTCTAATCAAAGTCCCTCTGATGACGACCGTAGGGGCGGCGAAGACGGCATTGTCTGAGCAGGAAACGGCTCTCAAATGGAAGGTAAGATTGACTTTAATCTGTACGGATTAGAACAGACATAAAACACATATACATTGGCCAAAAAATAAACATTCATTGTAATACAGACATATGAGATAGACGCTCGAACCTGTTTTCAATTATTTAAAGATTTAAAAAAAAAGTAAACTGAGGGGCAAAAGAAAGTATACAGAGTTAGTGTTTTATGTAATTGAACATTGTAAGAACTGTTGCTAAATTTGATTATGTCTATTTGACCATAATTTATTCCTGCAATGGTTTGTAAAACTGGGTAAAGACTGGGTAATTTTGTGTAAAAATAAATTGGCTTAATGAAAAAGTTGGTAAGAAAAATGAATTTGCAACCACTTGCTTCCTACCATGTTTGAAATGTTGTATATTTGTGCCGAAAAAGCAAACGTATTGATTTTCAAAGATATGAAGTCTCAGATACACATCAGCAGTTGTGTACAATGCAAAAAAACAATTAATATTTTAAAGAATAAATCCATATAGAAGTGTTTTCATATTCTTTGAGTGTTGACTAAGCACCAGTACAGTTAATTTTTATATGATATCACTAACTTAAGATATTTTCAACTGAAAGTCAAACATATGAGGTATGGTTTCTTTTGAACCTCAGTTTATTTTATATTTTTCTAAATACATATCGCCGTGATACGGCTTGGACGTTGCTGAGATTGCTGAGAGCGATGTAAACCTATCTTACTGAAATTTATAGATTGTATTATTTCGTAAACCGACAGATCTGTTAGATTGTGGGTGTAGTACTTATGTTATCAGTTATAAGTAACAATGGCACCATACCCATCAGATTAATTGCAAAGAAAATATACAATAAGAGATTTGCTGACCCAGTAACCAAAATGTCGTAACAGGTTTATCTCATACGAAAAGGTTCATTTTATGGCAATATTTTCCTTCTAAATACCGCCGTGTGCCAGTTTGTGTTGATGTTGTGATTTGTACTTTTCAGGAACATGTAGAAGAAGCCAAGGCAATTTTTGTGGCCGTCAGTCAAGTAAAGGTCCCTGAGTCGGATGACCGTGAGGACATCTTGGATGCGTACACATCGTTTACAGGCAGCTTCCTGGATCAGATCAAGTAGGTGATTCTGCTGCTGAAATCAGCTTAATGATACATGGACGTTGTTCATGGAACAGCTTAATGATTATAAAGATAAATATCCAGGATATTGAGAGAGATTGTCAACCGGCGTGTATCCTCGTGTATTGTGATATGTAATAAGTCCTTACATTCTCGGAAGAGATACACGTAGTAAGAAGACAGTGTCGCAATACAAACACATTCTCTTTACTCAGAGTGTATAGTTGTCCTAATACTCCTCATTGTTTAATGTATCAGTAAAACAGACATCAGACTTCGAAGTTGTGTTTGCATGGTGTACTAATCATAGGACAATACAAAAGCATGCTTGTGTTAAGCTTTCCTTTATATAGTGTATATTTCTTGCAATGCTTTATTTCACCATAATAAAGCGTACCTTAGCTCTGAGGAATAAGCCCTGGTAGTATGAACACATTTTTATACTTGTGTTTTACGTGTATATGCCTCATTACTGGTGTATATTTACACTCGTAAATATGAATAGATATGAAATTTTGGGTCATAATAATAATAATAATAATAATAATAATAATAATAATAACAACAACAACAACAACAATAATAACAACCATCATCAGCATCTAATGGTAATGATTCTGACTTGCAGGATTGCACGAGTCCAGGATAAGATCCATGACACTATGGTCGTCTTTCTTCTCGGCATCGTAGAGAAGAAGAATGAATCCCTGTACAGTCTTGGTTATGGGTTGGTGGACCGAACCGAGTTTGATGCTAAAGTGAGACTCCTGCCATGTTCAATGTCATGTACATATATTGAAAAAAACTTCAGTCCACGCTATATGGATCGACACTATATTAAGGGGAAATATGTGTCTCGCAGTCGGTCCGTCATATGGGAAATGTAGCTTTTATTCCTCGCATGTATGCAAAACGATATTATACCACATAACTCTCAAACTTCTTGATTCCGGTCCCTGTTTATCCGGAAACCGTCCCTCTGGACGTGCACTGCTGGAAACATCTTCGAGTACTCTGTACCCATGATCTGTGTTTCCGGATATATGTTAATCTGGACGATTTTACAGGGGAGGCATTGTCCGGACAAACAGGGTTTTACTTTATGTGGTATTGCATTACTGGTCAGTTAATCAAATGTTAGTGAATAGAGTCTTTTAGCAATATTAATGATCGTTCAACCGCGGGGCACAAAACATTGATTTCACACGTGTTGGAATCGAACCTGGGTCTTCCGTATGAATGGTGAACGTTTTAACCACTATACTATCCTCCAGCAAGCTAGTTCAGCACATGCTGTCACATATATAGGTTCATGCTTCAGTGTTTTGTATGATCATTTCAGAAAGATAAGGACTTGTTGATGAAAGTGTTCCGGGCGATTGACACTGCCCTGAAAGACGACAGTTACCCCTGGCTTGAAAACACAGACTTCTCAGGCATTATAAATTATTTATCGCAAAATGCCGTAAGTGGTATAAAGTGAGTACCTTATATTAGACCCGGTGGGGATTCCGTGTTAGGACAGGTCCCCAACAACCTATGATTGTCGTAAGAGACGACCAAATGGATTGGTTGGTTGGTTGGTGGGATTGCGTGTCATCGTACCCCGACGGCGAGGATCGTTGTTCACAATATCAGTCATTGGATTGTGTGGTCCAGACTCGATTATTTACAGATCGCCGTTATATAGCTGGAATATATTGCTGAGTGTGGCGTGAAACAAGAAACAAATCTTATACGCTTGGCCATCCATATCATGTTGTTTCTCATCTCAGTGCTCAGCTTCAGGGGAAGCGGTCGGTCGGAAGAAATTTGAATAAAGTAGAAAAATGACTTCGCTTGAGAATACAACTGGTATACCATCTAATATCCTGGGACATGTGCCAAAATCGCTCAGAATTTAAAGCTGGTCCTGAATAATTTTCTCTTTCCATTTTCTTCTTATAGCGGGGGGATACATTTTGGCGGGCGAATGAACAAACGAAAGTATCGTATTTTATGTTTTGGTGGAAAGGTAATTTAGGATCGGCTGGAAATGAAAATCACAATGAAAAATGAAATGAAAAACAGTAATACAGACGGCCTTGGGTAGTTTTCAGTTTTAGTTCACGTTCAGCTTGTAATTATTTGCTTTAAACAGCAACATATTGTATACTGACGATATATATATAATATATATATATATATATATATATATATATATATATATATATATATATATATATATATATATATATATATATATATATATATATAATGGTACAAAAAAGGCATACTTATTTAAAAGCACATATTTGTCAATTTATCCGTTACCTTTTTATCATTAAGTTTGTTCTCTCCATTCAACATTGTACGCATATTAATAGGGCCGGGAACCTGCTGACTAAAGACGACTACAGCGTGCTGGTCTCCATCGTCAACAGGGTTGTGAAGAAGGACTTCTACCACCCATACACGGGGGAGCCAGGCAGCGTCTACTTCAGCGTCTACACCACTGTTGCTATGGCAGTGTTAAGCAAGGTAATATTTGTAAAAGATTGTCACTACATGGGTATATGTTATGTATTCTCTATGAGTACTGATCTCATCTTTCCGAGGCAAAAGTCCAGTTTCCACCCATGCTGAACTGAGCTGCAATTTCATGGTTCGGTCGTTGCGGTCGATTAAGGGTTATGTGGTTACGTCCCTTCTCTGTCGCTCCTATTGACCAATTAGATTCCACCTCTCATATCACTCGCATTTGCTTTAAAACAGTGGCGCCGCCCAGTCAAGATAAAATGGGCCTTACTCCGCGAAGTGCATCAAATCACTTGAGCACCTTCATTAAAAACATGATAAGATATGCAAAATATCTGTCGACGCTCAGTTGATGGTACACATGTTTCGCAAATTCTGCAGTCGACCGAAATCTGCACGAAATCCCTGTTTTGTTACGAACCGGATATCTAGATCGTTACTCGATTTTGATTGACTCGTAAGTCCGGAATTTCCGCCCAGTTCGGCAAAGGTGGAAACTGGATTTTTATAGTCCGTTGATGCCTTTGCGTCGGGAAGATGACTGATCCGGACCTTTTTCTTTTGGTGCGCCTTGTTGGTTGCTGCGTTGTATTGCCCTTGTCTGTGTTGTATTGCACCTGTCTGCGTTGTATTGCACCACTTTGTCTTGTATTGCCCTTGTCTGTGTTGTATTGCCCCTGTTTGTGTTATTTTGCACCGGTCTATGTTGTATTGCCCATGTCTGTGTTGTATTGCACTGTCTGTGTTGTATTGCACCTGTCTGCGTTGTATTGCACCACTTTGTCTTGCATTGCCCCTGTCTGTGTTGTATTGCCCCTGTTTGTGTTGTTTTGCACCGGTCTATGTTGTATTGCCCCTGTCTGTGTTGTATTGCACTGTCTGTGTTGTATTGCACCTGTCTGCGTTGTATTGCACCACTTTGTCTTGTATTGCCCCTGTCTGTGTTGTATTGCCCCTGTTTGTGTTGTTTTGCACCGGTCTATGTTGTATTGCCCCTGTCTGTGTTGTATTGCCCCTGTTTGTGTTGTTTTGCACCGGTCTATGTTGTATTGCCCCTGTCTGTGTTGTATTGCCCTTGTCTGTCTTGTATTGCTCCTGTCTGTGTATTGCACCTGTCTGCGTTGTATTGCCCTTGTTTGTATTGTATTGCACCCGACTGTTGTTTTGCACCCGTCTGTGTTGTTTTGCACCTGTCTATGTTGTAATGCACCTGTCTGAGTTGCACTGCACCAGTCTGTGTATTGCGCCTGTGTTTTATTGCACCTGTGCGTGTTGTATTGCACCTGTCTGTGTTGTATTGAACCTATCGGTGTTGTATTGAACCTATCGGTGTTGTATTGCATCTGTCGGTGTTGTATTGCAGTTGGACGAAATAAACAAGATGGAGTGGGCGGCACCCATGCTTGGAGGGATCATTGATCTACTGAAGCACGAAGACGAGTCTGTCCGAGAGATGACAGGTTCCATGCTTCAAACTGTATGCATTAAATCTGGATTAGTGCTGGCTCCATACGTAGACAAGTTAGTCCGCAGTTATTTCGAAGATGAAAAGTTCTATATGCTTCGTGAGTACATTTAAAAATCAGAAAATGAATTATTTTCAACTATGTAGGTTTGCTGGAAATTGAAATACATCTTGCAATCAATGGTGTTGAACTGCAGATGTATAATATGTCAAATCTTGCAGACAAATGTGCCAAGGTCCTGGAACAGGAATTGGATTGTTTACTTATTTCGTAGAGTTCCCATAATATGGTCATCTACACGCAGACATAAGAAGAGACCTAACATTACATCTCTTCATGGCTTCGTATTCAGGAGACCGCCTCCGTGGTCTAGTAGTAGAGCGTCCGCCCGGAGAGCAGAAGGTCTGGGGTTCGACCCCCGGCCGCGTCATACTCTGTCTGGCGCTCGGCATATAGGGGCTAAAACAAGGAATGGTCGAAATCTTTACTCTTTTTGCAAATTGTGTTAGTGGCAGATGCTGCCGGTAGAGCAGGACATACTTACCATGATCGAAAATATCTGTTGTCATCATTGATTTTAAGGGTATATGTTCATATAGTTGTAATTTTCAACGCTATTTGCCTGTTAACGTCCTTTTGAATTTGTTTCGGCAGATAATGAAGACTGAGCATTTTAACGTTGGCGTGTTAGTTTTACCATATGTATGTATGTTACCAGAGCCCATTGTGTCCATCTACCCAGAGAAGCCTGGTCCTATCAACAAAGAATTTCAGAAGTTTATGGCACAGTATAACACCAGCGATTCCTTGAACAAGACGTACTTGGTGCAACTGTTCACAGCCGTGGCCAAACTACACCCTGAGGTTTGCAATTGTTAAACCAATATGATCTGCGTCAACTAAAATGTAAAATGCTATATGCATGATTTTTGTGAATAAGAATAATCTGAGCCCCATAAGGCTGGAAAGAAAAGAGAGAGAGAGAGAGAGAGGGGGGGGGGGGGGGGGGGAGAGACGGAGAGAGAGAGAGAGAGAGAGAGAGAGAGAGAGAATGTGAATGCAAAGATACAAAGCGTAGTGTAGCAAACGCCTGGATGAGACCTGGTTAATTAAGTAATGCGAATGTCATGTATCTATAAATTGCCAATGCCAGAGAATAACAAGCCTAGATTACCCACCGATACAGTTTCCTTTTGGCGTAAAGGGCAAAAAAAATGTGAAAATTATATAATTGGACCACTGAAAATTACTGATGATCCCAGGTGTTCGCGAAGAGGATAAGCATGTCCTCACATTTGCATTTACATTTCCTCAGATGTTCACGGAGAGGAATTTGGAAGATCTTTGGAGCAATGCTAAGAAGGATCCGACTATGGCCGTACAAATAATCATGGTTCTGGAAGACGTGGCCAAAAAGCACCCAGAAATAGTTGGAAAACTCCTCCCACTACTGGCAGTCCACAACGACATTGTAGACTACGCCAAACCGAGTCTGATGAATGTCTTCAAGCAAGTCGGAGTCAGATCAGAGGTTGGTGGTGGAACAGGCTGTATTCCATATGGCAACTGAACACGGCTGTACATTGACCTTTCTTCCGATATTAAAAGGGATGGAGGTTGTTCTCATCCATAATTGTCAGTGTAATGTGTACACTTTTCTTGTAGAATCAGTAATTTCTTTGTGAATGAAAAATAGAACGGAACCTGAAGCAAAGTGATCGTGGTTACTTTTAATAACATAATGGGTATAATATAATGGGATACTGAATAATTATTTTTTTCTCTCTACATCTCTTAAAACCAGAAATGCTATCACTTAAACGTATGGGGGATCCCAAAGCACATGATTCTTGATGGCTTGTGCAGATCAAACGCCTACTCCGATAGAGCAAAGAGTTAATATCGAACAGAGATATTCTTAATCAAATAACGATGAATCCAAGCAATGATTAGTATTTTTGCGAAAACATTAATTTCAGAAATATGCTGAAGCCGTTTTAGATCTGTACGTGAAGATATTAAATGGCCGTGAAGAGCAGACATTGTTCCTGTGTGTACTGGACGGCATGCGGAATGTTGGGGGAAGGCATGTACCCCTGCTGACCAAACACAGAGCTGTCTTGGAAAAGGTGCACGCCAGAGCACAAATACAATACACCAAAGATGGAATCACAGGTTTAATAGACATCATGGAAGGAAGGAGGTATGTACATTTTGGTTCGTATATGCAGATTGCAAATAAAATATGGCTGTACACAATGTAAATGTATTTACCCACTTTCATATTAATTCCTACGTTGAGATTTCAAACCATAAAGTCACATACTTATATTGTTTCTTCTAGTTCCAGTTTGAGTATACCGCTTTCTGTTTTGACATGTTTTCGTGGGCCTTTTCTGTAATAAAACATGACGAGGGTTTCCATTCTGATGACGTGACTTTTGCAGCTTTTTTTACACAAAATTATTATATAAATGATATGCAGTATCTTCGTTCGGGGAGATTAATTATGCATGTGCGCCATAAACAAAGTACTAAACTGCATACTAAAGTTAAATATAATAGCATATTTTAAAATAATCAGACTTGCAAGTAGGCTCTTGGAACTTGATCATAATTCCCATTGAGTCAGTTCCCTTGACCATGATAATGTGTTGGTGACTACTGTATTAGGTCTATTGTTCTAGTACAAATGTATTATCGAAAAAGTTTGAATGGGGACATATTGCTATTCCGATGCATACATACATGGTTTGGTATCATCACTAGTCTGGCAGCCTTATCTGGTGATATCAAGGAGACGCAGGATGATGTAAAGGAAATCGACACCAAGGTCACTGATACTCAGAAAAATGTCAAGGTCGTCACGAAGGAGGTAGACAAGCAGAAGAAGGAAATAAAGACAGTGAAGAAGGATGTGAAAACCCAGGGAAAGAAGATTGTTGCTCTGGAGGAGACGGTGGACGAAACTGTGGCCAAGGTGGAAGAAATAGATGGCAAGGTGAGGGTTTGCAAACAACTCTCTATATATTTGAGAACGATCTTTGATAGAGCATGTAATCTCATGTTAGTTTTGACAACAGGTAAGATAATACCAAACACCTAACTCACGGGTAAAACACTTGATGAAGATGTTCCAAAAGTGTTCTTTTTTATCGCAAGGTTTTGCTTGTTATTTAACTAATATTGTTTGTTGGCTACTGTCCAGACCCTGAGTCATGCTCCCTTCTGGTCCAGAGATGTCTCCAAGCTTCTCAACCCCAAGGGGGACCACGACTGGAGGTTGCTGTCAACTCGCCTGGGTTACAACAACGACGACATCCGAGGCTGGGCCCAGCAACATGATCCCTGTATGGCCCTGTTGAATGAGTGGTACGCCACACGTAAAACCAGCGAGGCTTCCTATGCTGTGTTGACGGCTCTACAAGAGATGAACCGGATGGATGCCGCCTCTATTGTGGAGAATGCTATGAAGATGGCAGGTAACCTGTTAATATTTAATTCATTGACATACAAGAGTGTCTTTAACAGTCTGGGAGATATGAGCACAGTTTCTGAATTTCATTTTCTTATGTTAGAACTACGATCTAACGTTTAAAAGCATACGAAATAAATGTTCGCAAACAATTCCTGCTTACTACATATTCATAAGTATTCACAATTGTTCTCCATAGAGTCTGTAGTCACCATTTCCCAATGGTGTTACTGGTAACTGGAATGGGTTATTTATAAGCCACAAGAACTAATGTAGAATATTATTGACTGAAACTTTAGACGTTCATTTATTCACCTACCAGCTTCTTTATTTTTTAATGTATATGCATACTGTTACTTCACAGAGACTGTAGTCGAGGATGACCCTTTCGAGTATGCCTCCCCTCCAGTCGTCTTCATTAGCTACCAGTGGGGAATCCAGAACGAGGTTAAGCTGCTGAAGCGCCATCTGGAGATGGCGGGCTACGAATGCTGGATGGACATTGGTCAGATGGGAGGAGGAGACAAGCTGTTTGAGAAGATTGACCAGGGAATCAGGGGATCCAAAGTTATCATCAGCTGTGTGACGCCGAAATATGCAAAGTCGCCCAACTGTAACAGGGAGGTGAGACACATCAAATATAGCGTGTAAGATGTTTGCAATACAAGTACACAAGTAATCACACGTTTTTTATTTTCCTCAGGTAAATTTGTCAGTGAGTATGGGTCGCCCCATCCTCCCCCTCCTGATGGAGAAACAGACATGGCCACCAGCTGGCTCCATGGGCCCCATCTTCAGCGAGTACCTGTTCATCCGCTTCTTCACTCGGCCAGGAGAGGAGACTGGGGATGACAGATACTGGTCGGCGGCCAAGTTCCAGGAGCTTCTCATGCAGCTCAACTACAACGGCATCGTGCCAGATGAGGCCAAGGTCATGAAAGGTGTGTTACTTTAGCGGATCAAAATACCCAGTCTCTGATATTTTTGGAATATACTGATTGGATAACATATCAATATCTTTCTTTTTAGAATATAAAAGGTGGTGGACCCCTGTTGTTGAAGATATCAAGATAGACAAGAAAAAGGCAGGGAGCAAAGGGGAGAAATCTCAAACTACAGAGGCAACAGAGGTGATATACCTGGCTTTCAATTTCTAAATATTTAGAAAATAAATCGTTTTCCTGTGTAGACTTAGTCAAATGAGGAATTGGCAAGTACATATTGTTTCATACAATGTGTCCGATGTCTGTTTACTGTCCTATGTTCAAATTGCTTGGTCATTTCATCATAGGTGGCTGTCGTGTCCCCTGACGTGTTCATCTCCTACCAGTGGGGCAAACAGAAGCAGATCATTCTCCTCTACCGACGTCTTACCAGCCTCGGCTTCTCCTGTTGGATGGACATTCACCAGATGGGAGGAGGGGACTCCCTCTATGACAAGATCGACCGGGGAGTGCGAGGCTGCAAGATCATACTCAGCTGTATAACCACCAAGTATGCCCTGTCTGCCAACTGCCGGAGGGAGGTCAGTCTGGCTGATGCCCTGAAGAAGCCAATAGTTCCTCTGTTACTGGAGAAGATAACATGGCCTCCTTCTGGTCCCATGAGCATGGTGTTCACTCAGCTTCTCTACATCAACTTCTCCAAGGACGAAAGTGTACAAGAGAAATGGTCAGGCAAGGAGTTCGATGAAATGGTTGACAAAATCAACAACCATATGCCAGCGTTGACGGAAGGTGGAACACGCAAATCAGAAGCTGAGAAATCAAAAACACCTCCTTCAGGCAACGGCACCAGTTCAAAAACACAATCTAACCAGCCTTCAAAAAAGAATGAAAAGGTCACCCCAGTCAAAACCGTCCCAACACCAGCGCCAGCCTCCGCCCCAGCCCCTGCCTCAGAAAAGCAACCTAAACCACAAAACCCAACCTCAGATGAGAAGAAGTCGAAATCTTGTACAATTATTTAGTGGCCCATCAGAACATTTCATGTATGTCAAACCAAATCTCCATAAAATCAGATCTTAGTTCTTGCTATCACTCAGCAAAGATCTGAGGACATTCCATTACAGGTCGCAGGCAAACTTCGACCGACCAATGAAATGACTATTAAGAAGTCGACATCAGCCAATCAGAAAGAAGCTTTCTCGAACTTTACGGCACTAGTTTCAAACTGACGACATCCATTCAAGACTTTCGTTTGAAAAATATCGAATCAAAATATTAAAACTAAACAAAAGAATATTCAGGAATGTCTCACAGATGGTGGGGATTGTATGACAGTACTTCCCACCGCCTGTGCAAAGTTTCTTCCCTTCAAATGTTTATTTCATGAAAGAGAAAGATAAACTATGGTTTTGGCGGAATTAGTCGTACAATCCGCAACTGTCATTCGGAATATCCCGTGTTAACCTTTTCGATGTTGCGAAATTAGAAAACGCATTCTGACTGTCACTTTCTCGATCTGTAAGCGAATCTCTGATTGGTCGGATCAAAGGTCGTTCAGACGTGACCCGCAATGGGATATTTTCAGATCTTTGTCAAACCAGTTGTGACACTTTGAAGCAAATGTGTATCATGTAGTATTATTTGAAGAACTGTTGAGTTTTCTTGGACTGTATGTTAATGAGATCAAATGTCACGGCGCCTGTCCATCCGTGGTAAGACTTTACATTCGGTATCTCCAAAGAAACGTACAAAGATGCAAGACGCTAAAAGTGTTCACGTACCCTCTTGGAACACCACTTACAGGATTGTTTATACACGTGTAAACATCATTGTCACTTGGGCGTTTTGTGAGTGAGTGAGTGAGTGAGTGAGTATGGGTTACGCCGCGTTTAGCAATATTCCAGCAATCACACGGCGGGGGACACCAGAAATAGGCTTCACACATTGTACCCATCTGGGGAATCGAACCCGGGCATTCGGCGTGACGAGCGAGCGCTTTAACCACCACGATTTCCCACCGTCACTTTGAGCGTTTAGAAATGTGTACCGAGCAATTTCTGAACTCTTCATTGTGAAACTTCATATGAAATAATATCTGGTATGTGCAATAACATACGGTACGTTTATTCGGAGTGTTCGGAAGTAATTGTTCGTAACAATGAAAACATGAGACAATTGTCTTGAAATAGCCAATCAGCATGAAACAATATACTTATGCTCAATGAGAATTGCTGAAAATATGTTCGCCGCTATCCGTGCCCCTGTGAGTAATATGTATCGGTTGTACAAGTACAATGTGACCTCCAATGCACCATGGCTGTGCATTGGCAATACGTCTGTGATATAATCATATGTACTTCCACATTGTCTTTTTCAATATAGCCGATGAAATGCATCTTCTCCAGGCAAGAGAGTTAACTGACTTTAAAAGTCCAGTTTCCACCCTTGCCGAACTAGGGTGGAATTCCTGGGCTCGATCGTAGCGCCACCAGTGGTTATTATGAGTTATGTACCTTCTGAGCCTCTCCTATGGATCAATCCGATTTCATCACTTGCACTTGTTTCAAACAAAATGGCGGCACCCAGTCAAGACGATCTGATCGTTATCAAGATCTATATTGTGACAAAACGGGTCTTACATCGCGAAGTGCATCAAATCACGCGAGCACCTTGATTAAAAACATGAAAAGGTTTGGAAAATATCTGTTGACAACAAGTTGGCGGTGCATATGCTTTGCAAATCCTGCAAATGACCGTAATCTGCACGACAGTTTACGAACCGGATTTCGATTTCATTGCGAGATTTTGATTGGACTATGCATAGACTCGTTAGTCCAGCCTAAATGTAACTCAATAATACCAGCCTAGTTCGGCAAGGGTGGAAACTGGACTTTTATAGTCAGTTAACTCGCTTGCCTAGAGAAGATGATGAAAAGACACAATTGTGCTCCCGGCATATGTTTTCTTGAAATAGACATGTTACATGGTTGTTACATTATATTAATATTTTATTTCTTGAAACAAAGCAATGTTCGTTGGCTATTGTTTAGATTATCTAAGGTAATTGTTTGCTTTTAGATATTAGATTTGCGCTGGCGATTGCTATTCCATCATGGAAAATGACATAGGTGCAAAACACAATCGAGCAAAGGTTTGATCAGGGTACAACATTTGCTGAGGGCTGGAATGTGGAGGACATTTCCCAAAAACTGTCTTAAGCAATTCCTTATTTTGACTTGCACCATACGTTCCCGTGTTTTGTGGAGTGAACAGTTGACTTACCTTTGCATGTGTTTGTTGGATACACTCACCTTCGCGAACACCTGGTATCATCACTATTTGATAGTGATTCATAAACACCTGCTGATGATGTACTCGGAATAGTACGATAGAGTCTGCTTAAAGTAGACATTTGTTGTGGTTGTGGAAATGTATTTTGTCGCTTTTATATGCAATATTGTTTCTCACATGTGATTCAGGGATTAGGATGTGATAATATTGATTATGATCTGAATACGTTATAACCAACGCTAGTCGTGAATATATTGATATACAATAAACGATTACAGCGTTACTTGTTGATGATCGGATACACATAAAGACCATTTTAGGGGCCGACCATCAAATGAGATTCAAGGGAGTGGCGTGGGGGGAAGGGGGGCGATGGGACGGGGAAGGCTAGACTGGGATTTTGTCTGGAGATTAGATATTTCATCAGCTACAGCTGCAAAGACAGATATTTTTTAATAAAAAACTATGAGCCTTAATGTTTTAAGACACATACCTAGCAACAATGTTATTGTTGTGGCAACAGTTTCTTTTTTTTCATCAGTCTGAAGCATATTTATTTTTATTTATTTTTTATATTTCTTTTGATAAAATACCAACCCCTGTTTTTCAACTATAAATTTAGATTGAATCAACTAGATCTTTTTTGGTATCTTACGAAAAGTTTAATACTCTGAAGACAGATGCACGGACTTTGAGAAAGAACACAAAGCTACAGTACCATACGTGAAGCACTCAGTTAGTCGAGGTTATGCGAGTGCACTGACTAATGCTGTTTGTGGAAGGGTACCTTCACAAATAGTCAGCGGGCTACGACAATGTACGTTATAAGGAACGATATTTTCATAGCAGTGTAGATTCTATCGAGGATGAAGACCATGCTTAACTCGTATGCACTTTTACACTGAAGCAAGGGTAGACGCTCTTAACACGTATATTCTGATGTTACCCTGCTTCAACTCACTGACTTTATCTATATGTGATCTTAGCGTGTGTGTGTGTGTCTGTGAGAGAGAGAGAGAGAGAGAGAGACACACACACACACACACACACACACACACACACACACGTGTGACTAAACGAACAGTAAACATTCATAATTTGACGTAGGTTATAGTTAGGGTATCGGCGTTAACTAATATACTGACTCAGTGACTAAAGCACTCGCAATGCGGTTTCGTGGCCAATAACGGCCTATAAAGCATGGCCAAGCACGTATTGCCAGTGATCGACGTATAATTGCACAATTTCAACCAATGCGTTTCACCCACAAGGTGCAATATCGAGCCACATGTATGTAACCTGGTCCGATTCTTATAATTGTTCAATATGCCCCGTCGTGATCCAGTGTTTGTCTTTCACTTCTCCGTGCAGACAAGAACGTGCTAGTCTGTATACACAGTGGTTTAAGGTGAAAATGTGTGTCACATGTACACGGTAGATTGTTGATGCGTTGCGTGGCGTCGCTATGGAAATCCCGATAGCACATCAGCTCGTGCACGTGACGTTTTGGCTGAATATTCACAAATATTCATTCGTCAAAGGTGAAGATCGAAAATGTACCCATATTTAAATAGGATCCGTTTGTGGACACGGGTTAGGTTGGTGTTTGTGTTTATTGGCTTTGGGTGTAGGACATTTGTATACTCCCCACGAGGCTAAGAATGGAATTTAATTAATAGACCGCGGTAATAATAAAGTACCGCCATGAGGATTGTTAATTAATGGTGTTAAAGGATTTTTATTGTTGTTGTTGTTGTTGTTGCTACTTCTACCGTCTTCGTCATGTTTGTGGTTTTGACACAAAGGTCCATCCATGGTACGACCCGGAATATGTAGAGGGCGTCATGGAAAATGATAAATACAAAATCCTTTGGAATGGGCCCGTATACAGCGTCAGACGTATCCAGGCCAACAAACTTGATCTTGTCCTTATTGATTAATCCAATGAAATCATTTATATCATTGAATTTTCTGTCCCTTTTGACACTAATGTGATTGACAAGATTCAGGAAAAAAATGGCAAATATGCGGACCTCGCTTTCGAAATGTCACGCTTGCATCCCAAGTACCAATTTGTCCGACTCCCCATTGTTCTCGGTGCCTTAGGTTTGGTACCTCCCAATCTGTTGACTGACATCGGGAGAGTACCCGGGTTTGCTACCAGGAATACAGCCCTTCTGACAATCTGGGTAATGCAGAAGGCTGCAGTGTTGGGGAGTCTTCACATTTTCCGAAAAGTTCTGGGTGGATTTGACTAGGCAGCGCTTCCTGGGAGAAGTCCCATTCGCTGTCTGGGCTGCGTGTAGAGGGGGCAAGGGCCCTGAGCTGATGCTGAGCCTAAACAGCCTGACTGTGCCAGTATCACCCAAACCCTCTTTGCTGCATTTTTTATTTTAATCTGTAAATAATAATAATAATGATGATAATAATAATAATGCGCATATTTTCACACCTCACTGGGGCATGCTCAAGGCGCGAATCAGTGTGCACTCAACAATCATTTTCAGCTAGCTGTGGAGTATACAACCCAAGCAAGTTCCCGAGGCAAGTGCCTTAAGTGACTATCAATGTCAAGTTCCACCTTTGCCGAACTAGGCTGGAATTTCAAGACTCCATTGTAGCGCCTCCAGTGGTTATTACGAGTTATGCTCCTTCTATGCCCCCCCTATTGACCAATAAGATTCCATTGCTCATATCGCTTGCATTTGCTTCAAACAAAACGACGGCGCCCAATCAAGACGATCTGATCGATAATCAAGATCTATATTCAATCTCTTTAAAATCAGATCTTAGTTCTCGCTATCTCTGAAACAAAGATCTGAGGACATCCCATTACGGTTCACGTCAGGATGACCTTTCATCCGACCAATCAAAGCGTCGCCGACCAGATCATGAAAGTGACAGTCGGAATGTGTTTTCTAATCATACAACCTCGAAAACGTCAACACGGGGTATTCCGAATGACAGTTACTGTCCGTACGACTGATTCCGTAAAAATTATCGTCTATCTCTAACTTCCGTAGGATAAACATATAAACGGAGGGGGCGTTGCACAGTACGTGGGAAGCACTGCCATACAATCTCAACCATATATTAGACATTTCGGTATGTTCGTTTGTTCAGTTTTCACATTTTTAATCGCGAAATGTCAACTTATTTTTCAAGCGTAGTCTGAAATGGAAGTCGCCAGGCTGAAACGAGTGCCGTAAAGCTCGAGAAAGCTGCTTTCCAATTGGCTGATGTCGACTTCTTGTTAGTCATTTCAGTGGTCGGTCTTAGTTCGCTAAAGGTCGTTCTGACGTGACCCGTAACGGGATGTCCTCAGATCTTTATTTAGCGGCAGCGAGAACCTAGATCTGATTTTAATGAGATTGGATCTATATTGCAATAAAAAGGGTCTTACCCTGCGAAGTGCATCAAATCGTTTGAGCACATTGATTAAAAAACATGTTATGATTTGTAAAGTATCTGTCGTTGACGGTACACATGCTTTGCAAATCCTACAGTCGACGGACATCTGCACGCTGAAATCCATGTGGTTTTCGAACCGGATGTCCAGTTCGTTGCGCAATTTTGATTGGACTATGCATGGACTCGTTAGTCCAGCCAAACTGTAACTCCGGAATTCCAGCCTAGTTCGGCAAGGGTGCAAATTGGACTTTTCTAGTCTGTTAACTCCCTTGCCTCGGGAAGATGCAACCGAAGCTGCCTGTTACGCGCTAGAATTTAACAACCACATTGTCATCTCATCCTACAGAGGAACATTGCCAAAGGAGACACCACATGTGTTTTAATGGTTCGGGTGATCAGGCTCGGTGACCTTAGTTGGTGTGTCCCTGTGAAATTTGGGGATAGGACATTTAGGCCAGTACTGTCACCAAATGTGCTCACATCCTAGCTGATCTGTTTCTTTAGGCATAGGAGTCAGGATTTCTGCTGGGATTGACAAAATCAAAATTAGGTTATGAAATTAAGCTTCATATATTTCGATGATCTGATACCATCCAATAATGGTAACCCAATTCCCTTTAACTAATTTATCCACCTTAGCTAGAAATAAAAGATCATATTTAGATCTATGCCTCAAGATTCTGAGTGATATTACATACATTTCACAACTTTTGAGGTACAATCGTGCATGGTCTTACTACGAAGATTTCAAAGAGCGTCATATGACGCTTACTTAAATATTGTTTGATCAGGGTAACAGCATTCAAGGCCCAAGTAAAGCTTTTAACATGTTATTTGGTAGACATGTGGATTACATTTCCAAATATGACGCATCAGTGATGCAAGTCCCCCTTTTGACTCGTACCATATGGTTCCCGTGTTTGTTCAGGTGAACAACTGACTTGCCTTTGGATGTGATTGTGACGGGCCACCTATGGGGCA